TCAGCGCCGCGGCGGATCTGGTCGGAGCTCGGCTGCACAGACGGCTCTGTGTTCCCGGGAACATTTCACAACACAGCAGCAAAACAAGCTGCGAGTCAACGGGAGAACAAGAGGTGACGGAGACGTCAATCAATCTCTGGCTATCTGGAAGACTGGAGATGGTTGTTTTGAGCTTTCTTAAGAGAAGAAATGTTCGGGGTTTTTTTTACCTGTGAACTGACTTTTGAAGGGGTGCTATTATGGAAAATGTTCTTTTTTTTCCTCAACCGATTCTAAAAACAAGCCAAGAACTTAAAAAAATCAAAAACACACCCAGAACATTTCCTGGAAATAACTTCATGAGCAGTTTCAACCTTTTATGCAAAGACGTATTCGTCATCAAATCAAGAAAATTTATGAGACTGCCCTGGGAAAACTGAGAGTCTTCAGTCAGAGGCTTCTTCTGATACGCTGTGAAACAGGCCGCTACAGGAGGCCTTCCCATCGTTACCTATGATAACTCTGTAAAGAGTTTGAAATAATGAGCTACAACAATGTTTGACTTCCTCTGGGGATCAGTAAATTATTTTTGCATTTTGAATTTGACAGGCCTTGCACTGTTGCCAAGCAACCCTGGCCAAGCCCGGCGCGTTACCTAGCAACCGCAGACAGTCTGAAAGGAACCCAAAACAGGCAAAACCGATTCTCTAAGACGGATTTTGTGGGAAAAGAAAGTAATAAACATGGTTTGTGTGGCCCATAAACTTATCCTAACCTCTATAAGAAGCTTAATAGGTCATCTTAATGGTAGTTTATAGCTGTGGCTTTAGGCAGTCAGAACCTTTCTGTATTTGGGTTTATGCGTCAGCCGGAGTGAAGGATGTGGGCTTTTTCTTTTCACAGCTGCCTTCCTCAGAAGCCAAACAAAATTCTTGTTAAACAGACAAAATCCCAGCTGGAGCGGTTCGTATAACTCGATATGTATAAAGTGACACTGTTGGCACGGGCCATAAAAGGTAAGCTAACGGCAGCGAGCTGCGTTTCCCATCGTGATGCTGGGGGTTCCCCTGAAGAGGTCAGTCCCCAAGTCCAGGTTGAAGGAAAAAACCTTGTTCCTTCTCGGCCGGCACTGGACACGTTGCATATGGTGACAACGACTACACTGGAAAAAATAACACATTTTACCAAGTATTTATGATCTAGTTTCTAGTAAAATTATCTTTGAATTTTTAAAAGTAAGAAAAAACAAACTTACAGGTAACTTTTCAGCAAGACAGGAGCTTGTTTTAAGTCAATACTTCCTGAATGTTCATGTAAAAGTTCTAGTTTAACTTGATATAAGTGAAATGATTTGCAACTGTATCTTAAAACATCTGGTCTTAAGTTCCAGTTGTGCTGAAAAGCTGTTTTTGTCTTGTTTAAAGGACATTTCCACTAAAATACCTGGTAAGATTGTGTGTTTTTTACAGTGAAGGTTCTTACAACACATTTGCCACCATCATACTTCAACATGCATCGATTTGGTGCTTCAGCAAAAACAATCAAGCGGTAAAAGGAGGTCCTTCACATTTTTCTCTTGTACCGAGGGGTTTTGCTCCTGACAGATATTGCATTTAAGCAAAACAATTAGTCTTTATATCCATTCCCTGTTGGCCTGTGAGAGCATTGACCCTCGCGGGGCTTGTCTTCCAGCCAAGTGATTTTCAGCCTGACAGATCTTGAGATTGTAACTCTGTCAGCGGGCCGGCACTCCAAATCGACCCGAGGGGAGATTTAGTGATCACGACACGGAGGTGCACGTAGCTGTGTGCTCACGATCTGGCGAGTGAAAGCGGGAGGATCCGTGACGCAAGGAACAGCAGACAGGTAATTTCTAGCGGAGAAGATTGAAGGGTTGCAGTTCGGTTGGGTCACGTCATCGCTTTAAGTGCTGCGTTTTCAGGAGAACAAAGAATCCCCACGAGGCAGGAATGCTCTTTCTGAGAGACGCTATCTATAGACGGAGCCGTTGCAGAAACAGAAAGTCCTCAAATGTCCAACGGTTCGCTTTGGGAAGCCGCAGAGGATCTGAGGGAAACATGAAAGAAACCACAGCCTTTCTCACCTCATCAGAGGCTGCAACGAATGGCTGCAGGACACTGCAAAAACACTCATTTCACCAAGCATTTTTGGTCTTCTTTCTAATCCAAACGAGAAATAAGTCAAAACTTAGCTACAAGTAACTCTTCAGCAAGAAATAACAGCTTGTTTAGAGTCAGTAATTCCTTAATATTGATGAAAAAGTTCTAGTTCCATTGGGATATTACTTCACTTATAACATGGAAAAATATCTTGATATAAATGAAATAATCTGCTTGTAAAACTAACACTTTTTTTTAATCAATATTTAGGAATTGGTGACTTAAAACAAGCAGTTATGTCTTTCTGAAGAGTTACTCATGTCTTATTTTAAGTGTCATAAAACATTTGCACTAAAAAACAGACCAAAAATGCTTGGTAAGAATTTGTGTGAGTAAAAAATGCCATCCCTTAACTTTCTCCTGGGAGAAAGTTTAAAAAATAAACCAAGTATTTTTGCTCTAGCAAATATCTTAGTCCACTTGAAATAAGACAAAAGTAACTTTTCAGCAAGATATTGCAGCTTGTTTCATGTCAATAATTACTTAGTCTTAACTAAAATAACTTATAGCAAGACTTTTTTCCCATGTTATAAGTGAAATGTTAAACCAGTGGATGTAGTGTGCTGAAAAGTTACTCGTACCACAAAAATACTAGGAAAGATGAGTTTTTTTTTGCAGCGTACGAGTAAAAACAGCATCTAAAGAGACCCTTAAGACTCCCTGGCAGAACAGATAACGTCAGTACTGATAGTGTGGCGGGCCGAGCAAAAGAAAACAGAACAAAGACACTGAATGTGCAAAACAACAACAACAAAAAAACACTTAATGGTTAAAGTCAGTAAATTAAAGCTGAGAGAGAGGAGAGAGTGTAATTAGATAAAACATTTTAAAATTAAAGCTTTTTGACTGATTTCCAGCTGAAACCTGGTTATGAAGCAACATGTGTGTGAAAATACTTCCCTGCTCGTCCTGCTGGGAACTGAGGCTGTAATAAATCACAGAGATATGACTGCTGATTGTTGTGGCCTTGGCTACATACTTGGACCGACATACATATTTGGTCATGTTTAAACACATTTTTTCCCTGCTCTGTTTTTAACTTATTAGAGATTTTCATTCTGTTTTTATCCTTTGACTTGTTTAACTTATTGTTCCAAACATGCTGAGGACTAAATTGGACATTTTTCATGTATTTTTAGCTTCTCTGTTTCTGATCATGCTGCTTTGTGGGTTTTTCTTGTGGTTATTTTTAAAATTTTCTGTGTTTTTAGTGCTTTTTGTCCCTGTGGGCTGGGCTTCCTTAGACTTAAACTTTTTTAACTACTAATTAATCCAGCTTACTGTTCAGTCTGATAGGAACAATTTGAACATAACTGAATGTGGCTTTTGTTGACATTTGTTATGCTATATAAATAAAGTCAATTTTTTATTAATTTAATTGTTTTGTATTTTAGTTTGATGGTTTTTACATCCACATGTTTCTTTTCACGGTTGATTTTTTGAGTTCTTGTCTGTTTTCAATAAAGTATCTTCAAGCTATATGCATTATATGCCTTTGTTCGTGTCATATTTTCCTTTCTGTAATGAAACAGATGTTGTTTTCTTGCCATTAAAGGTGCAGTTCATGATTAAGAAACAAAATTAGCAGCTTTGCAGCTCAGTGTCAGTCCTGCAGAGTCGCTGTTGATAAATCCAGCAGGTTTATCAAAATTGGTTCCAGTTGTTGTTCCTAAAGCTGGCCCCCTCTTCACCTCAGGTATTAGATAAGCCTTCATGTTATCATTTAAAAACTATGTTTTGTATTTTCCCACAGTCTGACAAAGTTTAGACTTTTACAAACCTAACAAAGTCAAAGTTTGCTTCTGTTTTTAACATTTTTAGGTCAATTTTTGGCAGCATTTCCCTTTAAAATTTTTGGAAAATTTAGAAAATAGACAGAAACATCTCTCTTATCAAAGCATTGACTAATTTTTTAATGTATTCAAAAGTGAAATAATTTGATTAGGTCACAAATAAGTGAAATGTTCCACCTCTGGAAATACTTTGAAGTAAAAATTTTTATAAGGATCAAAACTTGTTTGAATAATTTTATTAGAAGTTTCATAAACGGCTCCAAATTAATATTTACAATAAGGCAATGCAAATAAATAACACTAAATAAGTAACACTAAATAAGCATCTTTCTACAAATAAATATAACAAAAATATTGGAGAAATACACAGAAAACGAATAAATTTATCAAAATTAGAGGTAAACAAACTGAAAACTGATTCAAATTAGTGAAATCAATTACTTCTTAAATCTTACTGGGGAAAAATCCCCAAATACTGAGAAACTTGTGTTCTTTGAAATGATCATTTATGGCAGAAATAAACTCACCAGTGCAGCAGCTGTCATCATGCAGCGAAAAAGAGCCGCAGCATAAACTCCCTGCAGGGATGACATTATTTATTTTAGTGAAAAAAGCTTCAGAAAGAGAAACGCACAACTTTCCCCGCAGCCTCTGACAACGCGCCGCTCCTCAGGTCGCACTGCCGACTTAAACTTCTGCAGGTTTGTTGTCCCATCAGTGCTCACATTTTGTTAATAAGTCCAAAACAAAAAGCTTTTTCCCTGACATGCAGGAATAAGTTTTTTAAAAAACGAAAATGTTATTTTCCCTTAATGTTTAGACATTTCAGTGGGAGCCATCAGACTGAGCCCACAGGATGAAAGCTTCAGTTTTCTCCGCTCTCTGGACCGTCGGGCTGAGATGGGTTGGCCTTTATTGGCTGAGCTTTTAACCCTTTCCGCTTCTCCTCCTCCTCTCCTGTCATCTGTCTCTGGTTACCTCTCGCCTGCTTGAACTCTCTTTTCCAAACCAGCCAGTGGAGTAATTATCTTTTTTTACTGCTGTCACTCAACTTAACGTTCACATCACATAAAGTCTGGTTTACTACCACGATAAGTGCCCAAATAACAACCCCGGCCCTTCAGTTCCCCTTACACTCTTATTTATACAGGTTTTACACAGAAAATAGGTTTGATTTTTGATAAAACTTCATTATTCTCATATTTGCCCTACTTTTATTATTTAATAAAACAATAATAGTTCCTCTGGAAACCAATGTTTGTTTAGGCCACAAATAGGTTTTACAAAGACTTTTGATGTTTGCATATTAGATAAATAAATGCTGATCTTCAGCGCTGACCTCTAACCTTCCGACACTTGCAGAGACAGCAAAAGCTCGAGCTGATGATTGGGTTTGGATTCGTTTTGTTTTCACGTTTTCTGAATCAATAAATTGCTAAAAGTAATGTAGGGAGCATAAATAAAGGTTTTTACACGTGTATCTGCAATGCAAAATATCTTACTGACCTGAATTAAATAAAAAATCGGCACCATTTCTTGTTTTCATTAACTTTGTTCATAACTTTTCACTTTTTTAAACAATTATTCCATCTGGTTTTGGATGTTGTGTTCTTATGTTTTTACTTTGGGACAACAACGGGTTGTATTTACAACCCGCTGCAGCTGATTAGCATCTCAAAATCTAAATTAATACCTGACCTATGACCCCAAATTTCCAGAGGAGTTGACAAAGGAGACAGAGCAAAGAGCGGAGAGAAGAGGAGGAAGTTCAAAACATCTCTACCATCCATTATGATGGGCAAAGATCATTTCCTAGACTCCAAGAGGAGCTGCAGAAGCCACCAAGGTGGATTAGCAGAGCTTCCTAAAAGCTGATCATGTCATCCAGAACCTGTTACTGTGGAATATTGTCTCTAATGAAAAGATTAACTTCTGGTGGAATAGATTTTTAAACTGAAAAACTTGGATCAAATGTTTTCTTCTTCAAACTTTGGATTAAAACCATGAATTTATGGTATATTGTCCATTTCTGCTGATGTCTTGAAATGCTGCTTCAGTTTTTCACATGATGTTCTTTCTTCATTTCTCCAACTTGTCCCACAGCATGATGCTGCCTCCCCAGGACTTCACAGTTGGGTTACAAAGCTTCCACTGATTTACTCTAAACGTAACAACTGACATAATGATCAAACATTGAATGTGGATTTCATCAGATAAGCTGTAATCTGGCTTTTAGAGCAGTGGCTTCTTCCTTCCTGCGTGGCTGTTCGGCCAGAATATGACGACACAAATATGTCTTCCAGCAACAGCCGGAATATTCACAAGGTTTGTTTCGTTTTGTAAGTGGTGTTGTAGTGCACAGATTTCACAGAGAAACATGCTTTTGCATGGGAGCTGGAGGAACCTGCCTCCTTCCTCGGTTTTATGGTGGCCGGACATCCTCACGGTGTTTGTGCTCGTGTGTGATCACTTCAGCAGATGAAGGTGGAGCTTTCAGCCATCTGGAAAGTGTGTCCAAAGATGAAGCAGGCAAGTGGAGATGCTGCCTGATTTCTGTTGATATTCTTCATTCTGCTGACACCTTTATTACTACTACTACTATTACTACTGCTACTATTACTACTGCTACTATTACTACTGCTACTGCTGACCATACAAGTACACGTAGTCCTACTGTAACTACAACTACAAATACTGTTAAAACGAGTACAACAGGAACAATAACCACTACTAGTACAACTGTAAATAATATTACTACTACTACCGCTCCTAATACTGACATTGCTATATCAACACCACTAGTACTGTTATGATTATTATTGGTGCAAGCAAAATTATTACTATGACGACAGTCCTATTCGCACTTCTGAAAGTATTACTACAAATTTTATGGCTACAACTACTGATTTTGTTGATATTGTATGACAGCAAATACTACTACTAGTACAAATATAACTATTACTACCACTGCTAATGCTACTATTATTTGTACAATTAAAACTACACCACTACTAAAACATTTACTACTAGTGAGGCAATCACTTGATAATTAGTAGTATTTCAATAAATTAGTATCACTAATAGCCCATCTAATCAAATACATTTAATTAATGATGAACAAATTTATCAATTAATTAAATCTTTATATATTTTAAATAAGTAAAGTGTAAAACTAAAATAAAGAAAATGTAAAAATATATATCATAACAATAATCAAACGCAAAAAAATTTCCATGTACAGTTTGTAAAGGAGTAGGAAGAAGATGAATCTTATTAAATCCTACCCCCAAAATGTCCCATTTTATACATATTTACGTTTCTGACCATTTCTAGTCTTTCCAAATTATATCTATTCTGACGTCTACACCATGTTGACAGCTACATTCATCTTTAACAATAAAAAACAAAAATATTTTCCTCTTCTTTATTATCTATTATATGTAGGTTTAGATACTTGCGTTTTATAAAAATCAGTTGTTTTTTTCTCATTGTTTGTTCATTTTAACAGCTTCACCTTACTCTGCTTTTACTTTGAAAGGTCAGTGTGTTACGTCACTAGAACCACGGAAGTAGAGGTTCCACAGCAAGGGCAGCTGCGCTCCCGAGCTGTCACAGCTGTAAATTAGAAAACTTCGGGCAGTTTCATGTCGTATTTGATCTAAAACGGTTCGTTATAGTTGGCTGACTTTTTCCGGGAGGCAGAGTTGCGGCTGTATGGCGGAAGTCCGCCTCCACATGCGCAGCGGGATTAGCGGAGCTCCGCGCTCGCTGTAGCCGAGGCTGTGTGGGTGTGAAGGGCATGCTGGGGCTCACTCTGCTCCGGGCTCTGCGGACCCAGCGCCCACCACGGCTGGTCAGGACGGCTCCGGGGCGGCGTGTCCCCTATCCGGGTACCTGCGGGCTGTCCCCGCCGTGCTGGACGGGTCCCGTCCGCACGCTGCGGCTGAGCACCGCCTTCTGCGCAGGTCACAACAAGTGGTCAAAGGTCAAGCACATCAAGGGTCCGAAGGATGAGGCGAGAGGGAAAATGATCGCCAAGTTTGGAATAATGATAAGAATAGCTGTGAAGGGTAAGTTCAGGCTACTGTCATGTTTTTTAATTCTTGTAATTGTAGCTATTTATTTTTAATTTGTTGTTAATCTGCAGAAGGTGGATCCAACCCGGAACTGAATGTCAACTTGGCCAACTTAGTGGAGCAATGCAGGAGCAAGAACATCCCCAAAGCGTCCATAGAAGCAGCAATCAAGAATGCGGTAGGTTCATAATTTCAATATTAGTGGTGATTGAGGTGGTAGACATGACACACACCCAGGGTGGCATGTCAGTGGGGGCGGCAGAATCGCCTGCCTCCGAGCTGAGTCTTCCATTCAGTTTTCAGTTCGTTTTTATTGCCATGTTGCATGTTATCGTTTACATCTGGAAATTTTGCACATGCACACAGTGCTGGAGGGTAAAAAGGCTATTTTGTTACTTCCCGTCTGTTGCTAATGCCGTTGCAGAGCAACTCCGTCAACAAAATGAAATCTGGTTGTATCTGCACTGCACACAAATTCAGCCATAGCAACTGATTGATAACAACAGCACTAATGTGTTAAGATTCAAATAAAAAAACATGCAAACATTTTCCACACAAGCCTGAAAACATGTTTATGTTACGATTATTAATAAGTGATAGTCACTAATCAATCACAGCAATGATTGATTAGCTAATTTAAACTCCTGCTCAACTGAAGATCTGTGAGAAAGTTGGTATGTGGGTCGCCTGTACATACAAGTATATAGACAAGTCAACAAGCTCTTTCCATCAAAAAAAGACAATAATAATAATACTACTAATAAATAGAAAGTATTTTTTAATCTAAGAAAAGCATATCAGGTTACCTGTTTAAAATGAATAAAATGAACAATTCACCAAAATACAAACAATAAATAAAACTTTAGAATGAATATAAGGCACATAATTAGTGCCTGTAAATGTGATTATTTAGGAGCCATAAATTTAAGTTATTAGAAAATTATTTACACGACTCTTACAGTTTTACACTTTCTGGTATTTTATTTAAATTTTGACAGAGTGTGTTATACTTAATGTTTTACTTGGGCTGGATGATTTGGCGAAAAAACAAGTCACGATACAAGCGTTTGCTTTCAGTCGATATCAATAATTATTGATTAGTTTTCTGTTTCTGTAGCATATTTATTTTATGTAAACACGATTTAAAGCCGTTTTTGTTCTATTAAAACCATGTTTGCATGTCCTGCACCCAGGAAAAAGCCAAACCTGCGTCCCAGCACATGTTGGAAGCGCGGGGGCCCGGCGGGTGTGCGCTGCTCATCGAGACTCTGACTGACAACAACCCGCGGACCCAGCAGGAGATCAAACGCCTGCTCACCAAGAACCGGTCAGAACCTCCCGCTGTGCTACCGCAGCGTTTTTTCTGCTGGTTCTGTCCGTCAGGCTTTTACTCGCACGTCAAACCCTTCTTCTGTCATTTATTGAACATTTCTGTTATTGATTGAGTTAATCTAGTAATCTACTATTATTAGTAGTCAGTCTGTTATTTGCAGATACAAAATCTCATTCAAAGAAAACATGCTACAGTTTTTTTAACAGCAACTTTTTAAGATTATTTATATTTCCTTTACTATTTTTCTCTCTGTGTGGAATTGTTCCAGATGTTATGAGCCTTTTAATTATTGTTCTGATTGTAGATATGGTCAGCTTTAACTGAAAATGCAATTTTTTAGAATAATTATCACTGTCGTGACATATGTTATAGTATTTGCCACCATATCTGGATATTTTCAAAGTTGTGTTCTTGAAAAGAAAAGAAAAACAAAATTTTTCATCCATTATGAAAGTTGATGGATTGGAGGATGATATTTAATAACTCTCTGATGTTTCCAATGATATAGTTACATAAATTTGAGAGGATGTGGAGAATATAAGTGAATAATAAGGAAGAAAAACATAAAACAAGATGCTGCTGAATTGTCCCAGTAATCTTTGCGATAAAGGACAATATTGTCTATTAGTGATAAGTAATATATTGACATCGATATAATAGTGCAAGTGTGTATGGAAGAGGACGAGTGCCACTTTAAACAAAATCAAGACAACCATAAAAGATTGATGAAACAAAAATAAAAATAAATAAGATGGATTATGATGTCTTTATGAACAAAATTTCCCTTAAAAAATATTAATTATCAGAATGGAAAATGGCACTTTTTTTGTAGCCTTGTATTGATTTCTGAAGATCGGTACAAATTAATTACTTATTAATTTCAGAGGATGCTGAAAACATAAATGAGTCAAAGAAGATAAACACAGCATTATGTCATATATCTGACACATCTATTAAATAGATTTTTCTCCATAGAACTGGTGATGGTCAATAACTCAGTACTTATTTAGAATTTTCCGATCAATAAAACTCTCAGTTTGTAGTTAACGTCTGATAGAAAATAAAGCTTGTGATCACCCTGTTGTCTTCAGCGCGACGCTGTTTGACGGAGCTCGTCATAACTTCATCCGGATGGGCGTGGTGATGGCGTCCGCCGAGAACGTCTCCGCAGAGAAAGCGCTGGAGATGGCCATCGAGGCCGGAGCTGAAGACGTCCAAGAAACCGAGGATGAGGAGGAGAAGCTCCAGCTGAAGGTCAGTCTCCAATGACCTCAAGCCAATAATGCGTTATCGATGGCTTACTGAACACCTACAGCATTATTTTATACATCCACACATGCAAACTGTTTGTGTTTGTTTAAACTGTGCTTTTTTTGTGTTGGAATATTATATTTGAGGCAAATAGTACAAACTGAAAAAGCAAAAGTGCGAACACTGCCCTCTGGTGGACGACTATATATATCTATAGAGAGATAGATATATATATATCTATATATACATATATATGTCATCCCACTATAAATAGTGGAATGACATTAGAAGCGCCAACAATATTTTTTAGGTTAATTTTTTTATCTGGTCTTAAACTTTGTGCTTTTTTAACATTATTTTCCACAAATAGTATACAGTATACATTCCACAATATTCATTAGAAAAAAAATGTATCCAATCTCTTTGCAAAAACATTTAAGTTTTTTTTTTATTGTGAAACTTCCTATAGTGGATATTTATCAATCTTTCACTGGCCTTTCACTTTTTGTGGAAGGTCAGGTAAATTTGTTTTATTTTGCTGGAAAATGTCTGTGTATTGTAAAGGTTGCACCCCCAGTCCTGGAGGGTTGCATGACATTTGCTTCCAGTATACATACTGTAATCTATTTAAGAAGATAAACCTTTCCCAGTCTTAGTAAGAAGGTAACATCTGGCTGTGTGTGTCTCTCTGCAGTTTGTCTGTACGGTGTCAGACCTGTACAAGGTGCGCGGCTCCCTGGAGAGACTGGGATTACACATCACATCTGCAGGCTTGGAGTTCGTCACTCGCAATCACTCCTGCCTGGACCAGGAGCAGATGGAAGCTGCTTCCTCTCTCATAGAGGCCCTCACTGACCTCCCAGATGTAGTGAGAGTGTGGGACAATATCCAGGCCGACAGCTGAGACGATGGGGGCGATGCTGCATGTTTGGAGCGACTGGAGGATTTGCCATCTGATAGCTTCTATAAGAGCTGGAAACTGGGCATGATGAGGCACGGAAGAGACACTTTTGGATGTTTTACCTGTGGAGAAAAAAAAAACATTAAAAAGAATGAAAATGTGGTAACCATTAAGAGAGAATTGTTTTCCATCCTGCAGATTGAGCTTTGATGAAGAGCAGTTTTACTTGTTAAAGTGCTAAAGTAACAGATTTAAAGGAAACTATTTCCATCATATATATGGAGAAAAACACATTTTTTCCCTCCATAATTCAAAATCTATCAACTGGTTTTCAGGCCCAGACTTAGTATGCTTCCTTGAACATAAAGAATATGTCTTTATGGCGAATGGAGGGGTGTTCAAAATGCGGCCTGAGGGCCATCTGCGGCCCTCTGGAGGATTTTTAGAGGCCGACCTCAATTACAAAATTGAGCCAAAGCAGATGGACATTTTTAAAAATCTTTTACAGATCAATAACATCTTTTAAAAAATATCAGGTGGAAAAAATAGGTTCTACCAAAATTGTTGACCTGCTGTCAATCAAAAGCAAAACCTGCAGCTCAATTAACCCTAAAAATGTAGGAATTGGATCATTTTTATGTGTTGTATCTGCAATGATTTACAGATCAGTTTTCTACAAAAATCAGGGTAGTTTGTTGAATTCAATAAGTCCATTGAAATGTTTTGGTTACTATTGAGCACGTAAGATAAAAAAAAGGTACAAAAAGCTTGCTTTAAAAATGTTTTTGTGGCCCCATGTGTGGTTAACTTAAACATTTTGACACAAACCCGGACACAGCAAAGTTCTTTAACAAGTTAGGATAGGTCTATAAAGAAATCATTGTTTTACTGCAGAGAATCATTATTAGATAATCAGATTTCAGTTCTGCCTGTTTTCAGCTGTTTTAAGTCTCTTTCACTTTGAAAGTGGATCCGGCTGCACAGCCATCAAGAACGCAGCAAGTGGTTTCTGGATGGTAAGTGAACAACAAAACGGTTGTCTTTTCCAGCAGCCATTGTGCAGCAGTATAACCAGCTGACCAAACACACTGGAGTTCGGCGTGGGTTGGTAGGCAACAGGCTGGCGTTTAATTGAATGAGATAAACGGCAACAGCGTCGGAAGTAGTTTCTTTCTGCTTGTTTATCCACAAGGCAGCCATACTGGATTTTAACTTTCAGTTTTTGGGGTTCAGTCAATTGTGAACCAAGAAATTTATCTAATACACAAAAGCATAACGTGATGCAAAAAAAAAAAAGATTCTGTAGAACATTCTTCCATTTACATGAGATATATAAACTCCTAAAGTAGATCTTGTTGATAAAGTTTATTTTACTGCCACTCATGCTGAAGGGTACAGCTGAAGGACACTTAGGACAACTTCATCATGGATCAGTACATACTCAGTCAGTCAATAACATAAACAACATGCAACAAATGCAAATGGAGCAATACATTACAACCAAGTTTCTCTTCATGTTTAAACAGGAAAACTTTTTCTCCCAAATCAAACTCCCCTCAAGGCCGTCGCCATGCAGACGTGATGCCAAAGGGAAACCCAGTGACTGTCTCCCCTTCGCTTTGTTATCAATGCCCAGTATTGATCTTCCCGTCGCTTCCTGTCAGCTATAGCGTGGCATCGACTGGCTTCCAATGTTGGCGTGCTGCAGGGCAGTCCTACGCTCTGAGCCAGCCAAGCTGGGAGGTCCAACATCGACGACCGCAGTCGCACAGCGCCAGCAGGAAGAGCGCTAGTTTCACCCGAACATGGACCCAGAACAAAACACTTCGGAGCACGACGAGGGATCCTACCAGTGATGGTTAAAACAGTCTAAGTTTCTGGATCCAGTCAGGTTTGTTCTACTTATTTTTATACTTTAAATGATTTAATGAGCTAGTTAAATGTTGTTGTTTTTTACCACCCAACAAGTACCTTTGGTTTTTACCCAAGTGTTACTATTAAGTGTGTAAGAAAAGTATGTTTAAAAATCAACATAGCACCAGTGTAATTAGATTACAAACTCTTATGTAATCATTACAATGGATAATAAAAAGGTACAAAACTTTTCCCACATTAAAATTCAAACACTTTTCAATCATTTTTATGTAAGTTTTCAAACTTTTATAGTCTGGCAAATTGGAGTTAAATACAAAACAAATTAACTGAATGAAGATTAAGGGTTAAACTAAAATATGACATAATTTTAAGGTTTCAAATAGGGCTAGACAATAAATCAGTAACATCGCAATAGACAGGTGATCAGTATCAATACATCTGATAAAATATCCGATATTCAATATAATCACTGAAAGAGGAAAGACTTTCGCTACGGTCAGATAAGCAAGGTTAGCGAAACCAACTACCAAACTCACTCTTTGGTTGCCTAGCAACTCACTCACTCTTTGGTTGCCTAGCAACTCACTCACTCTTTGGTTGCCTAGCAACCCACTCACTCTTTGGTTGCCTAGCAACACCTTGTAGAATAATTTGTAGCAGTTTCAAGTTTTGCCACTTTGCCTCATAACTGCTTAAAAACTAACAACAGCGTGGAGTGAAAACTGAGGGTAAAACTGAGGGTACAGAAAAGGTCACACAACCAGATTGATAACATAAACAAAAACCTAATCAATTATTATTGATATTGACTGATAGGAAAAGCTTGTGTATGTTTTTCAGCCATATATCATCCAGTTTGTAGTTTGAAATGTCTCTCACACACTTGACTGGTCTGAGAACAAAACACTAATTTAATATCAACCAACATTAATTTCAATTACACAAATCCACAAGTCACTGAAAATTTTGAAAAAACAAACACCCAAACAAATTGTGTTAACGTAAATTACCTTCCTGCCCAAATTAAAATTAAATTTCTAAAAAATGTTCCTGCTAATTCTAACTGATCTAAAACAAGAAAAGCTTAGTTTGATTAAACTTCAGATAGTGAGGAAAGAAAAAGTGTGTTTTCTTATTAAGTGTATGAAAATATCTGGTTTCAACTGTAAAAACCATTTTTCAAATTTAGGCGTTTAAGCAAGCATTAGAGTGCAATTTATTACAAAACTGTTTGAACATCAAGCACTTTCCTGATACCTAACTGAAATTACAGGACATAAACTATGCATGGTTCCTCCAGGTGAGGTTTAGTTTTGGGCCGATGAAGGGCGAGGATCCGGCTGTCAGGATGGAGCGGCTCAGCCCGCCGCAGCCAAAGGAACGGGCTCAGAACGTCACAGAGAAAGTCACGCAGGTACGGCAGAACCAGAACCGCTTCAAGGCTCTAATAACATGCAATTGTTCTGTTTTGAATATGTAATTCTCTTTAAATCTGGATTTTTTGTCCCACCAATGAACTCCTCGGGTTTCCACAGTGCAAATTTATACCAGAAAGTCCAAGGCGGCCATCTTGTTTTTACAGCTTCTGTTCATCTGAACTTTGAATCGACTCTACAACAAAATATGATATTCAGGCTGAGATAAAGTCCTATAGAATAATAATACTAGAATAAAGTCTCAACAGCATAAAGTCGTGATATTAGGAGAATGAAGTTGTAATTTTATGAGAACTCCAACACAAACAATTATGCAATATTAGCTCTAAAGAAAAATGTAAAAAATAAAATAAAATTACCAAAATAAAGTCCTAAATTATGAGATAAAACCTGTACAGGAATAAAGTCAACATATTAAGAAATTAAAGTTGCACAAGAATAAAATTGAAGTTATACAAGAATAAAGTGAAAGTGTTACAAGACAAACATCATGATATTAACATTTCGACTTTTATGATTTTATTCCAGGATTAATTTTTTCTTATTTTCTTGGGATGGCCCTAATATTCTGTCATATAAAATAACAACAAAATAATTTCTCAGTAAAACAAAAACAAAAAATCTCGTAGTCTGACAGTAAAACCCTGTTGTACAACTCAAGGAAGGGAAAACTGAAATAAGAGACTTTTTGACATTTTGTTTTTTAGAAAATGCAAGAAATAATTTTTTAAAAATCAGATTTGGTATATAAAGACAAAAACAGATTTAATTTTCAAGCCGTATCGCCCAGCCCTACTGTTGTCTAGAGAACATTTATTCAGATTGATCCGGCCAACTAAATTGGGGGCGAAATGGGCTCTGAATGCTCTGAATGCATGAACTCACTGAGTCACTAGTGAAATTCATCGTCCGGGTTCAGTGTGCCGTTAGAGGAGATCAGGCGGACCAACATTCCCACTCGGCCGCCATGCTGGAAAGCTGCTGCTAATTAACCCTCTAATGGAAAAATCTGTTGACGGCTGATAAAGATGCATCGAGTTCAATTGAGAGCTGCGGTTGTTACCAGTGCAGCCCTCAGGCTACCAGTTCTGCACCACTGGACCGTGGATGGTAAACAGAGGCCAAAGCTGTGCTAGCACCGACCTGTGACCTTCCAACTCCTGTCTGTGGGATGATCTATCTGTGCAATAGTATGGATTCATATGGCTAACAGATATGTCAGGAAGGTCAGGGGTATTTTTCATGAAAGTTCGTTTGAAATGATGCGAGTCAATAGTAATAACCATGACAGCGGAACGAAATTAACTCTGTGCAACATCCAGTTCATCATTTCAGCCCCGCAACCCAGCAGACGGTCATTAGCCTGGACAACATTAATCAAATGTTCTTCAAAACGTGGTCTCTGTGACGTCTTTATTCATAAAATAACAGAAAAGTCTTCTAGAAAAACCGGTTTGAGGCTCTATTGGCGAGAGATGTTAGACCTTAGAAATAAAATCTTTTCATTTCACATCAGATCCAGTTTCACATTTCAATCAATTTTCACAAAAAACAAAATAAAAAATTGACAGAACATATTTCAAAAAGTGGCTTTCATTGGTTTAATTCAAGATGAGCAGAAAATGGACAAAATTTACCAGACTAAAAAGTCTTAAAATTGATAGAAAAAAGTTATTTCAATGAGAAATAAGCTTGGATTGTTTCAAAGTCAGTTTAATTTTGAATTTGTGTTGGCATACTCACTAAATTATTTATTCTCCTAATATTACAACTTTATTTTACTGTCGAACAACTGAAGTCTTTTAATATTATGATTTTATTCTTGTCATTAAATAAAAAAATAAAGTTTGCTATATAGTTGATCTGAAGTTAAACAAATTTTTTTTTTAAATCCAAATTTTCCAAAAATAAAATCTTCAGAAACCAAAAATCTGATTAATTCCTAGAATCAATTTATTGTCTGGCCTTCAATCAAAATATTTTACACTCAGAAGAAATGACTAAGAAGTGCTTAAAAGTTAGAAAAACATGCCACCGTATTCGGGTTGTTAAGGATTGTGGACAGCAATGAAGGAGCAAATTTCCATAAAAAATTAGTGAAATTTTGATATTGATCTCAGAATTTTTCAAGAAAAAAACTTTGATTTGAGCTTGGAAAGTTAAACATTTTAGACTTTTGTTTGTTTAAACAGTCAACGATCTTTTTTTTTTACCTTTGGCTTTGAGAAATTTCCAAGTATTTTCTTAAAAAATCTCAAAATTTCAGATTTTTTTTCTCACAAATTTTCCATTTTTAGGTCAGAAATTTCACATTTTTTTCTAGAAAATCTATAAGTTTCTGAGTGTTTTGGCAGAGATTTACTGCATTTTCTGTCTGTAGTGTCCAAAATATACGGATACATGGAATAACGTATCGTTGTCCGACTGCAGGTGCTTTCTTTGGAGTCGGACGTTCTGCCAGAATACAAACTCCAGGTTCCAGAAACAACATGGTGGATCCTGCTGCATTACAGCCCCTTCAAGGCCTTTTGGGACTGGATCATTCTGCTGCTGGTCCTCTACACGGCCGTTTTCACCCCGTACTCGGCCGCCTTCCTGTTGGACGAACATGGTAACCCGCGGCAAAGACGATGCGGCTACACGTGCAACCCTCTGAACGTGGCCGACCTCATGGTGGACGTGCTCTTCATCGTGGACATAATCATCAACTTCCGCACCACGTATGTGGACCACAATGACGTCGTCGTCACACAGCCGAGCCGGATAGCCAAGCATTACACCAAGGGCTGGTTTCCGATTGACATGCTAGCAGCGACGCCCTTCGACCTTCTCATTTTCAGATCTGGATCTGACGAGGTGAACATCTCTTTGCTGCATTCAATCGTGTCGTCCTAAAGTTGTAGTGTGCAGTGATGGCATAATTATTTTGAAAAAGTAACTTTAGTCTGATTGCTAATTACTCCTTGAAAAATAACTTAGATTACTGATTACTTGATTTGGAAAGTAACTAAGTTACATTGAAAATAACTTTTAGTTACTTAAAATGTAACTTAGTTACTTTGAAAAAGTAACTTTAATCTGATTACTGACTAGTCCTTGAAAAAATAACTTAGTTAGATCACTGATTACTTGATTTGCAAAGTAACTTCTTAGTTACTTTCAGTAGCTGCTAACAACGCTCCGCCACCTGTGAAAATGACATTGTTGTTTTCCAGAACTTAATTCTAAGTTATTTTATAATTAACAATGTATCTCCACTTATAAGATTGAACTAAAGAGATTTTTTAATGGTTACAACAGTATATATAAAAAAACGTTAGTAATTTGTGCGTGTTTTTGTGATCTCCTTTATTGTCTGGGAGACTACAAATAGTATTTTAGCCCTATTTGCGGTTTTCTGGAACGCAACGCAAAGCTCGAAATCATTCACAGCAAATATGTTAACTTGACATAAACAAAGACACAGCGGGACGGATCACCCAGGAAATGATGGACAGGGAGAGCCTGACTGAAACCACCTGAATGACGGACAAATTCTGGAATTTATTATAATACAAAATCTCACCAAGTAATTTTGGTCTAGTATCTTAAAACAGTTTAAATCAGACAAAACTAACTTATAAAATATTTTCAGCCAGAGACAGATTCTTGTTTTAAGTAAATAATTGGGATCTGTCCATAGCAATGCAACCAGTCACTGCCTCCATGCATGTTCACCTAACACGTCTCTTTATGTATTTATTTTTCTTCCATCACCTTTAATGTAGGGCGACCAGACGTCCCCAATTTCCGGGGACAGTCACCATTTTAGGTGACCTGATCCCCAGTTGATGCCGACCCTGGAAAAGTCCCAAATGTTAGCATTTTATGAATGAGAAATTTTTTTTCCTATATATCGTTATCACGGTAGCTGGAGGCTCCATTGACCCTTTTCCACTGGGTTGACTCGAGCCATGTTGCGCACAACAACAGCAGTTACGGTAGCCGCTCGCGCTGCTGTTAACGTTACAGAGAAGAAGAAGAGCATCATCACCAACCACCAATAAAAATCAAGAAGAGCAGCTGGAAGCTGGAAGAAGAGAGCTCGAGTTTTGAGCAGCTAACCTGATATGGTATGTGAAACGACGTGTTTTGTTTGAACTGGGATAATCTTTGCCGTCATAAAGATTTCTTTCATGGTAAAATGAAACTAAGGTTTTATTAACAAACCCAACAAGACAAGAGAACATTAGCAGCTACAGAATTAGCCAGAGGGAGAGAAATAGTAACAGGAAGGCTAAAATAAATAAACTCACCGTAGAGGAAGATGTTTGGGAAATAACTGGTGATCATCAATTTGTATTTTCCAATGATCTGAGTTTATACCTATAGTTTCTCACAAGAAATGCAATCACACAAGAAAACTGAATGAAGATGACCATGAACTGAAACTTTTGGAAGCCAGTTTCCTCCACTCTGTGCAAAAAATAAAATAAATTATCTCATTATAATGAGATTCTATCTCATTATAATAATAATTGAGATTCTATCTCATTATAATAATAATGAGATTCTATCTCATTATAATAATAATAATGAGATTCTATCTCATTATAATAATAATTGAGATTCTATCTCATTATAATAATAATGAGATTATCATTGTGATAATAATGAGATAGAGATAATGAGATAGAATCTCAAAATAATGAGATACTAAATATACTATACTAGTATTTATAATACTAGTATAGTATTATACTATACTAGTATAATAAATACTAGTATAGTAGTATTATACTACTCAGGGCCGTGCAGAGACTAGTAAAGGGGCAGGTGCTCAAAAAAAAAAGGGCACATCAAATCACATTTCAGGACAGAATAAACAAAACACAGCTCTCAGAGTTTAATTAACAATGATAGATTACAAAATTGTGAGACACAATCAAAGAACATCTGCTTGGGTTGCTGTACTTGCAGTGGAGATGAAGACGGTCCATTCAGAAAAATAGAGCTGCATCAAACTTTAACGTGGAACTGGAAAAAACAAAAGCAAAAATGTAACTAATGCATGTCACTATGAGAAAAGACTACTCTAATTGTGTTTTAGTGTATTTTGTAAGTACCTATGTACATTTTCTTCAATCTTTCCTCTTCTTTTTTCTTGTCAGTTTCTCTTTTCTTTTTTCCTCATTGTCTCATCTTCTCTGTGTTGAGTGAAGTCTTATTTATTTCAGTCTCTTGCCTTTTAACTGTTTAAAAACAAATTTCAAACTTTTAAGTATTTTTTGCTGTTTTTGTTCTCTTTTGTTCATAACAACAGTTTTTGTTGGTCATGTCTTGAAGAATGTTAATAACCTCACTGTGAATGATTGGCACAGTTGACCCAGTTGGTCAACAATCCACTGCCTTTCTTTTTTGTTTCTGACGTCTCTCTTTACGTGGCGTCTTTGAACTGAAAAAAGCAAAACAAAGAATTATGATCAGAACACTATAATAAACCACACTACCAATTCTTTACCCTTGTGTTTAAACCAATATGTTTTTCAGTCCATAGCATAACAATATTAATTTCAGAGAAAATGAGACCTCTCCTATGGAGTTCAATTTGTTTCACAATTATTCAATTAAAATACTAACCTCAATTAAATAATATAAAATTATGATCAAGACATTTTGAATTGTAAGATTTTTTTCAACAAAAAAAGTTTAACTTAAATTTTTTTTAAAAACTGAAATCACAATTTTTATCTCATGACTTAAAAAATTTGCAAAACAAACAAACTTATTTGCGCATGTCAGAAATCTTTGCTTGCTATTCAAAGTTTTGCTTGCGATTCTCACATGACGTCTGGGGAGAGCCTAAAATCAAAACCAAAGATTTCTGATGTGTGCAAATAAAAGTTTATGTTTGCCCCTTCATTAATGAGAGGCTTTTATTGGACAGAAACAGTTTGATTATTACATACATACAGTTATTTTTAATTCTAAATGAATATTCTTGTTGGACTTTTATTTAAATTCTCCTTCAAGATACATTTACCTAACGCTAGAATAAATGCAATATACATCATTCACCAAAGAAAATGAGAAAATCGGACATATATCCATTATGGAGATGATAAGTTTTGGACGGGCGATTTGCCCCTATTGCATAAGTAATACTGAAGAATGACTGCCGTCATTAACAATACAGGGAAGCTATTTAGTTACCTTGCTTTGCTAGCAAAGTCATTAGCTAGCAGCTAGCTCATAGCACAACAACAGCCTAATGTCTGATGATAAAAATACTGGATCGATAGATAAGAACAGCTTTTCCTCACCTGTCTGTCTCCTCCCGCTCAGTTTATTCAGAGAAAGGCGGACTTAGAGACTTATATTCTCTAAGACGCCTGTCTTGTTATATTTCATTTCTGCTTAAACTGCGACTCCGTGCTGAAGGAGAAACTATACAACATTTAACGTTTTCCGTTATCTGACAAGTAGCAAGCCGACTACAGTGTTTTCACCCAAAATAATTTTTTTCAGTTCACCAAAAGCTGTTTTGTAATCTGGAACGTCGCTAGCTTGAGCTCCGCAGTTAGCCGCCTTATCTCACCGCGCGAGAGGCAAGTGCGTCGTGCGTCACGGGCAAAAGGTCAAAGGTAACAATGTGACCGGAGGGCTTATTGTGTTGTTTTTCTTGCAAAGTAATAATAATAATAGTAATATAGTAATAATTGTAGTACATGTGTAAGAAAAAAAAACAAAAAAAAAACAAAAGGGCACTTGGGGCCATGGAGCAAAAGGGGCAGGTGCTCAAGCCCCCAAAGCACCCCCCTCTGCACGCGCCTGATACTACTATACTAGTATAGTATAATACTATACTAGTATTATATATACTAGTATAGTATATTTAGTATCTCATTATTTTGAGATTCCATCTCATTATCTCTATAATAATACTAGTATAGTATTATACTATACTAGTATAATACTACTAGTATAGTAGTTTGATACTACTATACTAGTATTATATATACTATATATGCATATATATACTAGTATTATATAGTATATATAATACTAGTATAGTATTATACTATACTAGTATAATACTACTAGTATAGTAGTTTGATACTACTATACTAGTATTATATATACTATATATGCATATATATACTAGTATTATATAGTATATATAATACTAGTATAGTATTATACTATACTATTATAATACTACTAGTATAGTATTATACTACTATACTAGTATAGTATAATACTATACTAGTATAGTAGTATCAAACTACTATACTAGTATAGTATGATACTATACTAGTATTGTATATACTAGTATTGTATATACTAGTATGTGCTAGTATACTAGCATATACTAGTATTATATATACTAGTAACATACTAGTAGCATGGTTTAGGTTTTAAAGCAGATTAAAAACCTAAACCAAGGTATCCATCCTGTATATACAATATATCTCATTATAATATACTATACTATATATACTATACTAGTATATATAATAAAAGGAATATAAAATACTATACTAGTATTATATATACCAGTATATATAATACTAGTATAGTATTATATGTATATATATCTCATTATAATATAATGAGATAGAATCTCATAATATATTATTTAATATATAATATATAGTATTATGTTACAATACTATCTCATTCTAATATTATTATATAATATATATTATATAATAATATTAGAATGAGATACTATCTAAGATTATGATAAACTGAATGAATGAGAAAAATGGGAAAACTGGCAAAGCTGAAGAGAAATATGAAATATAAACATACTATTTAATATCTTATATGGTGCATTTTAAGTGTTTCTCTTTACTATTCTTGTATGTATATGATGGTGTTTCTCACATCATGTTTTCTGCTCTTCTTCTATCCAGGCTCTTCAGACCCCGGATGGTTTTCAGGTCCAGAGATAAAGAGATGAGCTCATGTTAGTGGACTTCACACAATGTCCTTACATATCAACTACATAACTATACACACACTTCATGTATTTATGGACACTTATGTGTCCATTCATGCACAACATTCACATGTGGACAAAGTTGTTGGTATCTTCTGTCAAAGACTGATAACCCACAGTGTCACTGAAACAACCTGAAACTGACAAAAGTGATAAAAGAAGATTTACTGAAAATTAACCAATAAAAAAATCAGACATTATTTTGAATTGGGGTTCAACAGAGTAAGAAATAACATAGCAAGATGACTACAATTACACAGATTATTCTGAAACTTAAGGTCCAATCCTCCCTGGCTGGAGGAAAATTAATGACAAATTCAAGAGAACTATGATATGAATGGTTACTAAAAGTCCAGAACAACCAAGTCCAGGAAGTAAAGGGGAACTACAAGGTCAAGGTCATGAGATGACCAAGGAGGAAAGTAAATCATTAACAAGTGAGGCTGGAATTTCCACAGAGACCTTCGGACAGATGAGACAAAATGTCCATCAGCTCTTTGGTCACAGACACAAAAAACGCTAATAAGTTTTAACTACCATCAATTTAATTGAGCCACAATCTGAATCAGTTTGTCAGGAAACAATTGTTTACTATTTTTGTCAGTTTCAAGCTACTTCAGTTTCCACTGTGGGCTTTTTGTCATTAACAGAAGGTACCAGTTATTCATGTATGCTCGCTCACAAACTATGTACACAATATGCCCCCAATATTTACAGTTTTATTTTTCTATGACTTTTATTATTATTAATAGCAATATTACTACATTGTGGAGAGACACGCTCCTGCTTTTATATTTGCCTTTAATGTTTAAATGTTAATAAATATGTTAACTGTAACTGTCCCAGGTTCTCCATTTTATTTTGATAAATTTGCTTTTACTTTATCACAGAGAGAGAAATGTTCCCACATTTAGTCTAGGAAATCTGGTGACCTTACGTTAATGCGGCTCTCACCGCTGCGTGTCCCCCCCACAAAAATGGTATCAAAACGTGCAGCTTGATTTGGTGAAGGGAGATATTACATTTATTGGGATTTAGAGTTACAATTTTCAACTGCCGAAACGCAGAGTATGAACGCCACCAACTGCCACTCCATTAGAGCTACAAATGAAGTGGATTTTTGACCCTAAATAAATATTTAAATCGCCGTCACGCCCACAAATATCGCCCTATCAGTATCAAACTTTATGTCATTGATACGCATGCCTCCGGTAAATAGTTTTCGAAATTTCCCCGAAGGCTCTTAGTCCAGCGACCCCCAAAATGTGTCCCTCTGCTGCTGCTATACCCCAAATATCCCATTCAGAAATTAAAATATCCACGACGGTACCCAGTATCGCAACGTTCCTGAATTGTATAAATTCACAAACGCGTTCCCAATTCTTCTGAGGACTGTCGGCCTCTCTTCTGGATTTTCTTCTTCCCCCTTTTCTTTTTCCACCGGGGTCTCCTCTTCTGGTGGGATTTCCTCCCACTTCGCCTTGGCCTTAATCTGTTGAATTTTGTCCCTCAAAGAAAATATTTCTTTTTGGAGCTTTTTGTTTTCCTCTTTGAGGGACTTACACTTCTCTGTGTAAGACGCTTCGGCGTTCTCTCTTGTTGTCCTATGTGTCCGATCAAGGACCACATAGGACTGCTCCATGGCATCGTAATCGCGGTTTAATCTTTCCAGTTTTTGATTTTTCCTTCACCAAATCATGATTTAATCTACTTACTAGATTTTTATAACGCTGATGTTTTGTCTCTAGTTGCTCGTTTTCAATTTGAAGGCTTTTCGCATTATTACTGCTGAATCTACGGAAAATCTCGATCGTATCCCTCAAATATTTATTTTCTTTTTTCAGGTCTCGGTTCTGTGCCCTGAACATCTTCTGGCTTTTCGCAGAATTTCAATTGTAGCCAATAAAAATCATTTTCTTGCATTGCGGTTGGTTGAATTTCCACAACAATAAATCTTTCCCTGCCATTGTTATTTCTCTCTGATCTAAAGCTGCAAATGAATCTCTCTGAGGAATCTGGGAATATAGAGACAGTCACCAGTGATGTCACAGACAGGATGAGTGACATCACAGTTTCACATCAAAGCCACAAGACCTCTGTTGCATAAGGAGGGTGTAAGGGGGGGCAGATGTTTTTTTTTAAACTTTATTCGCAGATACACTGTGTGACGACAGAGTGAAACATTTATTATGCCTCAAGAAAAACCAAACAGATAAATACAGATAAACGGTATTCAAGAAAAGCCAATGGGCTTCAGTTCCCAACATTCGAAGCTAAAGATTTAAATTGTTTTAATAACCATTTCCTGTCAAATATAAACTTAATTGTAAAATGCAGCAAGACATGCTTTCCCAACCTGGAACAATAAATCTGATATTTATTGTGACAATATTCATGAGATTTATGAGAATCTGAATTGTTCAGCCTGCTTTTAGTGAAGCCAAGTAAGACATCTTCCCGTAACAGCATAAATTTTGCTTCTATGTTGTGGTGAATAAAGTCACACACATTCTGCCAAAAAGCATTAAAGGGACAATGCCAAAACAGGTGGACAACAATTTAAGGACATGAATCACAAAATGTATAATTTACATCAAATTATTTCTTGAATATAGAAAGGATATAAACATATAAATATAAAAAGGACCAAACATCTGCGATAGCTTTTTATTTTAAACGGGTTGGATATTCTGTTGAAGGAAGTGATGTTTATGCTGTGTAAACTGTTCCAATGCTATGCTAAGCATAACTTCCTGATGAAACCCTTGGATTGAAAATGGATGTTTATTATGACTGTATTTCAATGAGTCTGCATTTTCTGTCCCATTGATCTTCTTGAAGGAACTCTATTGTTGGTGTGTCAAAACAGTCTTTTATCACCAAACCTGAGTGTTTCTCAAACTTGCCATCTTTCCAATTAGCTCTTTTATTTTCCTGAACCCCATTTGCGTAATTTTACGATCAATGGAAACGCATCTAGTTAAACCTTTCTGTGGATTCAGTACGTTTAAAGTATTATTACTTTTCTTTTGGTTTTCGTGGTGAAAACTGCTGCAGTTTGACGAGTTATCCACAAAATGACCTTGTTTTGGAAAATGTTCAGTCTAGTAAACAAAAGTTCTGGACAAATGAGTTCTTATGGAAAGATGTGCTGAATCTCATAGCAGAAAAGTTACCTGTAAGTTAGTAAGTTAACACTTGGTGACATTTTGTATTTTTGCAGTATGGTTCGCCCATAACCTCGGTCTTGGTTCGGTTAAAGTGAGCTCTGGTGCGGTTTGAATACTTATGTGAACGGCAAGCGGACCGGAGGCCACTCCAAAGCAGGAAGTGGACTACATCACAGGGCATTCTGGGTAAAAATAACCAAACCAAACATGTTAGCCTAGCACTGGCGGGAGAAATGTCTTCTGCTCTTTTACTAAAGAACAAAGAGAATCCTACAGCCGCTAAAACTCCACTCCATTTTTTTTCACACTTTTAGCCAAGGAAGAAGAAAGTTGCTTCAGTTTTTTTTTTTTTTTTTGCCATTTCCTTCAGCGGTTTCGTGCAGCGCCACCACAGGCAAGGAGGGGAACAGGTTTTCAATCGGTTTGGTTCTTTTTGGCAGTGCAATGTGAAAGTGAACCACACCATAAAAAATGTAACAAATGTTGCAATTTATTGGAGTGAAAAACACCCTTAGGTTGAGCACGACTTTGTGTCCCCAAAAAACCCCACCAAGAGTTCAAGAGGTAGGACTACTTTCCCAAGTTATTGTGTTTTAACACTGATTGTCTGATGATGCGTTTACATTTTCTCTCCTGTTGCCCATGGAAACCAAAGATGGCCACCTTAATCAGCCTGCTCAAAACGGCTCGGCTGCTGCGGCTGGTCCGCGTGGCCCGAAAGCTGGACCGATACTCCGAATACGGCCGCCGTCCTCTTCTTGCTCATGTGCACCTTTGTGCTCATCGCCCACTGGCTCGCCTGCATCTGGTACGCCATCGGCTTCGTGGAGAGGCCGTACACGGAGACCGGCTGGCTGGACAACCTGGCTGAACAACTGGGGAAGGCGTACAACGAAAGTGACTCCAGCTCTGGGCCGTCGGTGAAGGACAAATACGTGACGGCTCTGTACTTCACCCTGAGCAGTTTGACGAGCGTCGGGTTTGGGAACGTCTCGCCAAACACAAACTCCGAGAAGATTTTCTCCATCTGTGTCATGGTCATCGGCTGTGAGTTAGATTCAAAGAACTCAAAAAGCTACGACCAAGTATTGATGTTTTTTCTTAAATTACGGGAATAAAGTCATAATGGTTTGACTTTGATAATTCTGATATTATCAAATAAGTTAATACGATAAAGTTGTAACATTACAAAAAGTTGTACAGAATAAAGTAAAAACAATGAGAATAAACTCCTAAAAATGTGAATAAAGTCATAATATTTTGGAATGTCATAATCTTACCAGAATGAAGTTTTAATATTATAACTTTATTCTGGTATGATTACCAGTAGTGATATGAAAGCACATTTTCAAATATGATAATGCAAAATATGACTTTATTCATGTAATACTACAACCGTATTGTAGTATAATTTAAATTTTTTTACTTCAATTTTTTTATTTTGTATTTTTTAAGTGTTACTCTAAAACTCTGTTGTAAAAAGCTACTTAAAGATACAATATAAATTTCAGATTGTCCATTTCAGGGCTACAACTAATAATTATTTTAGTGAACCGATAAATCTATCGATTAATCTGATGACACATATTTGATTAAGGATTTTCTAATCATAATTGCTTATTTTCTTCTCTTTTTTAATCTGTCGCAGCCCTCATGTACGCCAGCATATTCGGAAATGTGTCTGCGATCATCCAGAGGCTTTACTCCAGCACGACCCGCTACCACACCCAAATGCTGCGGGTCAAAGAGTTCATCCGCTTCCACCAGATTCCCGGCGGCCTGCGCCAACGGCTGGAGGAGTACTTCCAGCACGCCTGGTCTTACACCAACGGCATAGACATGAATGCTGTGAGTAAAGCAAAGGTGTGTCCTCCAGTAGCTGCACTGTCAGGTATATATGAGTTACATTTCATCTCTGATGTGAGGACGGGTTTGTTTTGCTCCTTTTAAAGGTGCTGAAGGGATTTCCAGAGTCGCTGCAGGCAGACATCTGCTTGCACCTCAACCGCTCTTTGCTGCAGAACTGCAAGGCTTTCCATGGAGGCAGTCAAGCTTGTCTGCGGACGTTAGCTCTGAGGATCAGGACGGTCCACGCTCCTCCAGGGGACACGCTCATCCACTATGGAGACTTCCTGGACTCCCTCTTCTTCATTTCCCGTGGCTCCATCCAAGTCATGAGGAACTATGTTGTTGTGGGTTTATTAGGTACAGTGACCTGTGTTTCTATTGGCCCCTTTGCATTTGCAAATCCCAGGAAGTGCTACTAATTGAAAACTGACGTGCTTCCATGAAGCTATCGTTGTAGTACTCGATACCGGTCTTTGTCTCGGACCCTAAAGTCTCAGCCTCATACATAAAGTGCACACAAAAAATGTGCAGCACCATATTTTACGCACAAGTCGGTATGTGTAAAAATTCACTTTGGGTCAAAGTTGTATAACTATACGCAAACTTTCTGTGGACAATATCAAATCTGACGACATTCAGTTATTTAGACCAAGAAGCATTGAACCCAATGCTTTTTATGATTTTAATATTACAATTATAGTTTTTTTTCTGTAGAAAAGAATGACATATTCGGCGAGCCTATCCACCTGTACGACGAACCGGGACGGTCCAATGCAGACGTGTGCACCATCACCTACTGCGACCTGCACCGCATCCCCAGGGAAGACCTGCTAGATGTGCTTGACATGTACCCGAGTTTTGCTGACAACTTCTGGAGGAACCTGGAGATCACCTACAACCTGCGAGATGTACGTTGTGAATCTTCTCACGGAAATGATTTGATCCCACTTTGTTTGAAACAGAAACAAGGAAAAAGTAATGAAAACAAAACGAAAGATTACAGATTACAACTATCATCTCCACTGCAAAAAACACAAATCTTAACAAGTTTTGTTGGTCTTGTTTGGTCAGTCACTCTGTGTTTACCTAGCAACAACCTGTTGACTAACTTGTGCAGGAGTCGTTTAAGGTTTCTTAACTGTGCCTCATAATTACAGTTAACAATTCACAACAGCAGCACGGAGTGAAAACTGGATAAAATGGCATCTTTGGCTGGATTTCAGACATTCAGATATAAAGACTGATCAATAATTATCAATATCTGCAGATATTAAATGCTTATTTTTTCCAGCTTTGTGGTCTAGCATTACTTTAACACTTTTTTCTCAGAATAGAATATTTGTCATTTTCCTTTTATTTCATAAATATGCTTCTTTTGTTTTCGACTTTCCCTCCAAAAAAAGCCCACTGAGAAAAAGTCGAGGCACGTCAGACATTTTGAAAAGCTTCTGTACTTTACGGCTGAATATTAAATGTAATTTTTGATCTTCAGACTGATCAAATTCCGCCAGTAATAACCAACGAATCTGGAGACGACAGTGAATATCGCCACAAAGCGCGACACCGAATCCATCCCCTCGACTGCAGAATAAGACCAGGTAGGGAACGAGGCTGTAAATCCGACTCCAATCACATGTTTAGGCAGGTTTTACGTCCCGTCATCCGGAGATTTTCCTCTGATCAGATGGAATCGACCACGAAGACTCGTTCCCCCACCAGTCCTGCCACTGTTCGCCGCCTCAGGACGGCTGGGACGACCTCTGGAGCTCCTCCTGTTCCCAGTCCAGCGAGGATCTGTCGAAGCCTCCCACTCCAACCACCGGAGCGAATCCCGTTCCCACTGACGATCCCAGACCGGTCCTCTTCCCCACTGACGATCCCAGACCGATCCACTTCCCCACTGACGATCCCAGACCGATCCCCTTCCCCACTGACGATCCCAGACCGATCCACTTCCCCACTGACGATCCCAGACCGATCCCCTTCCCCACTGACGATCCCAGACCGATCCACTTCCCCACTGACGATCCCAGACCGATCCACTTCCCCACTGACGATCCCAGACCGATCCCCTTCCCCATTGAGGATCCCAGACCAATCCCCTTCCCCACTGCGGCCCCACAGGTGCCCCAGAGCGGAGCCTCGGTGGGGACGAACATGGTGCTGAACCAGGGCCACCAAGGTAGAAATGAGTCTTGCATAACGTTGCATTATTGACGTAAAGCAACCGATGCAATCTGTGTTTTATTGCAGTAATGTGAGATTCCTTCAGGTTGCAGATTACTCTTCTTGGACGTCCTATATCTGCTTTTTATTTGATTTCATTTGAACTTTTTTTTATGGAACCTACACAGATTAACTTTTTTTACTTCCGATACCGATCCAGATATCTGAGGTTTAATATCGGCTGATACCAATACAAAGCAAAAAGCGATGTTATTAATGCCAGTGACGGAAAAAATATGAAGAAAATTGGTGAAGGGTATTATTTCTCAGGCAGGCAACTTTTTGTGTCCAACTGGAAACAGTTGGGGCAACAATTTGGTGCAAAACCCCCAATAATAATCAGACTTTTAATACCCCCATGGTATAAACTTTATTCTGTTGCCTCTGTGATTTCTTAGCTTCATCATTGAATCTGCCGGGAATGTATCGATACTGGCCAGATCAACAGCAGTTGTCCAATCAGGTTTTACGATCTTCTTCCACCGGTAAACCAAACCCGCCCCTGTTCCCAGAGGAAAGGCCCAGTGAGCTTGAGTCGCGACTCCAAGTCCTGCAGTCACAGCTCAACAGGTACCTCTAGTGTCCTCAGCTGCTTTGGCGTAAAGTATCCAAGAACTGTTTTTACACGTTCTAAAACATCAAACTTTTCCTTCTTAACTGTCATTTCCAGAGTTTCTTGAGATCATTGATTAATGCATAGGAGCCTAACTCTGACCTAATATATAAATGTTATGTATGTATTTATGGATGGATGGATGGATGGATGGATGGATGGATGGATGGATGGATGGATGGATGGATGGATGGATGGATGGATGGATGGATGGATGGATGGATGGATGGATGGATGGATGGATGGATGGATGGATGGATGGATGGATGGATGGATGGATGGATGGATGGATGGATGGATGGATGGATGGATGGATGGATGGATGGATGGATGGATGGATGGACGGACAGACGGATGGATGGTAGGCGAATGTATTTACATATAGTGACTCGCCATCACTTCCTGTCTCTCTCCCCTCCAGGCTGGAAACTCGAATGACGGCTGACATCAATGTTATCCTCCAGCTGCTACAGAGACAGATGGCTCCAGGTCCCCCCGTTTACGGCATCGTTTCCCCCAGTACGCTTCCCATAGACTCCTCTGCTATGTATGGACCTGGGGCACCAGTACTGGACAGCATATACCCAGTTTCCCCAGTACAGATGGACTGCAGGGCTTCCAAGCAGGTGTGGAATCATTGTACTAAAGAACTCCATCAGATACAAACTATCGATGCAAACAATTAATTTACTAATTAGTAGTTTATAGTTTATCAACTTAAAAGTTGACGAAGACTTCTCTTAGTGTTGTAGTTTGGCCACCTTCCAGCAGAGGGCGACGCTGATTGTTGCTAAAACTGCTAGAAAAAAAAGTTTGTTCTTCAAAAATAAACTGAAATTTGTGACGTTTTTCAAGATTTATCTCAAAATGTGAAATTTTCTAGCAAGTTTTTTACTTTTCCAACTCAAACATTTCCTTTTTTGCTGAACATTTCAGAGATTAATCTCAGTATTTTTGAGTTTTGTAAGCAAATTTTCAATTCTAGAAAATGTCTAAGATTAATCTCAATATTTTTTATTCTTTTTTCTCAAATCATTTACTTTTCCAACTCAAAAATAGTCTTTTTTATTAAATATTAAAAAAGTTGAATATAAATGTGTTATATAAATATGACACATATATTTGTATTCCAAGTAATGAACTCAATATTTCTGAGGTTTTTTTCTGGCAAACTTTCAACTTTTCAAACTCTTTTTTTCCCTAGAATATTTCTGAGATTAATCTCACTATTTCTGAATTTGGTGGACATTTATTCTTCCTTTCTCTCTATCTACAATGGCCCTAATTCACCGGTCAGTGCTCTTAATGCAAGAGGAAAATCAGAATTTTAACATTAATTAATTGTTAGTTTTTCAATAAGAACAATCAACTTTTTAAAATTTTTAATTTTCACCTGAAATAATGCTTTGTAAATTTCACATGGTTTTCTTTACCTCAGAGTTTGGACCAGATAGATGTGAAATCCTCCAAAAAGTCCCAGGAGTCGTTGTCCAGCGGGATCCACATGACTGCAGCCTCTGACGACACGATGTCCACGACTGTCACCCCCGACACCGACACTCACGCCGGTTTCACCCCCAAGATACCACAGCAACTGCCCAGATCGACCCTTGAACCCAACGTGAGCCTGTGTGGGACGGTCCGCTTCCCGTCTTTGCCGGTGAACCTGGACCTGACCTCAGAACCCGCCGAGATCCAGAAACACACCTCAGACCCAGCGCTGCCCGTCTTCACCTGACCGGCCGGCTTCACCTGGACAGAACCAACATAGTCTCAGGTTTTATTTTGTTTTTTAACAGCTATCAGGAAAAACATGAAGCAAAAATTACATGCAGTGCCTTGCAAAGGTATTCATAGACTTTTCCACGTATTTTCATGTCTTAACCTCAAATTTTAATGGATTTGAGATTATATAAAACATAAAATCCAATTTAACTACAAAATTAAACAAATGTATGGTTTCCCAATTAAAAAAATAAAAGTATTTCTCTACCAGCTTTACATACCTGGATAAGTTTCACCCTATTCTTCTATACAAAAAATACATAAAGCTGCTTTAAAATAAATGACAAAAATAAATATAATAATAATCAGATCATTTCCATATATTCACTTCTAAAGTTAGCTGATGTTAATTCTATTGCTAATCTTGATTGATTGGGAACAAATTTAAAGTGTGAAAATCATATTTTAGAGTCTGCAAACAAAAACGTGAAGGATAAAAATAAAACAGCAGTGAGCATTCCATTTTTAAAAATTTAATTTAATGATTTTAAGACATTTTTCTAGATACTCCCTTAAAAGAAAACAAAACAAACAAAAAACGTCTGCTTTGGGAGGATTTTACTGTTTCTAGGTTGACGAACATGAAAGGGGCAAAATAATCATAAGATTTTGTTTCTTCTACTTGATTCTTTTCTCAATGACCAAAACTATTTGTTTTATTATTTTTTCTGTTTTTACTTTTTGTCTTTTTGGAATAAATAACTAAAAAATATGATTGAACCAATTATACTTTACTGCAGAGCGACGTGGGACTTAATTAGCAATAATATGGTTTTTTATTTATTTATTTATTGCTCTGTTATGCAAGTGGAAAAAAGGATTCATTTGTGTTAGGACTGTTCATTTCCAGAGGAGTGAGAGTGTTACCTTGATCATTTTTCCGAATGGCTTCATGTCTCGTTATGCCTCAAACTCAGAGTATTTCCAGACTGTTATTGTAACACGGTGGAAGCCCACTGAACCTTATTGATGTCTCTCTTGGCTGTGTGAGCCAGCATGGGCTCTTCCATGCTGGATGATTAACTGCTGTCTAAGTCTGTGTTGTAAATTAAACAGCTCCCTCTTCTGCTCAAAGTTAGTTACTGCATCAAATTTAGGGTGTTTTCACATCTGCTGGTCCAATTGGGAACCAAAATGGCAATATTTGCCAAAAAGTCACTGAAAAGTCTTCTTGCAAATGTACTAAGACATTTGCACTAAAAACAAAACTATGACTACTTTTGAGTTCTTTGAAGAGAATCAAACCACTTACCGAGTAAGTTTAGGTCCACTTCGTTTCAGTCAAAAGATGTGACGAAATCAGTTTTTGTTGTTGTTCAGTGACTCTCCCATCAGGTCTCTACATCCCTCACCTGTAAACAGGAAGGCAGTTCATAGGTAATATATACAACAATTCTGCACTGGTGCTAAAGACAGACAACTAGAAATAAAAAACTGGAAGAAAAACTTTTAGTCTGTGGTGCTTAATTGCCTTCCAATTTGCTACTTTGACTACATTAGGACACGTTTTCAATTTACTGATATTTATTGATGCACTTCTGTAACAAACAGTAAAGAAAATGACAAAAAAAATCTCATACTAGCATAATTTAAATGATGAATCAAAATTCTTAATTATTTTTTCACAATAAATTGATAAACGACACAATTAGATTTGTCAGATTAAACAATAATTTAATCACATGATAAAACGAGTTTAATAACTTTCATTTGCATGATTTATAGATTTTTTTTCTTTCAAAAACTGGATGATAAAAGTCTGGTGTTTTGGTCTCAACTATCCCTTTTTTTGAATAATAATTTTGTTTACAAAGACTTCGTAATTTATTTTGTTTGTTGTTTTTATTTTATTTTTTAATGTTTTCCAGTTCCCGTGTTAACTGTTCACTAAAATTTAAAGTTTATTATTTGAGAGTGTTTTTGCATGACTATGCCTTTATCATTATGCTGCTTGAAAATTGTCTCAAAGCAACATTATTATTGATCACAGTGACGTTATATTTATCGTTTATTGTCCAGTAAAATTTATCGACAGGCAGATACGATAAATGCCAAATCCTAACATACATAAACTTAGACTATAACATATAAAAACACACTATCCTTTAGCAATAAGTCCTAACCAAAATGTTGGACAGTAAACAAATCCCTTCAATTAAATTTAATTTCGGAAGTCAGAAAATGAACAGGTTCCATGAACTTACCTTGTTGTTGTGCTCCTTCTCGAAACTGATAGCAGCAATCGGAACCGTTGATCCGTTTGGACGGTCCAGTTCGAGGCGCAAACAGTCTATTGACTATGTATATTTCCTTATTTGTAGCGCAAAAATCTCCGGTAACGAGTAATTTCCGCTAATGACGAGGACACTGAACGCATCGCACCAACCGCCTGCTTCGATAATAAAACTTAGCGGTACCGCTAAATGAATGTTAATGCGGATAAATGTAAGCTCAACAGTTCACTTATTGTTATTCAAACCATTCCTTACCAATTGAAACACCAATGGGATGAAAATTAGTGTCAAATGTTTAAAATTAAAAGCATAGAGCAGAAGGACTTAATTCAACAATATGGCGGCGAACAGAAATGAATGCGGGTCATGGAGACGACAGGTGTTGCCTTCTATACACCAGAATAATGTGGGAATTAAGACTACTGGAAAATTGTCTGCCAAGAAAGCAATCCAGCAAATTGATTTAACTTGTTTTAAATTGAAGTTAAAGATTTTGTCTTTAATTCGTTTATTTTTTTGTTTCAATTGGTTTATATGCCCGAAGAGTTCTAAACAGTAATTATGGTTATAATTTGAAGAAAATATAAATTACATTTATTAGATATCTTAAAGTACACTCTATTTACACTAATGGGTTCTGTTTGAATATTTTTTCAGCCATTTTTATGTACACGTGATACTCATGTAAATTGCAGATTTACGACATGTTCCTGAAGGCAGCATCTGAAATAGAACTACATCTCAGCTAATTGATGCTTTTAGCACATCGTTTCTCTTGTGTACCTGAACTTAAACGGGGCCACAGATTTTTTTTAAAAGCATATTTTAAAGATATGCTTTAAAATAAAAGACACAATTATGTTAATATTAATGTTTTGTAGACATATTTTGTATTTAAGCGGCTAGGTTAGCTAGCATGAGAAAGCTAGCTAACCTCAGAAGAATTAGCTAACATACAATAATGCTAATGTGGGGCAATAAAGAGTATTTCTATTTTATTCTATTCTAAAATGGTTCTGTCACTGGGAGACAGGAGTAATTTGTAATTATGTTTAACATAAATAAAACAGCAGCAGCTTGTTTTATTTATGTCTGGAAAACAAGCTTGATTTAACACTTTCTCGATTACTAGAAATAAATAAAAAGGAATTTAGCAAAAGAACAAGTAAGTTTGAATAAATTGGGACAGTTTCCATCAGTTACCACTGTGACCAGTTTATTTCTATATAGCTTTTCAACATTTACATTATGGTTCAATGTACAAATCCCAACAAACTGGTTATTTATACCCCGTCACAATCATAACTGTGAAAGGTAAAAACAAACAAAAAACATATATATATATATATATTTCACACAAAGTCAAAACAGGTTTTCTTCAAATGCAAATGATTGATTTTAAGTGTTGGAAAAAGTTCAACAAACTTTTAGCTGCATTTTTGTTCTTTTCTTCTTGTTTGATTAGATTACAGAAGTTATGTTTTTTTCCATATTTTCGGTCCTTTTGTGGAAGTGTAAACATGTTAAATAACCTGTCAGAGGGCTGATTTTTACCTGGTTAATGTTTCCTCTGTTCTGCATACATTTAAGCTCCGTACTTCTGGTAAAAAACTGAGGATGAGTTTGCAGATAAATTCTCAGAACTGTTTAAAGTACAAATCGAACCACTGCACTAAAACTCGTGGTTTAATATCGACCCTTAGTTGTGATTTTGCAACGACTTGAAATGACTGTTAGCTGCAACAAAGAGACAAAACCTTTGAGATTTGATTTAACACAGTCCAAAAAAGTAATAAAAATACTCTACGTCTGCAGCACGAATGTTCTTTAGCCCAGATTTAAACACTTTAGCAAACTTTAAATAAAAAGTTGCAGGGAGATTATGCATCTTTCAAACTTAACACGAAAGGCAATCCAGAAATGCTGCTCACAATGCAAAAACAAACTGTAACCAAATATTTTTGGTCTGGCTTCTAGTTCAAATATAGAAGTACACTTAAAAAAAAATACAAAACGAACTTGTCTTTTCTCAAGTGTACAAAGATATTTTAACTATAAATCAAACCAAAAATACTTGAGAATTTGTGTTTTTGCTGGGCAGGTCTTTCAAAGTCAGAATAGTTTACCTTTGTACAAACAAGACTCCCTGGTCAACATGTGTAAAAAGCCTTAATATTTTGTTATTTTTTTTATTGCTGTTGCAACACTGAATTAGTTGTTTTTAACAAAAGTCCCTGGTTTAAAAACTTGTGGATATTTCTTTAAAATAAATGTAACCGTTGCAACTTTTGAACACTATCCATAGGTGGAAAGCGCATTAGATTTTCTTTATAAAATTAGTATCTGAAGTATCAGCAACCACCTGTAATTTTATAAAAAAATCAATTATTTCTAAATATGTTTTTCCTTGAATTGTTTCACTTTTTGGGTTGTTTTTACACATCTTTACCAAACAAGATGACACATTATACTGTATCTGTATGAAGTCTTTTTCCTCCCTAATTAATACATTGTTTATGTAATATATTTTTTACAAATTAAAAAAACTGAATGTGTTAAAAGAAAATCCCTGACATGTTACATACATTTAAAAACAAAAAAAATAAAGTATTTAGAAATCTTAAAGACGTAATTCTGGAACAAAACTCTTCAAAACCCGTATTAAACATAAAATTTGACGCAAACTTGGTGGGTGAGATACATTCAGGAAGTATCCGAGCCATTGCTTTAAAAGGCCGCAGATCAGTAGTAATAGTTGTACAGTCAGTATGTCGCGACTTTCTTCTCCAAAGAGGAAGGAAAACGTCGACGATGAGAACAACAAAGGCTCCATTGATCGAGTCAAAAACCAGCTACACTGCAAAAACACAAAATCTCACCAAGTATTTTTGGTCCAGTTTCTAGTGCAAATATTTCAGTTCACTGCAAATGAGACAAAAGTAACTAAGTAACTTTTCAATAAGATATAGGAGCTTCTTTTAAGTCAGTATTTGCTGAGTATTAATGAAAAAGGTTCTAGTTAAATTGGTAGATTATTTTACTTATGTTGTGGAAAAATGTCTTGTTATAAGTGAAATTATCTTTTTCATCGATATTAAGGAAGCTCCTGCATCTTGCTGAAAATCATTTCTTAAGATAGTTTTGTCTTATTTCAAGTGAACTAAGATATTTTCCCTAGAAACTGGAACAAAAATACTGATGCCAATTTGAAAATAAGCGCTATAAATGCGCTTATTTATGATGTTGAATGCAACTCTTTGTTTCTCGTCACATCGATCGCGGATTATATCGTGACATCAAGGAAGGCATCAAGCAGCGTAGTAGAAGTGAGAAATACTGCCACCGGCACACAGCAAAAAACTCAAATTTTACCAAGTAGTTTTGGTTTATTTCTAATGAAAATATCTAAGTACACTTAAAATAAGAAACACTCATTTACAAGTAACTTTCCAGCAAGACACAGAAGCTTGTTTTAACAAAATAATTCCTTAATATTGTTGGGAAAAGTGCTTGTTCCACTGGAAGATTATTTCACAATCAACTGGAAGTGCGGCGTTACTGAGCAACGCCGGCCAAGTCCAGCCCGTCTCCCAGCAGATTATGACGAAACCTCTTCCTATGTTATAAATTAAATAATCTGCCAGTAGAATTAGTACTTTCTCAACAATGTTAGGTAATTATGATATGAAAACAAGCTTTTATCTTGCTGAAAAGTTACTTGTCATATTTCAAGTGAACTTTAAGTAGGAACTAGACCAAACTTACTTGGTAAAGTCAATTATTAACTGGCTGTTCATGCATTGATTATCCAAATGGAGCAGAGGGGCGGTTTTTGTCTTCTCTGAAGGCTTTTTTTGCATCCTAACAGAAATCTCTTCCAACTTTTTGTGAAATATCCTTTCCAACTTGCAGAGAGTGGCTCACTGGCTCGGAATATGCACAGATTCTTGGGTAAGTGTTGGCTTTTAATATGCATTAGCTTATGAAGTCTACTCGGACTCCACAAAGTAGCTGCGGTCCGATACGTCAGAGCGGCACAAAGCTGCTGTCTTCGCTATACAGGAAGCCTTTCTTTCAGGGAGCAAACCCAAAGGCCAGATGGGCTGCAAGGGCCTTCTCTGTTTGAGACAAAATGGCTTTGAGGGCACTAGAGACCTCCGTCAAATGTGACCAGAATACTAAACACCATCCTCAATGCACATCTTGGATTGTTTTGTCTGTGGTAGTTGAGAAAAAAATACAAAAACTACTTCATATGTAGTGGGAAAAAAGCCTGAATGTTAATTAAACAGTGAAGAAAAACAGTTGAATGGTTCTTTATCGTCAAACTGGGATGAGTTTTTCACCAAAGCGTCCCTAATTGTAGATGAATTCACACGATGTCACAGACACCATATTATTGCTACACTGCGCTGGAGTCAGCAGCGAGTTTTCTGATAGTCGGCCTCAAATCGATGTGCTCACATTCAAACAAGGACTCCACTCAGGTCCGTCACAAAACAAACCGTCTTCCCAACTCAATCAGCAACTCCTGCAGTTCCTGTTCCTCCTCCTCAAGTGTGACCAGTCCAGGTATCTGCAAGTCCGAGATACTCTGGGTTTTCCGCGGTGGATGTGACGAACCCGTTGATGTGCCTGGTGATGTTTCCGTTGGTCTCCTGGGTCGCGGCGCCGTCTCCCGCCGCTCCCGGCGGAGCGCCGTTGGCTTTGCCCCCGAGGTCCAGGTAGTACGGGTTGTCGAAGGCGGGGCAGGCGGAGTTGACGGGGATGAGGTACCCCGGGTTCTCAACGCTGTGGCCGGACCCGAGTCCGTTGGGGAGCCGTCGGTCCGGTCTGGAGCCTTTACGTGGGAGCGTAGTGGGTCGCTCTGGGACCGCCGGTCTGGGATCCAGCATCTCCTGGTTGACGTACTCTGAACGACGGATGAGGACAGTCAGAAAATCAGTCAAATCTCTCAGGGACATCGACTAGGGCTGCAAGTTATCGATTAATGAGTTAATCCAAAGTTGATGGATCTCATCCATCAACAAGCAGCGGACATGTTTTTAAAAACCTGAGTTTTCTCTTGTGTCATTAGGGCCGTCTATTAAATTATTATGAAATGCTGAGAAAACATTTTGATGTTATTTTGTGGCAACTGTTGTCAACTCTGACCAAGCAAACAAAAAACTGTGGTTTTCTCTCAGTGTTAAACTTAAACATATTCATAAAACAGAAACCTCACAGGTTCCCAGTAGAAAAATAAAACACTTCTTTCGCCATGAACAGAGACTTACAGTCTGTAGCTGCTCTTGAGGAAATGTTCAGACTTCACTGTGTTTTTCTCTGCTCACCTGGCATGGCCGGTCTCTGGCTCCTCCTGGGCAGGGAGTGATGCAGGTGATTAGGATGGTGAAAGCCGTCCGTCTCATCGGTTTCCAGGTCACTGGCTCTCTCTGGGGTAGGTGGGGTCTTTGCAGTAGCGTCCAGGGCTGGACGGCGATAAGAAATGTCCGTCTGGAGTCGCATCCAAGAAGACGGAGTCAGACTGGCCTCCTGCTGAAGTGGTACGAGCCAACTGGGGCCACAGGCCGTTGCTTGCTCCCACTGGCAGGGTGGGGCACTGGCTGCGGCCCAAAGTACTCACAGACGAGTACATGCTCTGAGCTCCACCAGGGGTCATGGGATCAACATCCAGATCTTTGCTCTGTTGGTGCAGGAAAGAAACACTTTAAAGGGGATGAAAATAAAACTGATATTTGTTTACAAGTACAAGAACATTTACAGGTTCGATTAACTCAGAAAAACAGAAACAATTGGATGGATGGATGGATGGATGGATGGATGGATGGATGGATGGATGGATGGATGGATGGATGGATGGATGGATGGAATGTTGGATGGATGGATGGATGGATGGATGGATGGATGGATGGATGGATGGATGGATGGAATGAATGATGGATGGATGGATGGATGGATGGAATGTTGGATGGATGGAATGGATGATGGATGGATGGATGGATGGATGGATGGATGGATGGATGGATGGATGGATGGATGGATGGATGGATGGATGGATGGGAGGTATGGATGGATGGAATGAATGTTGGATGGATGGATGAATGGATGGATGGATGGATGGATGGATGTGGATGGATGGATGGATGGATGGATGATGTTGGATGGATGGATGGATGGATGGGATGGATGGATGGGATGGATGGATGGATGGATGGAATGGTTGATGGGATGGATGGATGGATGGATGGATGGATGGATGATGGATGGATGATGTTGGATGGATGGATGGATGGTGGATGGATGGATGGATGGATGGATGTTGGATGGATGGGATGGATGGATGGATGGGATGGATGGATGGATGGATGGATGGATGGGATGTGGATGGATGGATGGATGGATGGATGGATGGATGGATGGATGTTGGATGGATGGATGGATGGATGGATGGGATGGATGGATGGATGGATGGATGGATGGATGGATGGATGGATGGATGGATGGATGGATGGATGGATGGATGGATGCATGGATTGTTGGATGGATGGATGGATGGATGGATGGATGCATGGATTGTTGGATGGATGGATGGATGGATGGATGGATGGATGGATGGATGGATGGATGGATGGATGGATGGATGGATGGAACCAGTAACCCTTCTGACTCAAACTGGGATCCAGTTAAAGCAGGTCTGCGTTCTCCACTGACTTGGTAGGACGGGTGGCGGCTCGGCCCGTTGGCCTGGGCCTCGTCGCCCCTGGTTCTGGGGAACAGGTTGGGCTGCGGTACCAGGTACTCCTCGGCATCCATCATGTCCCCCACGTTCTCGCCTTCCTCCAGAAGCATCCGGTAGAACTGGCTGTCCACTGGGCTGCAGGAGCTCATCTGCTCGTCGTTCTGGAGGAACACAAAGTTTAAATTTAAACCAAATTAGAATTTTTAAAGTCTTTGCTGTAGTTTGTAATCCTGAAAAAAAGGCAACCTCAATCAAATGATTTTCAAAAACCTTAAAGTTACTAAAGTTTACGTTTACTGCATGAACACAGTAACAAATATAAGATATACTACATTAATATAGACACCCAGAAGTTAAACATTTGCAGCCTTAGTGAAGTTTACCTGAATGACTAAGTAGCGAGACGGATCTCTCGCCATGGCACTGAGGTCCTGAACCAGATCTTTGAACTTGGGCCTGCTGTCTGGATCGATCATCCAGCCTGCAAAGCAAACAGAAAACTGTTAGATTTTCTGTTTGAAAATCAAAGTGTGAACTCTTTTTACCCTGTGGGGCAGTAAATGAACGACTAAAACATAATGCCGCATTCACATTTGACCATGATCATGTAGACGTCGATGGTGCAGATCGGGGGCTGAGGAAGCCGCTCTCCTCCCTCCAGCAGATCTGGGATTTCCCTCGCCGCAATGGTATCGTACGGCTTGGAGCCGAAGGTCATCAGCTCCCAAACCGTCACCCCTGAAAGCAACGGAGTCTGGTTTGTCATCAGACATCTCTACACCACTTCGAACAAACCTCTGTCACATTTAAGTAGTAGAAAGTTCACAACTCAACTCTGATGCGGACAAAAACAAACTCTGGTCCGCCTACAGACCTCGGTCTCTTTTTGGTGGAAAGTGAACTCTGGTGCAGTTCAAATGTGTATGTGAATGCCAAGTGGACCAGAGGCCACAGCAAAAGCAGGAAGAGGATTAGAGTGCAGGGCATTCTGGGTAAACACCACTAAAACATAATAGTGTTAGAGAAAAAAAATGGCTTGTGTTTTTATTACCTACAACCACTAAAATCTAAAACTGCTCCATTTTTGTTTACATTTTGAGAAGAAGGAAGTTGGCGCTCAATATTTCCTTCAGAAATTTTTGTCATTTCCTTCAGGAGTTCCCCGCAGACGAGGAGAGGAACAGGTTTCTCAATTATTTTGGTTCGTTTGACACAATTTAAAAATGAAACATGCCAGCTGGAAATGTAGCAAATGTTGCATCTTTGGCCCCAAACCAAACGAAGGTGTGAAAACGTCCAAGTAACACTGACCGTAGCTCCAGACGTCACTCTGATGGGTGAACTTCCTGTGCAGAATCGACTCCAAAGCCATCCATTTAATCGGTACCTTTAAATTCAGAAACACCAGTCAAGCAATGGAAGCTGGAGTTCTGGTGTGGTGGTTTGGTATCGTAGCCCAGACCCACCTTTCCTCCATCAGCGTGATACTCTGTCTCGTCTATGTCCAGCAGTCGGGCCAGGCCGAAGTCTGTGATCTTGACGTGGTTCGGGTTCTTCACCAGAACGTTGCGGGCAGCCAGATCTCTGTGGACCAACCGAATGTCCTCCAGATAATTCATCCCCTGCACCAACACACAGATCCATCAAGCTGGAGCCGAAACAAAGGCGGAAAAACCAGAGAGTCGTTATCCAAAGGTACCTTCGCAATCTGGACACACCAGTTCAGGAGGCACTGGGAACCGATGCGATCCTTGTTCTCCCTGACGTAGTCGAGGAGGCAGCCGTACGGCATGAGCTGGGTGACCAGCTGCACGGCGGACGTCAGGCAAATCCCCAGGAGGCGACAGACGTAAGGGCTGGTGACCGACGCCATCACAAACGCCTCCTGGGGACCAAAAAGACAGAAGATGCTGCAGGATTCTGACCCAGAAACACATTTTCAAAGGGACGGTTGCACCAGAATGCATTGATAAAACCCATTAACATAATCCTAAAATATTAATAAATAATGATCTCTGCATAAATAGTTCTTAATATTAAATACTGAACATGTTTAGGATATTGTGAGTGTTTTTATGATTTGTTTCCAATCAAACTCAAATATTGTGCTAAATTAGAAATATTTGCAAGAAATTTTGCTATACGTTTTGCTTACGTTACATGTGACTTTTTGATACCCATCATATCGATTCCAGACCATAACTTGACATCAAGTAAGGCTGAAGAAGCAGTGTGGTAAAAGTGAAAAGTACTGCAGGAAACTTAAATATTTCTGATCCATTTCTTGTGCAAATATCTCAGTCCACTTAAAATAAGACGAAACTAATGCTTATGCCGCTTTTCAGCAACAAGTAGGAGCTTGTTTTACGAAAGTAATTCCTTAATATTGACAAAAAATTACTAGTTCTCTTGGCAGATTATTTTTTTACAATTTTTTTCAACCATGCATTAGTGCTAAAATAAACAAAAATGCAAGAATCAGTTGAATTTCTGCAAAAAACTGGAAGGGCTGATTGGTGTAATTTAGTACCTGGAGTCTAGAGGACCTGATAAAAAGCTACATTGGTTGAGTTTGACATATTTGCTCTAATCAGTTTTTAACTCACATCAAGAATGTCTTTGTTCCCTTTCGGTGAAGTGTTCTCCCTCAAGACTTTAATGGCCACCGGTATTGTTATGTGTTCTCCTTCTGGAGCCCACACCCCCTAAAACAGAAATTATTTTTGGAAAAAAAAAAGTCATTTTAAATGTTAACAGAACAAAAAACACAGCATGAAGTGTGCATACCTTATAGACAGTCCCAAAGGCCCCTGCGCCCAGAGGCCGGAGCTTCTTCAACTCCGTCTCTTTCAGGATTCGCATCTGAGCCTGGTTTGGAGACGCGCCGCTCGGCGTCAACGGCTCCACCAGCTGCACCGAGGAAAACGCGGCGCAGATTGAACAAAATATCAGTCTGAACTGCGCAAAGAAAAGATCAAAACCCAATCACTGCCAGAGCTCACCTCCTGTTCCTGCAGGTACCTCCTCATCGTCTCCTTCCTTTTCAGTTTCTTCTGTCTCTTCAGGTAAAAGACCAGCAGACCCAGCAGGATGAGGAAGAGCACGACTCCACCGACTGCAGCGGCGATGGTTGTGGCCGGGCTAAACAGAGAGGAGACGTTTTGCACAACTTCAAAGCTTCTAATATGGACATACATCGTGGTGCTCCTCAAGGATCGGTTTTAGTTCATGTTGACATGTTTAAGATTTGTATCGTTTGCTGATGATACCGATATTTTCTGTTCTGATGAGAGTTTAGGTGCTGTTTGCATTTGAAACTGGGTTTTATTTTAACTTAAAACAAGTTTGAATTTATTTTTGTTCAGTCAAGTTTTTCTCCAGACATTTATTGGTGTGCTAAGCTAACGCTGCTCTTGGCAGTTGGTGGTTACAATAGTAACCAGTAACTGAAAGCTCTTCCCACTTTTTTACAAACTGAGGTATGTATTCGGTTTTCTTTACAAATGTGATACTTTAAACATAAATTTTAGACAAATTTAACAACTTCAGTTGCTTCATGAGTAAATTTAGCTTTGTTTTAACTGTTATTATTAACATTGTCCATCTGAGCTATGTTTAATTTTATAATTGTTAGCTAGCAGCTAACTGCTTGGTTTAAAGGGCATTTAATGGTCAGTATGAGTAGAAAACCAAAATAAATTCAGTCCAATGATAGCGTAGCACAACATCCTATAATATAGCTCAGAATAGAACAACAGCATGTTAAACTGCAGTATGGTAGAAGATAACTGCCGCTAGCTAACAGCACGAAATACAAAATCCCTGTAGTCTTAGTTTCAAGCACTTTATTCAGTATTCTTGCAGTGCTCTTTGAAGGATTCAGGCATCAAAAGCGTGATTTTACCCCGTCCTGGGGTCTATGGGGCAGCCTCTCTCATCCATCAGGGTGCAGCTGAAATCAGAGAGTCTTGGTGTGAATTACTGTCACATGTTCGGTGGGTTTGCTTGGGTTTCTCAGACTGGATGTGCGTGTTCACTCACGACAGTGTGCAGTTAGTGTTGCAGGGCAGACAGTGTCGCGTTTCATTGCTGTATTTCCACACAGTTTGTTGATCTTCCTTCACTCCGCTGGGACAACGTTCCACACAAATCTTTTCGTCCTGATAGTGCAGACACTCGGTGCAGTCGTCTGCACCCTGGAGGCAGAGGAAGATGTAAAGCAAAACGAGAGCTCATTTAAAAACATAACCTCACTTGACCACAAACATGAGGCTAAGTGCCTTACCCCCCAGGCAAGGATGCCTATCAATCTGCGTATCAGTGTATAAATGTGCGTTCGTTTGTGAATGTCACTGGCTGAATGTGGCTTTGGTTTAAAGAGCATTTAAACCAAAGAGCATTTAACCCTAACCCTTTCTAGTCCCATAATGGTCGATGGGTCTAGAAAAACTCAATACAAATTCAATCCAACAATAGTATAGCATAGCATCGTATAATATAGCTTGGAATAGTGTTAAACTGCAGTATGGTAAAATACAGTATAATGCATTTTACTGATATATACCAGGAGTTTCCCCAACCATGGTCTTCAAGGCAAACTGCCCTGCATGTTTAGATGTTTTCCTGCATTTGATTCAGATAATTGCAGTTCAGCAAAAGCCTGTTAATTGGTCATCGACTGACATCAGGTGTGCTAAAGCAGGAAACTATCCAAAACATGCAGGGTAGTGTGCTTTGAGGACCAGGGTTGAAAAACAATGTATTTAGCTCTAGAGGACTGGACTTGGGGGCCCCTGGTGTAAGGTATATTACAAGTTATATGGCTAATCAATCAATCAAGTTTATTTATATTCCAGCAGCAAAGTAGTTCAAGGTGCTCTACGTAACAAAAGCAAGAAATTACAAAGTTATGAGGCAAATGGTATGGTGTGTTAAATGACATGATATATGGTATGGAATGGTAAGTGGTATAGTACGGGATAGTATGTTAAGGTACAGAATGATATGGTGTATTGTTCCCAATGGCATGGTATGCTATGGTATGGTAAATGGTGTATGGTATAGAGTAGTGCTGTATGGTAATCAGCGGTACGTTGTCATGTTGTTCAGTATGGCGTCTTACCGGGCCATGGCAGGACGCTGAGGCGTTCAGAGGGCGACACTCCTCATGGCAGGTTTTGCACAAAGACCCATCAATGTATTCAGGAACAGCTCTGCAACAGAAACAATGCAAAGGATGTAAGATCACATCCCAAATCACAGTCTGGCTTCAGCTGCATGATGTCATCAGATGTCTCAACCAGAGTTATCATTACCTCTCATCCCATTCATTTTCTTGAATGTTAAAAGTTTTGTTACCCCTGATAGACGTCACACTGCTCCACACACACGGTGCCTCGCTGGAACGTCTTGCAAGACACGCACTGGCTGGGCCCTGGGCCCCAACAGCCCCCCTTGCATAGTGGATGGCAAACACGTCCCTCCACCTCTGGAAGAACAAACAGCAAATGAAGCAAATCTCACCTTTTAATAAGTGATTTCAAGCACTGAGTTTTTACAAAAAACAAATCCTGAAATTAGAAAATGGGCTAAATACAAATGCAAGCCACACTTTTCAGATTATTATTTTTATTATTTAAAAAACAGTTTATTTTCTTTCCTCTTTGCATGACTTTGTGTTGCATGATATAGAATTAGGGCCATACTAATAAAAAAAATACATTTACAAGAATAAAGTTGCATAAATACAAAAATAAAGTTGTTATAATACGAGAATAAAGTGAAATTAATACAATAAAAGTTGTAATAACATAAGAATAAACTCAATATTTTGAGAATTATAGTCATAATAACTCAAGAATAAAGTTGTAATATCACAAAAAATAAAGAAATAAAGTTATGACTTTATTCTTGTAATTTTATTATTTCTTATTTTCTCAGTCGGGTCCTAATATCACATGATAGTGTTGCTCTATCGTATGAAATCCAAGTAAAACACGCTGAAGTTCACGGACAAAAGCTTTTAAAACCGATACTTTCTGCAATGACTTGTGGGCGTTGAGCTCCAAACCAGCCATTTTGGTTTCTCCATTTCCTGTTTGAGCGTTGACCTACCGCACACTTTGGGTTCCCGGTTGAGCCTGACGATGCGCTGCGGCCCCTCAGTGGGATGAAGGATTGACCCCCAGGGCACAGAGTCGGTGTAGCACAGCTCAGAGTTGTTGTACAACAACACCAGGCCTCCGCTGACGCTGCGCAGCGAACGCAGCCCCAGAGACTGGATGTGCAGATTCTGGATGGCCAGTGAAAACACACCCCTAAAACAGAAAACAACATCTGAACTACTCAACCCTGGCATGTTAACGAATAACACACCTGACTTATTCTGCTGCGATAAAAACGCTTCCCAGAGACTGTGGTATTTCCTGCTGGTCAGAGCGTCAGAGCTGGCTAATAATTAGCATTTATTACCGTTACCAGATGGAAAAACGTGCAAACAAAGAGACACTGTGAGAGGATGGACTTTAAAAGGCAGGCATTCAGTGCATTCAGTGCATTCAGTGCATTCAGTGTTCAGTTTAACCATTTAGGCTCAAAACGGCTGAGCGTCGCAGTTTTGGGTTGCAAAGAATTTAAAAGAAGAAGCAGAGATTCAGCAAGAACAAAAATATGGATGCAGTCTTATTCACTTTAAGATAAGATGCATTTTTACATACCATAGAATAAGACACAAAGTTGTTAATCTTAAACATTTTAACTCAGCAGTGAGAAATAGAGCCGGTCTAAAGTATAAGAGAACTTATATCCTCACAAACTCCACCATAAATCCTTTAATTTTCACACAAAGCATAACATTTTTATATTTGTTTAATAAGAGGGAGAGTAAATTAGTTTGATTTATGTTTTCTGCATAGATTAACTAAAAGATTTTAAATATTTGGAGCTAAATTTAATCTCAAATACTTGTAAATTAGTTTAGTCTTCTTTCAATTGCACCAAAAATATTGGCATTTTCAACTCGACCAAAAATATTTGGTCAAATTTGCATCAAAAAACCCCCAAACTTTTCTTTTACAACACAAAAACGCACCAAAAAATATTTTTGGTCTAGTTTCTAGTGCAAATATCTTAGCACAAATCTGTTAGCAAGATATAGAAACTTCTTTTAAGTCAATCATTTATTTGTGCTAATGTAAAAATACTGGCTACATTGGCTTATTATTTTATTTATTTCAACATGGGAAAACATGAGTTATTATTAGCTTTGTCTCATTTCAAGTGAACTTACATATTTTCACTGGAAACACAAAAAGTTATTTTTATTTTTTCAGTGTATTTAATGTATTTTTCATGAAATAACAGTTACTGATTGCTCTGGTTGCTATAAAATCGGCTTGACTTGAGACTGGCTGTAAACTTACATGTAGAGCATCCTGCCTCTGATCACTTTGAGGTTCTCAAACACAGAAAGGTTGCTCCATTCCTCAGGCCAGGCGTCGATGTACAAATAACCTGCAGACAAGAAACAGTCGTGACGATACTGAAGACTTTGGATTGGCCTCGTCCAGGAACTTCAAAAAGCCAAACATGCCTGCAATCTCCTCCAGCTTCCTGAAGCCTTGCAGCTGCTCCAAAGTCAGGCTGGATGAGTTGGTCACCGGGTCCCTGAATGAAGACAAAGAGACGACAAAAACATAGAAACATCCTTTATTAGAAATAGATTCTCAAAGACAGAAGATAAAAAAAGTCAAATGGGCAACATTTCACCAAAAATACTACAGTTATGAGGCCAGAGCAATGTGTAGCCGAGTGGTTTATTTACAAAAAAATAGAAGAAAAAACACTTTTATTATAATATAATGTCAGAAATAAAAAGGTTTCCAGTTACTAAATGTTTACACTGCAAAAACACAAAATTTTTCCCAATAATTTTGGTCTAGTTTCTAACATAAATAGACATAAAATAAACTTACAAGTGACTTTTCAGCAAGAAATATGAGTTTGTTTTCCTTCATGATGATCAACATGTTCACAATGAACCGCCGTTACCTAGCAACCCGAACCCGTCACCTAGCAACCACTGGATGATTGTTTCCCTTTTTCATCAATAAGAAAGAATTATTCCCTTAAAACAAGCTCCTATATCTTACTGAAAGGTTACTTCTGAGTTAGCTTTGTCCTATTTCAAGTTTACTACAAAATACACCAGAAATATTTGGTAAGATTTCGTTGTTGTTTTTTTGCAGTGCGTTACATTTGTATTTATTTCCCTGCTTTTCTCACGCAGTAAAATCGAAGCACTTTTCAAGCATTTTCCAGGCAAGTTTGCAAACATTTCCAGCAGCACATCGAAACGATACAAATGAAATAAGGAATACAGTTTAAAGTCACCAATTTATGTGATTAATAATGTCTGACGATCGTTTTCTACGTTCTACAGCAGAGAACGTAGAAAACTTTAATGTTTTGAAATGTCTCTCTTGCAAACACTTTCTTGAGAAAGTTACAAAAAAAACATTCTTGCTCAGTTCTTTGGCATTCAGCAAAAAGAAATAATTCAGGAAAATGTAACTGTTATGAAAGCAACAGCGAGAAAATGTTTATGTATTTTTGTTATTATCTATAATGCAAAAACAAAACCTTACCAAGTAATTTTGATTTACTTAGTGCACTTGAAATTGTTAGTTTCAAGTAACTTTTGAGGAAGAAATAGGAGCTTGAAAATGATTCCTCAATATAGACTAAAAAGTTCTTGTTCTATTTTACTTACATTATGGGAAAAATGTCTTGTTATACAAGTAAAATGACTTGTCACAGTACAATCAACATGAAGCAATTATTGACTTAAAACAAGCTGTTAAATGTCACTGAAAGTTACTTGTCATTTAGGTTTGTTCTAAGAAATTTGCACTAGAAACTGGACCAAAAATTCTTTGAGTTTTTGCAGTGCATTTTCAACTGTAAATAACATTTTCCAAATTCAGTCAAACAGAATGCATTTTATTACTTTTTACTGATATTTATTTGCCTTTATGCAACTCGATACTCAAAACTTTTTCCAGTGAAGGTGAAAAAATATAAGTTTAGATCGCACTTTATTACCAAACTGAATATCAAGAACTTTCAAGGACTTTTTACGTAAATCAAGCACTTTTCCAAACCTTGAAAACAAGCATTTTTAAGCATCCTTGGTCTCTTCAATCCCAGCTGGTTTCATTTCTGGTATTCACAGATTAAATCAGTTTCATTTCGTGACTAATGGTCGTGTTGTTGCCCCGTACCTGGCGAAGCTCTCGGCGCGGAAAGCCAGGCTTCCGTAGATTTTGGCGCACCTGGTGAACTGACCCACATTGGCAGGCGTCACCACCACAACGCTGTGGTCGTCCATGACGCCCAGGTTGTCCGGACCCAGGAAGTAGCAATCTGTGGCAAACGTTCACCCAGTTAGAGAGGAAAACATGAACACATCCACAGATTCACAGAACCGACAATGGCAGGACATTGGAGGAGATTTTTGCTCTTTTTGACACTTTTAATCTTTTTTTAATCTTTAAAAAATTGTTTTTGTTTTTTGTACAGTTTTATCTCAGTAGCTGATCCAGTTTGATTCTCTAATTATGTTACTTATAAAATGGGGAAAATGTTTTTTTTAAGTGAAATAATCTGACAGTGGAACTACAACTGGGTTGCTAGGTGACAGGCTATGCTTGTCTGGTGTTGCTAGGTAACAGGCTATGTTTGTCTGGTGTTGCTAGGTAACAGCGTAATGCCAGTTTATTATGAAATAAATCAAATAATCTGTCACCTTGATCAATACTAAGGAATTATTCACTTTAAATGAGCTTCTATATCCAGCTATAAAGTTACTTATTGGTTAGTTTTGTCTTATTTGCAGAGATTTCTGCACAAGAAACTTCACCAAAAATACTGGCTAAGATTTTGTTTTTTTGCTGTTTGCCAAATACTTTTTCACTTGAATAATTTCTCAGACGGCTGCTTTTTAGTTTGACTTGAATAAAAATTGAAATCTTGCTTGAGCACATCATTTTTTCCCCCACTCTTCCAATGAGTGCTAGCAAAACAATTAGCGTCCCACCTTTGGTGCATTTATCGTCACACTTTTCGCATTTCTGCGTCTCAGTGCCGTCCGGCTGCCTGATGATGACTTCCTTGTTGGATGTGGGACAGTTCAAAGTGCAGGCCACTTCCATGGCCAGGTAGTTATCTGAACAGAGAGAGAGAGAGAGAGAGTTCAAAGGGCAACCCGGAGTCTCTGAGCTGAATTTCTAATCTCGGTTCGTACAGGGACACGTCTTGACGCAGGTGGCGCCAAAGCTCAGCTTCTTGTTGGGGTTGGGTTTGCTCTGGTAGGTGACGGGGTCGTAGAAGTTGGGTGGGGGGCAGTTCTCTTTGCACATCCCACTGTCGTTGAAGTGAAGACACGCCTAAAAAGAAAGGAGATGGCGGGGAAACGTGAAGTACTGGCTGCAGACATGAAACAAAAGGAGAGAAGACGCCGTCATTTACCAAACAGTCCGAGTCTCTGGGTCCGGTGCATCCAGCCGCACACTGCTTGTGACAGCAGTCACTAGGTAACGGACCTTTGCATCGCTGACAGCCCAGCACACAGTTTATTCTGGTCACTTTGAACAAGGGGAAAATCAGGAAAAAGCTACAGTTTCATTACCCATTTGTTAAAATATTGCAGCTTCTCCCTCAACACCAAGCATTTCTGGTCGAGTTCCTCGTCCAAATGTCTCAGTACATTTGAAATACAAAAACTAACTTGTATTAAGCCAATAATTCCTTAATATTGATGAAAAAGTAGCAATTCTTTCATAATACACTAGAACTTACCAAGCAACACCAGGCAAGCCAACCCCGATACCTAGCAACCCAGTTCTAGTTTTTTCCTTGGAGCAATACATCTTTCCCATGTTTTGGAAGAAATAATAAACTCATTAAACTAGTATTTTTCATATACTAGTAAAGGGACTATTGACATAAAACAATTTGCTAGGTCTTGCTGAAAATGTACTTTTAAGTCCTTTTGTCTCGATTCAAGTCTATTAAGATATTTGCTCTGGAAATTAGACCAAAAATACTTGACCAGATTTTAGTTTTTACAGTGAAGACTGAAGATAGAGACTCACGTGTTTGACAGTCCTGCTCCGTTTCCCCCCAGCAGCTCTTCCCACATGCAGAATGACAACTTGGACCTGAACCGGAGAAAAACAAGCAACGGCGGAAAAATTAGCCCATAATTACCACGGTTTAAAAAAAAAAAAAAAGAAAAACAGACTCTGCAACTACTCTCACAGAGAAACGATACTTGAGTAGCAGAAGAAAACTGAAAGTCACAGGATAATGTATCAACCTGCCGCACCAGGATGTTTGATAAAAACAAACCGAATGTCAGATGAAAGAACGGAAAAGGTTATAAATTCCTGAAAGACGGCAGAACGTTGCAAAAGATGGTGGATTAACAAAGATAAAGACGTCAAAAGCAGAAAACTAAAATGAACTGGTTTTACAGGTTGTGGATTACAGTAGGGCTCAAACCATTAATCAAATTATTTGTGATTACAGAAATAATTGTCAACTACTTTAGTAATCAACTAACTGGGGCAAACAGACTCAATAGAAGAGTTTTTCTAGCAAATTATTTACTTTTCAAGCAGAAATTTTCACTTTTTAAAAATATATTTTTACATCAAAATTAAAAAATTTTTCATTAATTTTTTAAGTCAAAATTTCAGAGTTGTTTCTAGCAAAATCTTGACTTTTCAAACTCAGAATATCGACGTTTTTTCTATGAATTTTTACATAAAAATTCAACTTTTTTCCAACAAATGTTTAAATCAAAAAATGTTGAATTAGTTTCCAGCAAATTTCTGACTTTTTTCTGTGCATTTTGGCCCTAATCGTCTCGGTGCTTCACTGCAGGAGTATTATCGTTAGCAGCTCACAGTTGGGAGCTCGGGCCTGCAGGCGGAGCGGTTTGGTGTTCTGTTCGTCCAGAGTGTCCCTCCATATGATGTTCTCCGGGTCCGGGAAGCACAACTGGGGGTTCCCCAAAATAGACACCCCGCCCAACAGGATCTCTGCAGGACAAACGACACCAGAACCGTCAGACGCCACTTTTCAAACCTCACAGTGAACATAAACAAACCAGGTCACACAAACGACCTTTGAGGTTACGAAGTCGCAGCGTCTGCAGCCCCTGGTTGTCCAGCACAGCCAGCGAATAGTTGGAGTTGTAAAAATGGCTTCCTCTGATGATCTGAAGGTTGTCCAACGGCACCAGGCTCACTGAGACGTGTGCAATGAGTACATAACCCTGCACCTCTACGATTTCCTGAGGAGTGAGACGACAGACAGGAAGACTTAATAAAAAAAACAATCTGAAAACATTTCTTACATTTTTGATAAATCAGCTGATGACTTGAATTGACTTCATTTGAAAGCTAAAAATTTGATCTGTTTTCCAGGCATTGAACACACCACACATTTATTAGCTTAGGCTAACAACAACACTCTGTCTTCAGTATGGAGCTAACAAAGCTAACTTTTATTTACTAAAAGCCAGAAACATTATTAGTTAATTATGTTGCTGGATTCTTCAGCACAACATATTGGCTGCCCTTATTTTAGGAGTTTTTAAAAAATCTTTTAAAGTCAGGTATTAATAAAGTTATTCAAACACTTAGCTCTGTTAGCATGACAAGTGGTAAAGCTGACGTTAACTTAGCATCTTTTTGGCTAACTGATTTGAAGAGGGTCGACATTCTTTATGGAAAACACAATAATATCAACCAAAAGCAACTTAAAACATATATCTGCCAGGTATGGGAACATGTTAGGGCCATATTTGAAGAAAAGCTATAAAAAAATTTTTTTTTAAACTCAGACATCTCGAGATTAATTTCAGAAATTTCCAAGAGAAAACTTGAAAATTTCTGAGGTCAAAAAGTGTAAAATTTGTAAGATAAAAATATAAAATTTTGAAATTCATCTCAAATTTTCTAGAAAAAAAACTTGGGCATTTATGAGTCAAGAAAATTGTACGTTTTCGAGAAAAAAAATTCTGAAACTAAAAAAATTCAGAAATTTTCAAGACAACACTACAGAAAATTTTAAACGTGTAAGAAAAAAAAATCCTAGAAAATATATGAAAGTTTTTGAATTCAAAAAGTAGAAAATTTACAAGAAAGAAATTCAGAAATTTTGAAAATCACATCAGAAATTTTCTAGGAAAAATTTCTAAAAGTTGAGTTCAAAAAGTCAAATTTACTAGAAACCAAACAGAAACTTTGACATTCATATTAGTAAGTTCCAAGATTTCTAAGTTTTGAAAATTAGAACATTGTCAAAAGTCAAAAATTTCATACTTTTCAAACTTGTTTATTTCTGAGATTAATATAAAAATTTCTGACTTCTTTGGCAGAAATTGACCTTTTTTAACTCCATCAACAATGGCTCTGGTACTCTGTCATACAAATGAGTTTTTTGTATGATTTTTTGCTTCCTAAAGACTCAAGGTACCTTCAGGAAGGAAAGGTCCGGGTTTCCGCTCAGGTGTGTGATCTCCAGGTTGCCGTGGACGACCTGGCAGCCGGTGTAGAGCAGCTTCAGGGTCTCGTAGTGATTTTCCAGGCTGGAGGGCAGAGCCAGCTTCATGTCCGTTCCCAGGCAAACTGCAACACAGACATCATGACCTTCTGTAAAACAAAAACCTGTAGAACATTTAAAATGACGGATGGACTAGTCAAATCCTTTGTTTCCTGTTCCAGAAACACAAACTGAAAGTTTTTCATTTTAACTTGGGTCTGCATGACTTCAGTATAATGTGTAACTGTGATGCTATTAAGACGAAGATGTTGATCATATCAACTCCCAGCTGGTTCAGTTTGATCTTTTTATGCCCCGACAGAAAGTTTCCACTCCTTCAGTGGCTCAGGATAACTAATATATAACTAATGTAAAGACTGTGAGTCTCTGACAGTTTGGATATAAACCAAATCATACATCTGAAAAAATAAAAACACACAGATTGTATGGGAGGAGGAACAAGGAAAAATGATGAATGATAGTGGACGTGTATAAATGGTATAAAAACACATAATAACCAGATCGGTTCCATATTATTATTATCTTCGTCTCTTCTCTTCTTTTTTTTGAACCGTCTGAACGACCGTTGTCTAAATCGGGTGTAGCGCAGCGGGAGTGGAGGGGGTTTATCGGTTTGTCCAAATATATTTCTGGCACTGGCTGCATCGCACTGGAAACATAATATCCAACTATTCACTGCAGTCCAAGCAGTCATGTGCCGCTGCTGACGCCTCGCACTCTCACATGCTAATAAAGTGACTGGCATTGTTACCGCCTGCTACGGTTAGCATGCATCCGCCGCTGCCTCTGCAGAAGAGAGAGTCACTGCAGGAAGGCCGTGTTTGAGAGCACAGATTCCCCGCAGAGGGTCACACTGCGCCGCATTCAGGGTCACGCAGCGCTGCAATCCTCTGGGGCTTTTGAAGACGCATAGCTGCCATGCCTTCGCAGGCAGTCACTGAGTGGACAATCCCTCCTCTCTGGAGGTTATAAATGACTTCCTCTGGCAACAACCCCTCCACAGTCGGCCCGCTCTTCTATCTGGAGCCCCTCACCCTCCCACCACTGCAAAGGAGGAAGTCTTTGACACTGCAAAACATTCAACTTAACAAGCAGTTTTGGTCTAAATGTAGAGGAAATTTCTTACTTCACTTGAAATAAAACAAAATTAACTTTCAAGTAACACTTTAGTCAAATATAGTAGCTTGTTTTCAGTGAATATGTCCTTAATATTGATGAAAAAGAACCAGTTGGTTTCACTTAAAACATGCGTCTCGATGTACCTGAAATAATCTGCCAGTTGATCTAGTGTTTTCCATCAATAATAATTGCTTATTTAATTTAAACTAGTTCGTTTTTTATAGCAAATCCTGACTTTTCAAATTAAGATGTTTATCATTTTTTTCTAGAAATTTTTACATCCAAATTCCAAATTTTTCATGACATTTTTTAACTACAATTTTGAGATGTTGATTAATCTCAAAATTTCTATTTTGTCTTCTAACAAATTTTGACTTTTCAAAAAGAAATTTCCACTTTTTTCCAGAAATATTTAAAAACAAAATCTGGGTTGCAAGGTGACGGGCTGGGCCAATGCCAGTTCATTGTGAAATAAGTGAAATATTTTTTTTTCTCCCACTGATATTAAGGAACTACTGCAGTAAAAGAAGCCGTATTTTACTGAAAACTTACTTTTCAGTTAGTTTTGTCTTATTTCAAGTGTATTAAGATATTTGGACAAGAAACTGGACCAAAAATATTCAGATTTTTTGCAGTTTCTCACTCGTTCTGCATAAAATATCCACATTTTGCTCATAAAAATACAACTGAATTCTGTGGTTATCTTCTTATAAGTGAAATAATCTGCCAGTAGAAATATATCTTGCTGAAATGTTTCAACTTTCAACAAGAAATAAAACCACACATGCTTGGTAAAATGTGTATTTTGTGCAGTGGATTCTGCCGTTTGTTTGGTTATTGGCTGATGTGTCGGTGATGCGTAAAGCTTCATTTGTGACGCCTCAGCGCTTTCTGCATGTCAACTTTGCTGAGAGGGGTTTCCCAATAAAGCAGAAATTAGAGCCTTATTAGAGGCTGCAGCAGCAAACGCTCTGTGATTAGCGGCGCGTCTGCCAAAATCACACACCCAGTAGCTGCAGCTTACGTCAAAGAACAAATTAAACTTCTTGTTCGTCGGTGAAGTCATCGTGGAAAATCATTTTGCATGTTCAGCCAAGACGAGAGCAGCGTTCTCCTCTTTAATAATTTTTATCGACGTGGATGCGAGAAAGATTGCGACACAGACTCGAACAGACGAGAATAATCCTGGGATTAGGCGAAAAAAAGCTGAATTTCCCTTATTTCTAAAAAGCGTGTGTGACTCCAGTTTTGGGCTTAACCTTCCTTTATGCCGTCATTGTTTGCTCTCCAAAAGTCTCTCAGCAACGCCGGCGTGTTTATATGCGGCCTTGTGAGGAGCTGCCCACTCCGCCGAAAATACCCCCTGGCCTTTATCACTCGCTGCGTCCTGATTGTCCGCGAACATTCCCACTGCGCTCAGATCAGTCGACCCAAACCCGTTCCGCCGCTCCTCCTTTCAGATTGTTGCCCAACTCTTTCAGACAGAACCTGCTCTAGAAGTTTCCTCTTCTTGTTTCAAAAGTTTTCTGCTCTGCCAGGATTTTACTGGCTCAATAAAGTTTGCTTGTGTTTGTTTCTTATGGAATAAGATATAGGCTCCTAAATTTGTTTAAAATAATTTCTTGCAGAATTTTATCTCTTCAGAATTCTGACTAATTCTCAAAATTCCAAGTTTTTTCCCAGAATTCCGACTTTAATCTTTTAAGATTGAAAATCAGGATTTTGAGTTTAAGGAGCAAAGTTTAATTTTTTTGCATTCAGCTGTGGTCGGTTGCTTCCACGTTTGCAACGAGTCAAACCAATTGAAAAATCTGTTCCCCTCCTCGCCTGTGGGGGCGCTGCACCAAGAACTACTGAAGGAAACGACACAAAAACCTCTGAAGAAGATACAAAGGTAAACAAAAATGGAGTAGCCTCAGATTTTAACAGATCCTCTTTTTTCCAGCTTGTAGTAGTCTGGCGCATTTGTTTTGGCTGTATTTACCCAGAATGCTCTGGGCCGTAGTCCACTTCCTGCTATTGGAGCGGTTTATATTCTGTTTGGCTTTCAAACCGAACAAGAGTTCACTTCAACTAAACCAACACTGAAGTTTTTAGGCAGACCAGAGTCGGATTGTGAACTTTCCAGGCAAACGAACTAGAGTTCAATTAAAGCGAACTAAAGAGGCTGGTGTGAATGCTTTCTGTGTAATCACTGAGCTGTCAAATCACCCTAAAGTCATTTTGAAGAGATTTGACAGAGCTCAGCGAAACAGAGCGTCTAAATAAATCCGGTCTGATGACTAAGACAAACATATATTTGTTCTGGACTCGGTTGTTGAACTACACACCGGTTTCGTCTCGCTTTGTGCATCTTGTAAAAACTCTTTTGGTTCCAGGCTGCAACCTGTTTGGTTCACTTCACATGTGTTTAAATCTGTTTATTTTTCTCGAAGGTTTTCTTTGGAGCACATTGAGCAGCATGTGTGTAAAAACCTAAGAAAGTGGGCAAGTTAAGACATATTTGACCTAAAAAAGGAGAAAAAAATGTTGAGTAAAAGAAATTTTCAGAAAGGTCACATTTCAGCTCTTTACTAATAACCCATCTGGCACTTAAATACTATTTTATGTGTCATCTTCTGTGTGATGAAGCTGCTTGAGGTCTGGTTTAAAACTGGTTCAGTTATCTGATAAGTTTAGAAACCACACAGGCTCGTCCATTCAGAGCTTCCTCTGTCTAAATGATTCACAGGTCAGAGTCAGCAGAGCAAAACTAAAAGGAAGAAAATCCTCTGAAAACGGTCAGACTGAAAATGAGTGAATGAAAAAGCAGCTCAAGTCCAATGAAAACCTTTGAAATACCGTAAACATGGAATTGGAAAACTAATTTTCTTATTGGAATTTTTAATGGCAGGTGTTTCGGCTGCTTTCTGTTCAGGTCTCTGTGTTTATTATTATAAAAGGAGTAAAAAACACTTTTTTGGTAAAAAAAAAAATCTGATTTCAGCACCGCTTCTGCATATATTTACTCAAGTAAAAGTAAAACATAGCCGTTCAAGAAATTATTATTCAACTGAAAGTGAAAAGTTTTCTCAAGCACCAAGTAACTGATCAAATTATAATTTCATACTTAAAATTTGCATAAACATGAAGCTCAAAATATAAAGTTACGTGGAAATTTTGGTGTTTTAGGGACTAAAATGTCAATAATTCATATAAGTCACAAAAAAATAACAATCAGCCTAAAAAGAAAATAAAAAAACTCATAAAACTTTAACAAAAAGTGAAAGTTTGAGGTGAGTCTGGTGAGTTTTTTATTAAAACAAATTTTTCATTCAGTGGGCAGAAAATTCAGAAATTTTACTCAAGAGTAAAATAGAGATAAGTCAAAATAAAATTACTCAAGTAAAAGTAAGAAGTAAAATGTAGTAAAAAAAACTTTTTTAAAAAAGTAAGTAAATTTAACTGAGTAAATATAATTAGTTATTACCCTTTATGAAGAGAAAACTGGAGAATTCAGCATGAATGAGACATCGTTCAGATGTTTCATGTATTTAAATGACTAAATGAAATCAGAACAAACCTGAAAACCCTGACGGTTTTTTGGAAATGCTAATTTTGCAGGGAGAGTTGTGATTGTGACCTCAGAGGTTGTTTTGCTTGCGAGCTGAACTCATGAACTGCATGAAAACTGAAAGCCAGTTTGAAGCCACACCTGCGTGTGGCAGCGTTCCAGTTAGCACAAGGAGTGTGCCGGCCTGCCTGCCTGCCGGCGCGTTGTTTACCGGAGCAAACGCGGCCGGCGACACAAACACGGCGCAGCGGCTCCAGTCGTGTGACGTAACCAACAATCAGATCTGCATTCAGTCTGCAAAAACAAAACAAACTGATCCAAATGGACTTTCCCTGTCAGATTATCAGCTCAAAATCTCAGTCTGCAGACCTGATACCTGCAGGATTGGGTCTTGCATAAACTGCACAACCTCACTTGTGGTCGATGACGAAGAAGAAAACAGGTATTGCTCAACGGACAAGCAGAACAGGATTTGTTCTGTTCTGAAGCAGCGGAGCAGCAGAGATGAACTTCTTGCTGATTCGCGCCGACGTGTAAAGACGACAATCACAACAACACACAAAAGACGGCAGCGCTGGAAAACCGCCTGCATTATTCCATGAAACAAACGCACAGCTGGACGGATCTGCAGCTGGATTTACACAAGCAGAGTGAAAGCAGGACAGGATCTGCAGATGAAAGAGTCGGAGGAAAACACTGTTTATCATTGTTTTATCACACAGTTCAATACTTTTTAACAGTTTGGAAACAATAATCGCAAAACGTTAGCTGAGCTGGGAAATTAAAAGCAACCTTCTTCACCTGGAAATAGTTTATGTTTCTCAGATGCATCACCTGCTATTGGTATTATAATCAAATTATTTTAATTTTATAAATTTCATCACTTAAAGCAGCAGCGTGTAACTTTGTAAAAAATATATTTTTAAATATTCAATAAACTGTCACCATGTCATGACAATATAATAAGAGTCAGGTAATCTGAGAAAAGGTGAAGCCAGAGGTGATGATGTCATCTGCAGAAATGTAGAGTCAAAAACAACAATCAGCGTCAGGAGGAGGGTCTTAGTGCTGTTAATCAAGCTCATACAGATGCTGCTTACTGTGTTAACAGCAGAGAAACAAGTTACTGTTATGGGAAAACTGCTTATTAGCTTTAATTGATGACTAAGCTAGCTGGAGTTAGCAGTCCTGGCAGACTGCTATTGGGTAAAAGCTGCTTGTAGCGTAGCATAGCGTGAGCAGGAGAGTGTGTACATGAGCATGACTGACAGCAATAATATCCTAAAAAACATATATTTTCTTTGTAAAAGTAAAGTACTGTGGCTTTAAGAAAGTGGATGTTTTGCTACTAATTTTCAACATTAAAACAACGAGATAACAAGATCAGGAAAAGTTCTGACTGAAGAAGGGAGACAGAAGTAGGTCATGCTTCCCTGACTTTGACAAAAAAATAAAATAAATAAATTACAAGTTTTTGTTTGTTTGTTTTTTTTATACAACCTTCAGGCCAACTCTGACAGATCATCAGTAGATCAGGTGTTTAAATTAGCTAACCAATCAGCTTGTGTTAGCTTAGCTAATAGCAACAAATTTAAATGTTCCAAATGCAAACCGAGCTGCATCACGGCGGTGGCGGCATCATGCTGTGGGGAGTTGATGGAAAGATGAACACTTTTCTGTTCTGAAACCTAAAGACATACTTCACTAGTCTACTCATGTGAGCCTGTTTATTCAGTTAGTATTTCAAACAGCTGACAAAATAATATTAAAATTTCATTCAGCATGTTGTGAAAAAAGTAACAGCTCTTTGTTACAATCAGCTGCTTTGATAGAAGAGAAACTTTTAGAAAATAAACTCATTAATCAGCAACTTGCATCCCTAAAAATACAAACATATATTTTTATTTTGCCAGTTTTTCAACCAGAGTGAAAAAGGAAAGTTATTCAACAGGTTGGGAATCTGAAGCTCTGAACCAAACTGGAAGACGTCCATCTGACCCAGTCCAGACTGGTGAGAGAAACCAGTGACTGTGGGAACGCAGAGGGAACATTTCCTACTGAAAGTGAGGCTTGGTTGCCCAACTCTGGGAACCAGTCGGATCGCTCACGTTGATCTCCGATGCTGGAAAGATAAACACGACAGGCTGAAGTTCACCAACCAGTTCCTGTTAACAATGCTGCTTTATTTGGATCGGCTTCACCTGCTGCTGCTGCTGCTTTTGTTTGTGTAGCTTGTTTTGGATGCAGCAGAAGAAGATTGTTTCCCCCTCACCAGCGAGCCGTTAAGCTTTTAATGTTTAACTGCACGCCAATAAAAAAAAAATCGACCAGTGTTAATCAATAACGTTTGGAAAATAAAACAGAGAAAAGGTTTGAAAGCTTTCAAATTGATCCGACTCGGCACAATATCAGCTTTTCTGATTCAGTCCGTGCAAAAATGGAGATGTGCTGCTTTATTTTCACTCCATAAATATCCAAGAAACAAATATTACTTTCTATTAATGACTGAAGGAGGATAATCTACAGGAATGTAAAAAGCAGCAGAAATAAGGAATATTTAGGACAACATCCAATACAATAAGCAATTATTCAATTAACTGATGATCAACTGAAATGAGCTCAATATTTTCCATTTGGGTCATTTATTGTTTTTCTCTTTTCTACCAAAAACTGGATGGAAAATATTTTTACTTGCCTGTTTTTGGAGGATAATTTTGTTTATAGAGATTTCATAAATCATTTTATTTGTTGTTTTCTTTATTTATTTTGTACTTTTAAAATGTTTTCCAGTTCCAGTGTTAAAAAGACAGTAAGTTATAAAGTTTATTGGTCTATTATTTCCCATTACGTTACTGGAAAATGGTCTGAGAACAACAATGGTTTATTTTTCTAATCAGCAACTTAAGATGCTAATTTTATTTTATTTTATAAATATGTCTACACTTAATAATATGAGAAAAATCATCCTGTTAATTTATCTCCCAGCTAAAGCAGTTATTGGGACACATTGAATTGATTTTATGAGACAGACCAACACAAAGTAACAGAGCATTTAAAAATGGAAAATACAGATTCAAATCTGAAGAAAGAGTCATTAATTTTGAATTCAGAAAATATTTGGAGATCCAACTTTTAAAGAAAGGTTTTACTCCCCGTACTTTGCACAACTAAACATAAAACATTTTGAAAACCATGTTTAAGTTTTGCCAGATGATCAAATCTAACTGGATGTTTCTTGAATCTTTTGCCCAAATTTAGCCTTTAACTGCTCAAGAAAAGCATCTTTAATTATGAGAATATGGATAATATGAACCTTTTTAAAGAATTGTATCAAACAAATATTTTTGTTTTCATGCCAGATTTGCACAACTAACATCAAAATGTAGATTTTTGATTCACTTTCTGCAGCAGTTTGTCATTTTCTGCCACAATGAACTTTAAACTGTCCCAGTTGAAATGATGATATTGTTTCTTTGGAACCATTTTAAAGTAACGTAATGGACAATGAGATCAATGAGATTTTCTCAACTTTTACTCTGGAACTTGAATGCACAAAATGTATAAACAAAATTAATAAAAGTCTGTATACAAAAACCAAGATGAAGACTTTTATCATCCAGTTGAAAAGAACACCAATAAATTATGCAAATTTTAATGATTGAGCTCGTTTTATTGGTTTACTGCAGCAGGCCTGCCTCTCTCAGATAAAATCCTGGAAATAAAAAACAATCTCTTGATTTTCTGAAAATCTTCCAGTTATCTCTGGTTTCTGGCTGGAGCTCAAGCTGCAACTGTGACAAGTGGCCCTCTGTCAGACAATGTCCCCTTCAGGGCCAGAAGTCAATCATTGACATCGTCATGATGTTGAGCGACACAAAGCACCGTCTGTTTGTGTTGTTGTTATTTACAAACAGAAAGATAGAAAAACAGCGAAAAGTGATCAGATTTCTTGTTTTTTTGCAGAACAATAAGTGATTTTTGTCACTTGTTTTTTTTTTATCTTATTGGATAAACCGACACAAATTGGTGCGTAATTGTGAAAGTGCAAAGAAAATCTAAATTATGAAGCATTAATTCTGCAAATGTGGCATGAAAAAAAGGACAGAATGCTTCTTTGTAATTTGATGCAAAAGCACCAGATGTGAATCCCCAGAGGTTTTAACGCCTGTCACGCAGAGCTGCAGGGGTTTTGTGTCTCCAGTGGGACTTGCAGGGTGACAGGTGTGACTCTCCTTCCCTAAACCCCGCGAGCCTCAGCAGAGACCGCCCGGCTGCGCAGCCGCGCAGGAATGCGGTCCGGACCAGAATCCACCCCGCTGCGTTTGGTAGGAAAGTCTGACACCGAACCGAACTCCCAGCCGGTTCCGACTCCACCGCCGAGCAGCGGAGGCGCTGGAGTGGATAAAAAGTCACCCACCTTCCCGGCTCCAGGCGCCCGTCGCTCCCAGCCAAACGGCCCCGACCAGCAACAAACTTCTCGCCGCCTCCATCTGCGTGTCTCAGTCCATTTTCCCGAACTTTGGATGGTTGGAGAATACACAGGAGTCCCGGAGATCCTCCTTCACGTCCTCGAGTTGAGTGTAGTTTGGGGGTTTTTTGTTTTCCCGGTTCGGAGCTGCAGCCAGTTTCCCAATCTCAGTGACTTCCTCTGAGCCCGTCGGTAGTAACCGCGTGGCCGCGCGCAGGAGCGAAGGCGCGCTCCCGCGAAGGCCGGAGCGGGGAGTGGCAGCGTCAGCCCCGCCCTCCCTGCGGGCCGCAGGGTGATGAGGATGACGTCACAAACACGCTGCAAACCCAGGTCCGCGGAATGCTGGGGTTACTGGGGTCACAGGAAAACATGAAGACAGAGGAAATTTCCTGCTAAAAACTCACAAATCTTTAGATTAATCTCAGAAATTTTATAGAGAGAAAAAACTTGAAAATTTATGAGTTTGTAAAGCTGAAAATGGGCGAGAGAAAATGTTGAGATTGTCAAAAAAATTTAAGGAAAATTAATATTTTTGAGCTCAAAAAGTTGTAAAAATTGTGGAAAAAAAGAAGGAAATTTTCAAAAATTAAAAATTTTGAACCTCCATAAATATTCAAACATTTCTGAGATTTATCCAAGTTTTAATTGGCAGAAATTTCCTCCTCCATTGTTCTCTACCAAGAGCTCAATGTGCTGCACTGCAAAAAATATGAATAAAGAAATAAATGCAAATCTTACCAAGTATTTCTGGTCTAGTTTCAACGCTTGAAATGAGACAAAATTAACTTCATCAAGAAACAGGAGTTCGTTTTAGGAACATTTTTCCTTAGAATTGATGAAAAAGTTCTAGTTCAGATTACTCAAATTATAGCAAATAATGTTTTAAGTGTAATAATCTGCCAGTTTAACAAGTATTTTTTTCATCAATATTATTTTATACAAGCTCGATTTCTTGGCTGAAAAATTGTTTTTAGTTTAGTTTTGTCATGTTTCAAGTGATCTAAGATATTTATACTAAAAGGTCAAAAACATTTGGCAACATTTTGTGTTTTTGCAGTGCGTTCAGGAAACAGGACCCTGTAAAGTGAAGGCTGTTCAGCTTCAGTGAGGTTTTACTACAGTTGTTGTCCTGCACAACACGCTGTCGTCTTGGAGCATCTTCACATTTCCATCAGCTTTCTCAGGCTCTGCAGTCGTGGCATGAGATCAGGAGTCGGAGGAGGAAGAATCGACTCTATTCATGGCAGGCGGTCGGATGCCCCCTCCCGCCGCCGGCCGGGTCAGAATCCGGCCTCCTGCACAGCTTCCAGAACAAAAAGCTCCCGTCTCGCCACCGCGCAGATAAACAATCCTGCTGCCTTGACAGGATGAGATGCAGCTCAGGCTGCAGTTATTCTGCACAAAATGTGGCTGAATTATGACTTTAGATCAAGAAATTTATTACCTGAGCTTTACACTGCAAAAAATGCTAATATTACCAATCATTTATATTTTAGTACGCTTTAAATAAGATAAAACAGCTTGTTTTATATTTTCATCCTAATTTCAGATTATTTCACTTCTAACAAAATATTTTCCCTTTATAATTTCTCATTAATAGATAAAAAAGTAACACAAATAAAAAGACATAACTAGTATTTTTTTCACCAATTTTAAGAAATTATTTATATAGAACAAGTTAATTGTCATTTAGTTTTGTCTAATTTTACGTGGACAATATTTTCCCAGAAATAAGAACAAAATACTTGGTAAAATGTTGTTTTTGCTTCGCAAAGATGATATTAAACGATTGAATTTCTTACAGAAAAACAGCTGGTGCAATATGAAAACGTAGCTGGGTGCTAAATCTGTTTCCCCAACTCTTCTTGTCAGAATTGGTTTCATATTCAAGCTTTAGCAACATGATCACTGCAAAAAATACAAAGTTTACCAAGTATTCATGCTCTAATTTCTAGTGAAAACATCTCAGTGCAATGAAAATAACACTGTTACTTTTTCACATAAAGTCATCCATTTTCTGAGAAATTAAACAATTTATTCTCATCTTTGCACTGCAAAAATAACAAATTTTATCAAGTATTTTTGCCTTGTTTCCAGTGAAATTATCTCCGTTCACTTGAATTAAGCCAAAACAAACTTAGGTGAAACTTTTCAAGAAGATACAGGAGCTTGTTCTAAATAAACAAATCCTTAATATGTAGAAATTTTTATATTTTACATCTTATATGTTAAATGAACAACCTTTATAAAACATCTGAGTTGACAACAGGAAGACGTTCGGCCAGAATCTTTCCAATAATCAATAATCAACAATAATCTTAATAAAAACGCAACTCTGTTTCTTATCAACAAACACTTTTTATTTTATCCACATCCACATTTTTGTAGTTTTTTGGTCAAATATCTGATATGAGGTGGTTGAAAGTGCGCTCAGTGGGAGAGGTGATGTTGCACAGGGCAGCAGGCAGGGGGCAGCAGAGAGACGCGTTTACTACTGAGGAAGACAGATGATTTATGGGAATTATCGCACCTCTTAATGATTTTTATTACTATTTATGATTTCACAAATACATCGATATATTTTTAGTAAAGTTTGCTTTCAATAAATATTTATATAAATTTCTTTAATTTCAACATTCAAATATAGTTGGTTCCAAGTTATGGAGTAACAAAAGTGACAATTTTATCAGTAACTTTGCCATTAAATAAATATGTGATAATTTATTTTAAATAATAATTTAAATGTCAAGAAATGTGGACTTTTTTAATTGATTCTATTTCACAGGTTATGCGCTATTATCCAACTGACCTGATTGGTTGACCTACAAAACCTTTGACCAATCAGCTCAACTTATATTAGCCCGCTCACATTCAAGAGTCTTCCTTAATCTGCTGAAGCAGAAAACTATAAAATAAGCAACTAAATAATAATAAAAATAGTGTAACTAGTTATAAAGAATCTTTAAGATAATTAAGGATTTCTGAAATTATGTCCCTTAATTATATAGAAGGTAAATAAACACTAAATTAACTTGTTTAGGTTAACCAATCAGATGTTAAGAGTTCTTCTGTAGCTGCCTTTCTGTAGCTAATGTTGAAATTTTTTTTTAACAATTTCATTAAATAAGAAATTTAAATAAAATCACACGTGAATAAGTTTCTTTGCGTGATAAATCATTAAAAATTATGCTGCACCGTCATCCTCCAGCTACTTCCTGTTTTCTTCTTCGTGGTTTGTGCCAGTGGAAACATTCGGTTGTTGATTATTTGACAAAAAAAAAAATGTTTTCATTGCAGTTTTTTAAAATAAACCAAATAAAACATTTTTAATAATCACCTCATCAACAAAATGTATCAAAAGCAAGTTTCCATTAAGCAAATTTATTTTTGAAAATTCAAATTCCACAATTATATTGTCAATAGAAAGGCAGTTTCATTGATTTAATGATCAACGAAAACAAAATAATATTGATTAAAAACAGAAAAAAAATAAGATTCTGAATATTCATTACAATTAATTTGATTCTAAAGATGTTTATTTATGAATCCGATGCATTTGGATTCAGTTTTATTTAAGTTATCACATATTTATTTATTGTGTTGAGGCACTTCCAGCCATCCAGAGGATCTAATATTTTCTCTTTAACCGTTTTAATCAGCAGCTCCTCTGAGGTTTTCTTTGGCTCCCAAAGTTCAGTGGATCGCTCTCTTACGTACAAACAGGCATTTGTCTTTTAATGGCGAAAACAACAAAATGTCTGGAAAAGGCAGCGTGTAAACACAGCCGCAGTCCTCTGTGTTCTCACAAAAGGCGTAAACGCGTCTAAATGGATGCTCGGCTGATAAAGTGCACGTGTGGGAGGAAGTAAGTTCACTTTTCACTTCTGATGGGAAAAAATAAAAAGTATCTGCAAAAAGCATGTGGATGGAGGAGAAAAACATGAATGCAGGAAGAAAATATTCACTGCAAAAACACAAAATGTTACCAAGTATTTTTGGTCTTTTACAGCGGGGTCCAAACTGAGAGTTTGGAAAAGTTTCCCTTTTCCCCACCCCAATTAAAAATGCAAAAACATTATGAATTTTTTTCTATTTTGTCTGATGTAATATATTATATTTGCCTTATTGGTTACAGTTATTTAACTTTTTTATAAACCTATGAAATGTTTTTATTTTATTCCCAGCAACAAAAATAATTATTTTCTTTTTCGACCTTTGCTGTATTGAGCTAAATGTAATGGATGGGGGTGCTAACGTCTGTTTTAGAGAAAAAACACACAATGTTTGTGCCACAAGCAAGAACAAAATAATTTTAAAAAAGAAAACTCAAAAAAAATAAAAATTCAACATTTTCTGTTTAAGAAGATACAAACTTTCCACGGAAAATAGCCTACAAAATTACAAAAATGTCAGGTGGCCAAATTTGTGCCCCACAAAATCAACCCAAGGACCAGAAATGGCCCCCGGGCCACACTTTGGACACCCCTGGTCTAGTATTTGGTGTTTGGCTCACTTGAAATAAGACAAACTGACTTATAATTGGCTTTTAAGCAAGATTTAGGAGCTTGCTTTGAGTCAGAAATCCCTTAATATTGATGAAAAAAATATTGGTTCCATTGGTAAATTTTTTCACTTAAGTCAAGAAAAAATATCTGATTAGTGAAAGAATCTGACAGTGGAACTAGTGTTTGTTTTTAATAATGTTACGTATTTATTTACAAGCTAGTTTTGTCTTATTTTAATTCTACTAAAATATTTGCACTAGAAATACTTGGTGAAATTTTGTGTTTTTGTAGGAAGCAATAAATTAAAAGAAAAACATGAAAGCAAAAAATAAACCCTGGAGCACTAAATTTCACTCACACCATCTAAAATACAGAATTTGGTTAAATTCACAGCAACTTTCCTTCCTTTTTGTTCTCTTTTCTCACTCTAAAAGGCCGTCCAGGTGAATGGCAATAAATCCCACCAGAAAAATAATGAAAAAGATCAGAATAAAGGCAAAACTGAGCCAAAAACTGGTGAAAATCAAACAAGGCAGATGATAAAAAACAGAAACAAAAGCAAACAAAAGCAGCTATGGAAACAAGAGAGGCACAAAAGTAAAGGTGTGACAGTGAGAGAAAAAAAAAAGCTGTCAGCTGGAACTGCCTTCCCCGCCTTTCCAGAACAATCAGCGGCTCCATAAGAGGGAACCGCTCCGAGTCCAGCGGCCCGTTTCAGGCACAGCGCTGACAAAACCGCCATTTTTGGTTGCCGCTGCTGCAGATTTCTCTCTCAGAGGTGAAGGGATTCATTTCATTCATTCGTTTCAGGCATTTCTTTCACTTTTCAAGTACTTCCCCCATTGAACGAGTCTCAGAATGTGCAGTTGTGAAAATACTGTAGCACACATGGCAGTGCAAGGCAAAGTAAAACACACATGGATGTTAAATGTAAACAAAGTGTACTTTGATGCGAGTCAGAGGTGTGGTGAGCGTCATCTGGGAGGCGGAGCGGCTTCTGTGAGCGATGAAGAGGCGCTCCACTCCTCCTACTCAACTTTAACCCCCAACTTCTCTGTGTTCAGTAAATAGAGGCTGTCATCTATCAGGAAACTGGCAGAAAAACAAAACCAAAATCAGGTAATTATTATTAGAATTATGATTTCAACTAATTCATACAAATCTTGACATTCAAATATTGTTGGTTCCAAGTTATGGAGAAAATGTGAAAACTGTTAAATGAGTAACAAAATTCTTATTTTGTAAATTAAAACTTAATGACATAATTTCGTATCATTAATTTTAAGCAATCTTTGAAAGATTCACAAATTTATTAAATTATGTTTTTTAATGAAACAGAAGGTAAGTAAACACTAAATTAACTTGTTGGTTGGGTTAACCAATCACATGCAAGCGTTTACCTGTAGCTACGTTTCCTTTACAAACTTGAGCAAAACTTTGTCAATTTTCCACTAATGTTGAAAAGACACAAAACCGCAATTAAAATCACGTCTGAATAAGTTTGCAATAAGTTTTCATAATTTTATGCCTGAATTTATCAATTTGTTAAATATCGGATTAATATTATAGTGCATTTAAGAAATCACTTTTACAGCTTTGAACTGTAGAAATTAGAAATCTCACTTTCCAAAACAAGCTTTTGCACTGTGTACTTTGATGCGAGTCAGAGGTAAAGATGGTGCAGTAATGCTAGAGTTATATGCTCGTATATTTTTTTAAGAGGAAATGCTGTCAGAAGTCCAACAATTTTAAAAGAAATTGCGTCCAAACTTTCCCACGAAGCTCCAGAAACCAACCTGTAGAAAAGGAAGTGCACTGGGATGGTGCTGAGGTGCCACACAGCGTGGGCGTCTAGGATCCAGAGCAGCGGCGGGAAGTCCAGCAGCTCCAGCAGGGCCAGTCCGTGAAGCAGCAGAACCACCAGGCCACACTTCCACCAGTAGGGGAGAGTCCGCCGGTTCTGCCAGCACCAACAGAACCACCACAGCATGTTCACCATGCCTGCAGAGACAGAAAACACACAAAAACCACAAAATGCTGCTGCGCTGCCACCATGCCTCAGTCAATCAATAAATAACGAATTATCACAATAGACACAATAAAATCAATAGATAATACATCTGATATAATATTCAATATGTAATATATGAAATATAATCCAAACTCCGGCCAGCTAAGCTACGTTGGTAGAAGCAACCTGCTAAAAAATAAAAAACAATGACGCGGAGTAAAGACGGGATAAAACTGGAAAGGTCACGCTACGTTCAACTTTTCAATCTCAGAAAATTTCCAACAGTCAAAAATGTTTGACTTTCCAAATTCCAAGATTTTGCACAAAATTTGTTAAAATTAATTTTAAAAATGAAAAAAATTTTTTCAAGGTTTTGAAGCTCTGAATTTTCCTCGTTCCTTCTAGAAAATGTGTACGTTTTTTGGCAGAAATTAACTCCATTTTTTGACCTATGATAACCCTAATACATTGTTGTAAATTTGGTACGCAAGAAAAAAAATCTGAAATTTTCTTTTTGTTAATTTTAAAACCATAATTGTCTTCCCAACTTAAATCCAGTTTGTGTTGGTCTATCACACAAAATCCAAACAAACCCTCAATAAAACCATAAAAAACCTGATTTATTGGGTGTGTGTTGTACCAATGGACACGTTGGCGGCCATGTTGTATCCGTAGTCAAATCTGACGAACGTCAGATAGGAGACATGGGAGGTGAAGGCCAGGATGAGCAGAACGCCCACCATGCTGGACACACCCGGCCGCCTCAAACCCAAAGTCCTGGTCAGGAGGGAGAATGTTGCAATGTGAGCAAATACACAGAAACAACTGAGATAATATTAAAGCAGATATATTGTAATAAAAGATCTTACAATAATTTCATTCTATTTGAAGCTGGGTTTAAAATTCAAGCACTTTTCAAGGTTCTTTGGAGTGAAATATAATCTTTTAAAAAATATAATATTGCTGTTGTTAATAATGTCTAGTTGTAGACTGGATTTTACATTCATACATGAAATAAAGAGAAATTTCAATTTTATGCTTTGAAATGTCTCTCACACCCAACTGTCTGGTCCTAGAATTAAAGGCAAACTTAGCAAAAAAATACCCCAATTTCATGTGTTGAACACATAAAATACATGCTAATTTTTATTTTAATTACATAGATAAATAAGCCAGTGAGCCATCAGAAATAATAAAAACTAATTACACTGAAACAATCAAAACAAATTGTGTTAACGTAGAGAAAGTTTATTATTACAAAATATTAAATTTAAGTTTGAATATTTAAGACTTCCAAAGACTTCATACAAAAATCAAGCACTTTCCAAACCTTGAAAACACCTGATATTTCAAGGACTTCCTGCAGAATTAAACCGTCGGCTCACCTGACGCAGCACAGGTAGATGGAGTAAAGAATCACTGCTGTTGCACAGAAATAGTCCATTTTCTGAAATAGAAAATGATTTTAAATGAGTAACATTCATTTTCAGACGAGATAAACTAATATCAAGATCTGCTCTTTACTGAAAAACAAACAGGAAAAAGATATTAGGGTCTTAATTATTAGCTTAGCAGTTAAATAAAATATTTTTCACGGATTGCTCCAGGTAAATCCTTTAACAACGGGAGTTTTCTATTTGTGTTTTAACATTTAAATGTATGATTTCAAGCATTACCTCAGTGAGAAATGTGTCCCGGGTGTGAAACACTGTAGACCAGAACCAAGCATTCAGTGACACCTGAACAACAAAACAAAATGAAGAAATTTAATCTGTTCTTTAATGCCAGATCCACTTTATACTTCTTATTGATTTATTTTCTAAAATAATAAATTGGAAATATTTTCAAAAAGACTTTTATTTCAATCATCCCTTCTGTGAGTCGTATAATGGCCTGTGAGAATATTTATTTAATTATGAGACTATCGGCAAAGAAGCGATTTTACTAGAAAACTACAAGAAAGTTGTTTTAATGAAAAATCTTCTAGTTATTAAGATCTAAAATGAGCAGCTCAGTTTGTGGTTCTTCCTGCAGAACAGACTCTGTTACTCAAATTTGAAGAATTGCCTTTTCTGTAAGACCGAAACCAAACAATAACTTCACAAAAAACTGAACATTCTTCATTTTGTTCTGATAAAATTATTACTTCATTCACCAAATATTACCACTTTATTTACACTTTAAGGATTTCAACTTTATTGTTGCAAAACTTTATTACAGCATTACTATGACTGCATTCTTGTAATATTACAAAGTAAATAGAAGCTGTAAAACAAGATGGCCGCCATGGTGACAAGGAGTCGACTGGTAAAAAATAAAGAAATTCAGATTTCTCAAAAATTTGATCAATTTATAAAATATTTCAGTTTTATGTGTAGAAAATATTCTTTCTTTCCATTTCACAGTGATCCTCTACTGGTGTAACCGGAAATTAAATCTTCAAAAACTGTGATCAAATCGTTTTAGCGCCCAGCCCCATCTGTGGTCTTCCCGGCTCTCACCAGGGAGAAGGCGTTGATGGTGTGGTACATGGGGCTTTGGCGCGGTACAGTGCTCCGGTAGCGCAGCATCATCAGCAGGCAGGCCAAGCCGTTCAGCAGAGACGCCAGCGCAGATGCAGGCTCCTCGAAGCACAAGATGCGCACAAACGGCCACTGCGAGGAAAAGAAATCTGAAATCTGACTCCACGTTTATCAATATCAATGATGATCCAGAAGGATGGTTTGGTTAAAAGTCTTCAGTAATTTCAGATCTAAAACGATTCACTACAAAAAACATACAAATATTACCAAGTATTTTTGATCCACTTTCAAGAGTAAATGTCTTTGAAAACTTCAAATAAGACAAAACTAACGTAACAGTAACTTTTCATCAAGATGTAGCAGCTTGTTTTAAGTGAATAATCCTTTTATATTGATGAAAAAGTTTTACTTCCACTGGAAAATTATTTCATAATGTATGATTTCAAGCATTATGAAATAATGACCTAGCAACCAAGTACTAGTTCCAGATTATTTCACAAAGAAGAAAAAGAGAAAATGTCTTAAATAATCTGCCAGTGGAACTAGTTCTTTTTAATCAACATCAATGAAATACTGCCTTAAAACAAACTTCCCATTTGATGAAAAGTTACCTGTAAGTTATTTTTGTGTTATTTCAGCTTTTCCTAGATTTTTACAGAAGAAATTAGACCAAAAACACTTTTGATATTCCCAGTTTTTTGCAGTGTTGAGACGAACCTTTCCGTGGAACTGTGGGACTCTGTATCCCTCAGCCTGGTAAAGGCCAACAGTCGTCCACATGCACTGGTACCTACAGTCGTCCCGACACGTCCAACCTGAGGCGCAGAGAAGACAATGGAGTGCGTTACTCTGACAATTAATCAACTCATTTGATTGTGAAAAATTGCACATTCTGCAGCCTTTATAAATGAATTCTAAACACTTTTAAAAATTTATAATTTTTTTGTTTAAACACAATGTGGTCCTGACCTAGATACATTTAATATACATTTGAAATAATTATTAATTAAACTTTTTTTTTGTATTTTTCTCAATATGATTACTACTTTTACTAATGCTTACTTTTAGAGCTAACTTTGCCCTAATTTTCCGTAAATAAACCCAGTTGGGAGTCATTTATTTAGTTTTCTTAGTTATTAGTTATAAGATTTAGGTTGTAACTAGTCATATTTACTCAATTACATTTACTGAAGTAACTTTTTTGAAAAAAAATTTCTTTTAAGAGAATTTTTACGATACTGTACTTTTTTGCTTGAGTAATTTTATTATGAAGTAGTGCTACTTTTACCTGAGTACAATTTCTGGGTACTCAGCCCTCCTCCTTTAATTATATTATTATTTTTATTTGGTTTTGGAGTACTTTAGAATTACCAAAATATTTAACCAAACTCATACAGTTTTAAAAATGAATCATATGGAATTTTAAGAAAAAATAAGGAGGAAATGATCATAAATCCAGTGGAAACATGTTTAAGGAGCCCAACAGCTAAACAGGGATGCTTCTGTACCAGAAAAACTAGTTTGTCATGTTTTGTAGTTCTAACCTGCTAGATTTTACCTGAAGGACTTTATTGAAAATGAATTAAACTAACAAAACAAGTGAGGAATGAATACTTGAACTAGTTTATAAAATGTTAACTCGCAGTTATTAAGGTGCTGGATGTTAGGAAGCTAACAAACTAAGCTAGCTTCCCCATCACCTGCCAGCAGCGGCTCACCTGTCAGCGCCATGTAGCCCGGCTGGCTGGACTCGAAGCCCAGCAGCCGGGCTCCGGTGCAGTTCGTCCGGACACACAGCTTCACGCAGTCCCGGTACACCGGCTCCTTGTCCCCTTGGGAGGACCGCACCGCGGTCACCGACATCAGCAGGAGGATGGCGGCGACAGACGCGGGGAGTCTGACAGATGTGCAGCGGGGGAGTGCCGAGGCCATGGCGGACGGTTCGGGCCCGCCAGGATCACGGAGGCACGGCGGGGTGACGGCGGCTAAACGGGCCGGGACATCAACGCTGGTTCATTCCGAATCGGAGGGGATGAACCGGAAAAACCAGCAGCTCGGACTCGGTGCTGTGTTTCCCTCAGGTTTTACAGCTAAACAACTTCCGGTTACAGCTTCAAAATAAGAGTAGCTCTTTATTAAAGTGAATTTATTTATGACACCCCGCTGGGTTTATGGATGACAACAGATTAAATCGATTTATAACTAAAATGAGGAAATAAGAAAATGTATTAAATGTTATTTAAATCCCTGCTTTTATTTTAAAACAGGGATTTTTGTCACAGCATGGAATTACATCCTATTACAGAACATTTATTATGATGACTACATTTATTCACATTTATTAGATCGCCAATATTATTGTCGTAGTAGTGGTTATTATTATTAGTAGTAGTATAATTAATACTAATAACTATAAAATAATAATAATGCCAATTATTATTATCGTTATATAATTATTACTTCCAATTTGGAGAATTTGATCATTAGTCAATACTATTACTAATAATTTTATTAATAACTATTTTTGTATTTTTAACAGTCGCTATATTATTATTGTTATTGGTAATAATACTTACTTTGTCTGATTTTAATTTTATGTATATTAATTATTATCATAATCGTCCTTAAAATGGCAACATTTCAATGTAACTATATTTTGGTGAGTCTGCTTGATCAGTTACTCTGTACTTGAGAATTTTTTTTTACCAAATACTTTTTCATGCTTGCTTGAATAACTTCTATGTTTTAATTTTACTTGAGTACATTTTTTTGGGTACTCTACTGTCCTCTGCTAATCATCAATTTAGGCTGTTGGATAATTATAAAATGGACTGAGGTCCAAAAGGGCATTGGGTTTTTCATAATGGGTCATCTTCTGGTAACAGTCTTAAGTTACTTTAAGAATTGAGGAAACAGCTACCCGACAACGTAGCTGTCTCATGGTCTATTTTTGTTAGAGTGTGAGCTTGGTGTTCAGCGAAGGTCTGGTTGTTGATTCTGCATTTGCAGAATCTGAAGGTGCATTAACTTCTAAGAATGTGCATTTTTAACCCTTCTATGTTCGTCTCAGGTCCAATAGGTTGAATGCACAACAGACACACTCAGGTTCACGGTATTTATTCTAACAAAAGAGGAAATGAAGTTGGTGGTTAACATCAGTCCAGCAGCTTCTGCCCCAATACGTTAAGTAAAGAAGAATAAATAAACTACAGAGCAAATTTGTCTTTCTTTTATAATAGCAGATTATAGTAGATTTTTTTTTTTTTTAGAAAAGCTGCAAGTTTCCAGCAAGAAACTAAATTTTATTTCACAAAATGAGGTAGAAATTTCAATGATTCAAATGTAAAAAAAAAATTAGAGAAAAATCTGAAAGTCAAAACTTTTCATAAATTTTTCTAGAGAATTTCTGAGATTAATCTTGATTTCTAACCTTTTTGGTGGAAATTTACTGCTTTTTTTATTTAAGTAAAATAATTTTTATATCTACAATAGCCTAATATACCATCATATAAATCCATGTCAAGTTTTGGATATAAAGTAAATATTAATTTTGAAAATAAATGAAGAAAATCAGATTTTATTTTAGGTTGGGTTGATTTTTTTTTTGGTCTGTGTAACAAAACGTTTGTAGACTTCTGCTCTACTAAACTGAGCGAAGCAACCTTGGAGAAAGAGAGACAAAACCTTGAGGGTCTTGTGTCTTGATCAGAATGTAATGAATGCCGATCCTCAGAGCACAAACATGTTGAACCTGTGATCTGATTGATTTATGTGTCGTCACATTTATTTCTGGTTTAGTTGTGTTCACTTGAAGACTTAAAAGGAATTTACTCAAGCACTGAAGCCGATTGGAGGAAATGGAGTAGTGTCTCAGAATTACACAAAATTATACACAAGTGTTAATGATCAAAAAACCCATAATAAATGAGACAAGTAGCAATAAATATTGTACCCAATAATTGTCCTTGAGTAAAAGTAATACTTCTTGGCCATATTTTTACTGAAGTAAAAGCATAATAAACTGTTTGGTAAAAAGTCTACACAAGAGCTGTGTCATTTAATATTTAAAAATAACCTCATCAAACATCATATTTTTATAAAAAAAATATAAAGTGAAGTAAAAAATTTTGGTAATTTCATGTCAAAAATCACAATAATTCATAAGTAAGAAAAATTAAGAACAGCAACCAAAATAAATTTTTTCCAAATTAGTTTCTTTCAATATAAAACTTATGAGCTTTAACAAAAACTGCAGGTGTGTGTTTGTGTCTGGTGAATTATTTTGGTTAAAATATGTTTGGTCTTAATTCAGTGGGTAGAAAATCTAGAAATTGTACTAATATTTTCAAAAAGTTATTCAAGCAAATGTAATTGAGTTAATGTAACTAATTACTACCCAACTCTGCAGAGGGGTATCAACATGTACCACAAATTTGAACACTTTTATGCCCCATACTGATAAATAGTCCAAATTACCTCTACTTTGAAACTTGATCAAACCAGCAGACTCAGTGAAAGTGTTGTACGAAAGAAAGCGGATTTTATTTGTATTTCTTTCTTTGTTACAATGCAGTCAGATCAGAGTCACAACAGGAGCGAAACAGCAGTGACATGGAGGACAAGTCAAAAACAAAAGATTTATTTCTCTTTTTCCTTTGGATTGTCCATTTTCTTCCCCAACTCACCACCTTTCAGCATTTCTTTCTCTAGTTTAATGCTTTCCTCTTTTTTCTGATTGCAGCTCCTCTTTTTGGTAAAAGAGCGGGGTAGGCTATCTATTGTAGTGCGGTACCTCCACTCTTTTACTCTCCTACAGATAAATCAAAGGAAGCCATTAAGCACTCTGTGAAGTTGAGACCAACAGACCCGACCGGGTCAGACTGCTAGCTTGTTTCAAGCTAGTTGCTGTGCAAACGCCAAGGCCTAACCCTAGCCCTAACCCTAACTCTAGCCCTAACCCTAACTCTAACCCTAACCAAGAGACATTTTGACCAACTGGTGGGCAGAGAACCCAAAAAATGTTCTTGAGAGCAGCATTACTTCAACATATTTTTACTCAAGTAAAAAATTACTCAAGATCCACACGTGGACTTAAATCATGTTAAACTTGAGATACCTTAAGAATATTTTTTAGTAAAAATTTTACTCCAGTTCTGAGTAACTGATCAAAATTACACCATGAGACGGATTAAAATTTTGAGTAGGAAAATGACAATAAGCTATATCAGTGACAAAAAATAACCAAAATCGGCAAAATAAAATTCCAAATCAATTCCTTTCAATAAAAAAATGTATGAAACTTTAACAAAAACTGCAAGGGCAGTGTCTGGTGAATTATTGGTTAAAGCGTGTTTGTTTTTCACTCAGTGAGTAGAAAATCCAGACGTCTTACTCAAGTAGAAGTAGCGATACTTCATAATTAAATTACTAAAATAAAAGGAAAAAGTACAGTAAAAATAAATTTTGTCAAGAAAGTTACTACACTAAATGTAGTAATATGCTAACCGTACATTTGCACTGTTGGCCCTAAAACACAGAACAGAGTGAATGATGGAGGGAGGAGAAAGAGGTAAGGACAGAGATAGAGAGAGTTTCAGTGTCATAAGATTATTTTTATTGAAAATAATCCGATGTTGCTCACAAACCGCACCCGTCCACAGCGTCTTGGGCAAAGTAGAGAAGTCTTTTGGCGAGCGGAAATGTTGGACGAGAGAGTTTGTGAAAGTGAAGTTGCTGCGTTGGAGGAAACGGAGCGAGTGTATGTCGGCAGAGTGTTGGTAGAGGTAGAGAGCTGAAGAGAAGAAGAGATCTACTCCTCCTTGTCCTCTCCGTGTGTGATGACGTAGCAGATGTTCTTGTAGTCCACATTGCCGGCCACATCGGGTGGGAAGGCAGCCCACAGATTGGTCATCTAATAACGGGGAGAGGAGGTCACAGAGGTCAGTCTGAGTCGGTCAAAAATGGTTTCATTACTTGGTGCACTTATACTTCACCGCAAAATCTTACTGATCATTTCTGTCCAGTTTCTAGTGCAAATATCTTAGAACACTGGAATTAAGACAAACTTAAACGTAACTTTTCGGCAAAATATAGGAGCTTATTTTAAGCCAATAATCCCTTAATATTGATGAAATCTTAGTTTCACTGGTATTTTCCACAATCGACTGCCGCTTTGCTGTAACCTAGCAACGTCTGCCAACACCAGGCCGTAACCTAGCAACACTTGCCAAGTCCGGTCCGTTACCTAGCAACCAGGTTCCAGTTCCAGGCAGATTATTTCACTTATTAAATGGAAAATTTTACTGTTAGCTCGTGGCTTTTCACTCAACATAATTTTGCCCAAAAGTGTTAAAAAACAAAACCATTTTGGAAACATAAAGATGATGAAATAAACAGGATTCTTTCATTTCTGCTTAGATTCTCAACAGCCATTCTCAATGGTGAAATAAATACCTATTATGCATTCATTCAGGTCTTTTTGTCACTGGAAACTAAACTACATGCTTTTTCTCCAGTTTTCATGAGTTTAGAACATTTTACTCCAAAAATTGTTTTCATTTTCATGTAAAAATCCAATATTCTCAATTATAGAAACATGATTTGAGTCACTTTCTTTTGAAATGCTTGCTATATAAAGCTGAGATATAATAACTCTAAAAAAAGATTTCAGTTGGTTTCTCAGTAAAAGTCTCAGGACTGACATATTTTCAATTTATTATGAAAGTTTGGTAGATTTAGGACAAATACTTCGTGTTGTACCTAACATTTTTTATTGAACGAAAACCACATGAGTGACAATTTCATCCTGATTTAAAATAAAAAGTTCAAAATATGAATTTTTATCATTGCTGAATTAGTTAGGCCCACAAAACAATGTGTGAAAGGGCTTCAAAGTTTTGCAGCTGACGGCTAAGAAAGTCTGTGAAAGTTGCTCACCTCCTCACTGGTGAATCTGTCACACTGGGTGGTCAGGAGCTCCTGAAGACTGGAAACGGAAACAAATACACTGTATTGGGGAAAAACAACTCTGAGATGTTCTAAAAATTTTACAGAAATATTCTTACAATTCCTTCTTGATGCTGCCGGTGCCTTCGGGGTCCAGGACCTTGAAAGCGCTCACGATGACGTCCTCAGGATCAGCACCTAACAGCAACGCAAACCCAGATCGTCCAATAATCTAAGATTGAGTCAGTGCATGCACTGACTCAATATTATTGAGTCAGTGCATGCACTGATTCAACGCTGAGTCAACACAAACATGCAGATCAAAATTCAGTATTTATGTCTATTTCGACAGATGTTTTGCCATCTGGGCGAACAGTCTGTGTTGGTCAGCACACCCTTCAGCTTCTCGCCGAACATGGTGAGGAAGACGGTGAAGTTGATGGGGCCGCTGGCCTCCTTCACCATGGCCTCCAGCTCGTCGCTCTTCACGTTCAGCTGGCCCATGGTGGCCAACACGTCCCTGAGGTCGTCCTTGCTGATGATGCCATCTCTGTTCTGGTCGATGATTGTGAAAGCCTGCAGGAAACATGAGTGGAAAAGCTCAAAAGTAAAATAATATGTGGCTGCGTATAGGCCGCTCGCTAACAATTAATCGCATATTAAATTTAATCGAGCTCAACAATAATTTCTGTTTTCATTATTTACCTTCTTCTACCAAAAACTGTGTGACTAAAGTTTGGTGCTTTTTTCACAACTGGCCTTTTATTTTTAAGAATGATTTTGCTTGCAGAAACTTCATAAATTTTTTTATTTGTTGTTTTGTTTCTTTACTTTGATATTTAAAATGCCTTAAAGTTCCAGTGTTAACTGAACTCAAAAACAGAAAATCTCACCAGGTATTTTTGTCTCATTTCTAGTGGAAATGTTTTAGTTCACTTGAAAAAATAAGAATACATTTTTCAGCAAGACATATGAGCTTATTTTAAGTTGATAATTTCTTAATACTGATGAAAAAGTTCTAGTTCCACTGGTAGATTATTTCACTTTTAACATGGGAAAAATGTCTTGTTATAAGTGAAATAATCTGCCAGTGGAGCTAGAACTATTTTATCAATATTAAAGAATTATTGACGTAAAACAAGTTCCTAAATCTTCATAAGTTACTTTTAAATTATTTGTCTTATTTCAAGTATGCTAAGATTCTTTCACTAGTTTCCATTACCACTGAATTACTTGAAAACTTGTGGGACAATTAACCGTCCAGCAAAGCTTTGTTACGGTGACTGGCCTAGCTGTGTCTTTAAGTATGCGTGGGATTAAAAGGTCAAGATATAAGACACTAAAACTGTAAAACGAAGATTCTCACATTTCTCACAACTCCTTGTCTTAAGACTTGTTAATAGTGATTGTAAGTGGGAGCTAGTCTGCCAAGACAAACGTGTAAATGTGGAGCCGTTAGCCGCTTCCCTTGTCACATAGCGGGGCGTTTCACCCCCCTTGAAACCAAAGATGGCATTGGGAACCTTTCAGGACTTGGCAGCTGGTCGTCCACTTGTCTCTCGAAGGTGTTAAAAAGGCTCTGGAATGCAAGACAAGCCCCCTTGCGACATTTAAGGACAAGGTATTGATTACAGCTGTCATCCTTTTGCCTTGTGACCGAATCTTCTGACCATGCCACCAATGTTCTTCCACCTTTGGAGGTGCCAGCTAAGCTACTGTTGGCCTCGCATTCTCCAATCCCATAGATGCTTATGGAGACATTTCTGTCGAAGATCAAGGCTGTGACCCTCTGATGCTATAAAAACTAGACTCAAGGGGCGAAACAACCTTGGTAATCCCTGAATGTTGGTTCAACTTGTATGTTTTCATACTCCCCCCCACCCCGTTCTTTCCAGCTTTGATTAATTGGACTTTCCACCAGCTGTTGGGCTGCATTCCAGTGGAGTCATGGAGCACAGTGTCTCTAAGGAGAATTACGGAGCTAACACAGAGGAGAGGAGGCATCACCTGACTCAGAAAAGCTCACGTTTACCGTCCTGTCCTGCTGAGAAGGACAACATTGGCTTTCAGAAGCACTCCTGTATTACTAAACAAGACCAAATCATAGAAAAATGATTTGGCCTTGTTTAGATACATTCCCCAAAATCACACCAGTAAAAATTATATGTGATGCAGAGATTAAAAAAGTTACCTCCTTGTACTCCTGGATCTGGCTCTGCTCAAACATGGAGAACACGTTGGAGGATCCACCCTCACCCTGCTGCTGCTGCCTCCTCTTGGCCTTCTTGGGTGCCTGAGAGATGGAGAAAAACAGGTAAAACACACACAAAAGGTTTCTACACCCTTAAACATACAGAAAATAATCAACACATAGGACAAGAAAACTTGATGTTAACCCTGGATCTAAAAGTTTCTCAAACGGTTGATTTCGAGCAAAGAAAAGACCTTTATTTCTGCCACTTTGTTGTTAATAACTTGATTATCCAATTTAAAGTGGAAGTTTAATCTTGAGATAAACCAGTTTATCCTTCTTCTTCATAATTAAGGGTTCAAATCCAAAGTTTTGAGGCTTGATTTTGGGTGACTCCAAACTGTGATGCAAACCGTAGCTCCAAGAAACAACACTCACCATCTCTAAAGTCTGTTGGGTTGTGGTTGGTCAAGAAGAGAAGTCCGTACACCAAACCGATGAGACTGACATGTATGCATCGGCCCCTTGGGGTCTTATATATTAACTTGACGGGGGCTAACTTTAGCTACATCATCAGGTTTGGCAGGGAAGCAGAGCTGAGGAAAGAGTAAGAGAAACAGGGGAGGAGTGAGGAGGCGGCTGGGTGGATCGGCTTACAGGCGGCTCCAAAATAGGCCAGAGAAGTCTTGGAATGAGGTGAATTCAATGCCAACAGACAGGGCTGACTTTGATGCTGTCAGCGGACAAATAAGGCCAAACGGATGCAGAGGAACGACTGGTTCATCTCTGTGCTTGTTGGTGGCAGTGAGAGAAGACGACAGACGTCCAGCGGCTTTATTCGAATGACCCCCAAACAGATGGGGGTCAACTGAAACTCTGCTTTCTATTAATTTATCCTCCAGTGACGTGCGGTTGGTGTAAACATATTTCCAAGTCAACACATGGATAAGTGATAGGCCTGGCCCTCAACGACCCATCAGCGGTCGCAGTTAGGGTGCATAAACAGTAATGAAACCTGAAAACGGTTGACGAGAGGATGCTGGTCCGGCTCCAGCGATGACACATGAGCACCAGGCCTCACATGAGAAACAAAGCGACTGAAGGAGACGCAGCAAAACACTTTGCAAATAGAAATAATGAGTGATAAATAGGAGGAAAAGCTGCAATTTAAGTTAATGTAAAAATCCTCCAGAGTCCAGCTGTTCACCGCAAAATCTCTTTAGGTCGAGTTGAAAATATCTTAATACACTTAAAGTAAGAAAACTGACTTTTAAGTAACTTTTCAGCAGGAGATAGGAGCTTGTATTAGGATGATCTGCATTTTAAGAATAAGTTTTTCCCTTAAGTAAAATGTCTTCCAGTGTTAAATGCACTGCAAAAACACAAACTCTTTTTACCAATCACTTTTATTCAGTTTCTGGAGCAAATATTTCACTACACTTAAAATAACTAACTTGTAAATAACTTTTCACCAAGATGTAGGAGCTCGTTTTATGTCGATAATAATAATTTCTTAATAATGATGGAGAAAGTGCTAGTTTTTACCAGCAGGTTATTTCACAATGAACTGGCACGTTGCCGTTACCTAGCAACACCAGCCAAGCCCAGTCCGTTACCTAGCAACACCAGCCAAGCCCAGTCCGTTACCTAGCAACCCAGTACTGTTCCATCAGCAGATTTTTTTCACTTAAAAAAAAACATTTTTACCATATTTTAAGTGAAATAATAAACCAGATGAACTTTTTCTCAATACTAAGAAATTGTTGATTTAAAACAAACTTGTATTTTGCTTAAAAGTTACTTATAAATTAGTTTTATGTTATTTTACGTGTACCAATCTACTTGGCGCCCTTGATGAATTACTTGGTAAGGTTTTGCAAAAAAATAAAGATTATTAATTAGTTTGGTGGTTTTCTGATCTGGGATGCACTAATTTTGGTTCCTCCGATGGTTTTAGGACAGGAGGAGCGTAACCCACCCATCTAATGCCTTATATGAGCTCCACCGCCTCCCATCAATCAGGCCTCCATACAACCAAGCCATGTATTTGGAGCTGAGATGGCGCCTCTCCTCTCCTGCAGTTTGAATGTTTTTCACATGACATATGTGTGACCCTGGTCTCTTCATAAGACAGGGCTTTATTTAAAATCTTTTTTTTATTTTTTATCCTCCTCCAGATATTGTCTTGAAGGTGAAAGGAGAGGCAGGGGCAGCAGGCAAACACCATAAAAACAAGACAGCTGTACAGACTGAAATAGCAGCGCTGCCCCCCCATCAGCACCACCACCATTCTCTTCTGCAGCCATTTTGACACTCTTCACTGATTAGCTTGCTTTTTTTAAAACCCACTCGTATTTAGCATCATTTGTAATGTTGAACATTTATTGAAATATTTGGTGAAGAGTTGCCGGATCTAATCTAAAATGTAAACAAAGCTAATCTATGACTTTTAGGAAACATTTTTAGAGCGTCTAAAAGTAGAATGGTTGTTATTAATTCAGTTAAATTGAGTTGGAATATCAATTTTTTTCTACCATCATGGTAATGTAGTCATGTTCAGTTCACAATACAAGCTGGTTGAATTAGTTTCGTTATAAAGAAAACAGTTGAACTTACTTAGCATGTTGTATGCAGAGGCGTCGCCAGGAATCTTGGGCCCCCCAAGCAGCTGCTGTTACAATTTCTTGAGTCTCTGACTCATCAAAAGCATCACAATTATAAAGGCTTGCAACAGAATTGCTTTCTTTGGTCCAATTCTGATACTAGCGCAATATTTACTGCTTATGAATTTTACAATCTGCATACAGTTTGCAAGTAGGTTGGTGAAATTTATTTAATTAGTTTTATTTTACTAAATATCTCTCCCCACCAGCAACAGTCAGAGGCAACATGCAAAAGATACATGAAGCAATCCAGTCTTCTCAAAAAGTGCTATGTAGTTGCATTTTATTCAAGATGCAGGAAATAACTAATAAAAAAAAAAATGTTTTCTCCATATTTGTTAAATGTCACCATGTTGTGACAGTTTGTTATGAGACAGATAATATGTGCAAATAATTATCACAATTAGACTCATCCCTGAATTACTGCTGGCTAAAGTTATGCAACATTCCCGGCAAAACAACCAATCAGAACCAGGAGGCGGGTCTTAGTGCTGTCAATCATCCTCATTCACTCAATGCTAAGTGTGCTAATGGTGGAGAAGCAGTTATTCTTGAATCAGAACTCTAATTTATAAATTACAGCGTCAGAATGTAACAGGAATAACTTCACACTAATGATCAACAAAGTAAAAAGATTATAGATAATTTATTAAACAATGTAAGGAAGAAAAACATAAAAACAGAACAAAGCAAATACAATAAACAATACTTTACCCATTTCTAATGAAATAAAAGGTGAGAAATGTTTCAAACATTATTTAACTCGATGATTAAAAACCGAGAACTTAAACTTTCTTTAACCAAGATCTATCAGGCTTTCCTCCAGAGCTGGTTCATCGCCGCCTCTCCTCCTGGACCAGTCAGCAATCAGTTTCTTCACCTCCTTTCCAAAGTCTTCATGCATTTTACTGAAATCTTCTTCTGGACCGAAAGACAAACCCGAATACTCCGACATCGGCAGGGCCAGTGTGCTGACAGGCGGCAGGTTCGAGTTCTTCTTAGGCCACAGTTTGGGCGATTTCTTAGAAACCGCTCTGGCCACCGAAATGTTTGAAGGTTGAAGCATTAGGTTGGAGACTCCTGCTTCCACAAAGTTTGGTGCTGACAAGTGGAAGTTTGGCATCGTGAAAGGCCGGTGGAGTTGGCTGGGATGCGTCTGCAACGCATCTACGAAAGAGGAGAAGGAAAAGAAGATGGAGTGAAATATGACAGAAATACAACGGAGCTCCAAAGAGTCAGATGGTTAAAACCACAACAACAATAACAACAATGGCAAAGGCAGAATCGGCCCAAGGCATTGTAGGGTTCCCTCACCACCAGGGGGCCCCCAAGAGCATCAAGGCAGCATATATAAATATAAATACAGATCAAATTATCAATCTTAGATATTTTATTTATCAGGCTAATACCGATATGTAAAATAAAGAAAAAGACTAATATCAACTAATACCAATGTTATTGTGAATCCCTAATTCAGAGTTTATTGATCTCTCAAATTATTTATCGTTCTATTACTGGAAAATGTTCTCAAAACCACAATATTATCGCAAAAACGTTTAGGAAATTTATTGACCCGCAAAATTTATGAAAGAGTTCATAATTAATTTTATTTGTTACTTCTTTTTTATTCATGGATATTTAAAATGTCTTCCAGGTCCAGTGTTAAATGCTCATTGGAAAATTTGGGCAGATATCAATACTTCTGCAATGGCTGATAACCAATATCAACTGATATTATTTGTATTTATCTGCACTTTAAGATGGAAGTAAATATTGGATATTAATATTGGCCCAAGTTTATTCATCGGGCCGATACAAAGGCTAATATTGGCCGATACATCGATTATCACTAATTTAAAGTTTATTGATCTTTGAAAATGTTTCTTACATGATCACTTTAGTACTTGAAAGTGGTCTAGAACAACAGTATTATTGTTTTTTGCAATAACTTTTGGGGCAATTTATCATCCAGCAGCATTTATCAGGACTAGTCAGAAGAATCTATGACTAAATGAATCAGTACTATAGTCTGTACCACGGTGAGCCTGGTGCCAGACGTAGAGGCTGTAATCAGTGACTCAGAGCCAGAACAAAGGTCGCCCTCTCTCCCTTGTGTCTCACCTCTGTACTGCTTCTCCATGTCCGTCACCAGCAGGGCCAGGTAGCTGTGGCTGGCCGACAGCAGGGCCTTGATCCAGCTCTCCTGGGTCACCTGGTCCTCCGCCGAAAACTTGTAGGTCCGGAGTCCCGGCTCGCTCCACACCAGGGAGAAGGCGAACTGCTCCTCGGACTCGCACAGCTGGACGGTGCAGCCCTCCAGAACAATGACTCCAATCACGTCCCGGTCCCCCGGCCGGTCCTTGTAGAAGAGGAGGTTTCCCTTCAGCACAAACCAGCGCTTCTGATACGAAGTCTTTATCTCACCCTGTGACACACGATGCGTTTTACTGAGTAGATTACACAACTGCTATGAGGCAATCTGTAGTCTGCAAAGAGGATACGTTGCACATGTTTTCTTAACTTTTATTGCAAAACATTGTGTGGAATGGGGATAAAATCAGGTGACAAAACATTGACTTTATATCAGGGTTATAATAGTTTTAGTTGGTATTTCTGGTTCCAACATTAACTGAATTTAATCCAATTTCAACTCTGAGTTTAAAATCTAACTACTCAAATGTGAAGGTTTCAGTGATCTGTGGTGTTCCCCAAGGCTTCCTATTTGGTCCGTTGTTATTTTGGTTTACCTCCCATTATTCAATCCAGGGCTTAATTTCTGTTTCCGACCCAACTCTCGATTCACTTCGAAAAATCAGTTTGGTCCCATTCAAATATGAAATATTGAAATTAATCAAACTTGTGTGGCCATCCTCAAATCTAAAAAACGCACCATTTACCATTGTAAACAAGACTAGACAAAGCTTTACTGAAGCGTTCATTAGCCAAACGGAACAGTTGTTCGACCAAACTTATATATTTCCTGTTTTGGATAAACTGAACTGGCTTCTTGTGAATGTTAAAAACTGAAGTTATTATCTATAGATCAAAACAGGAACGATGTGGAGTCAGCACACAGTCAATGAAGCTACAAACTACTGAAGAGGCCTCAAATCTGGGTGTAGTGATGGACCTGGACATTCAGAGCCACATAAAGATGGTTACAAAGTCAGTCTTCCATCGGCTGAAGGACAGTTCCAGGATTAAACTACGAATGTTCCAACAAAATCTCATCCATGCATTTGTCTTTATTTGAAATGATGACAGTGCCTTCAGAGGTCTAGTTCAAGTCTGCTCTGCATCCCCAGAATCAAAACCAAACACGGAAAAGCAGCATTCAGTTTATATGCTCCGCTAATCTGGAACAAACTTCCAGAAAACTGCAACTGCTCCTGTTTGTACCAATTGTTTATTAATAAAATTAATACAATGGGTCACCATTTGGCTAATTCTGGGGCTTTTACGGATTGTCCATGCCAAATAAATTTGGAAATTTCAAATTCCAGAAATGCTTTAGCATGGCGTCCTTTCAACTTAAGGGAATAAAAGCTAAATATTTGCTAAGAGTTGCTTTAAATTAACTGGAACATTAAGTCCATACTTCATTCCAGTATTTTGTGATGATTTTTGATCAACTTAATGATGGAATTGGAGAAAATATATTGCTTGCTGCTTTCTTGTGGTTTTGTATTCACATCATAGTAGCCAATTGTGTTATGTTAAGTACATTCATTTCTTTTGATTGTTGAAATGTATTGTAGAAATAATCTTTACTTATGGATTTTTTTTCATTAATGTTCCCATTTTTAGCCATGAAACATTTGACTCCTGCAGGATTATCACATGTTCTGACTGAACTATCAGCTTTCCTCCTTTTCATTCCTAAAATCCAAACTTATGAGTCATTTCTTACGTAAAACAGAGAACTGGAGGTTGAATTCAGCTTGAGGCCTGAAGGCGATAGAACAATGTGTCTTCAGAGACGCATATATTTCGGTTTTGAAAAACGCAGTTTAATCCATTTAGCCTAGAAAATGCTTAGATTATACTATAGCATCAGTGTTGGTTTGGTTTTAGGTCTTCATGTTTAAAACTACAGTCGATCCAAAATACTCTGACTTTTACAGTAACTAATAATTTTTACATCACTGCTAGAGACGAGTTGCGCCTAGTTACTGTTAGTTTAACGACTCTGCAAATTTCCTTGTTGCCAATGTAAATAATAGAGCCTGAAAAGTTTGACTACAAGATTGAACCTATCTGTTGCCAGCTTTATTATTTGGAATAAAAATGTGAAGATAAAAAAATCCAGTTTCCTGAATAAAAATATATATCAGTTATTAAAATGTAAATACGTTAGAGGAGTGGAACTATTAAACGTAATATTTTCATAGAAAGTTACATAAATAAGATTTTCTAACAATGTTCTGTAATCTGCAATAGAAAACATCCTCTAATAAATGAATTTGTGAAGTGAATACATTTACATTTTCATGTCTTTATAAAGGTATAGTTAAAAAAAAAAGAGACAAAAGGGAGAATGCATAAATTTCATAATGTTTTTGTTCTGGGTTAATGTTTAATTGGGAATGCAACAAAAAGTGTTTTATTTCTATATTTTTGAAGTTGGTTCCAACTTCAAGCTTGACCGGTCAAATAAATCCACCTGTTAATATTTATCAATAATTTATAGGTCACAGGAAAACATTGGTCAAAATGGGATTTGAAGACACTGGCTGCTTTTCTGTTAAGCAGAGAATCAAAATGACAAAAATAAATCGTCTTAGTGGAAAAATCCAAATTAGCAAATATAAAAAATTATTATTTTTTAATTAAAAAAAAGGTTTTTGCGTTAGGATAAGGTGGTTTTTCAGCCATATAAACACTTTATTTTACGAGTCACGTGATAAATTACTACAGCCGAAAATGACGAAGAGCAGGATGGTGGTTTCTAGCTTCACAGCTCTCAGTTTATAAAAAGTTGTGTTGAATTCATATTGATTAAAGTTTCTCCAAAAATATTTATGGCTGCATCTCATTATTACAGCTGCTGCCATTATTTTTTATTCATGTGTAATTTTAAGTTTATTTAACAAACACCACAAGTAAGAGATAAGTTTTCTCGGCATTAGAAATATTTTGCATATTGGTAATGCAGCCGCAGCTATTTTCATGTTTTGCAACGTGTCACATCTCTAAACCGTGAAAACATATACAACGTATTTTATTTTGAAAAACTTCAAGCGTTGGTGTTTACCTTTTTGGACAGGTATCCCTCTTTGTCCACAGGTGAGTTGCAAGATTCAAAGTAGTTGACAACCTTTTCATCAATCTTCATTTCAACATTGCAGGGTGTTCAGAACATAAACCTGCAGCACACAAACACAGTTTCAGCCACTTCCGGGTCTAACTGATCCGAGAACGAATGACTGTTACGAACTGTGACTCAGTTCAAAAGAACTGGATTTTTTTTTCTTGTTTCACACCAGAGTTCATCCATCTTACTGTCTTTATCATTATTTTCAGAGGAGGACTGTTTGTTTTCTATAATAATAAATATTTTTAATTTATTGGCGGCGCTCATGTCGCCGCTTTTACCTGCCCAGCTGTTTTATTTAAAGCGACAGCGTCCACTACAAAACTAAAACTGACTCAGAGACGAAACTTTTGAAGAAACTGGGAAGCGAGAAAACGTTTCCATCAGCATGAGTATCGGTTACTCACCTTTCCGTAAAGCGTGTTGCAGTTTCCTCCCTTGAGTGTGTGAGGGTGTGTGTGTGTGTGTGTGTGTGTGTATGTGTGTGTGTAAAGCAGCTGCTTCCTGGTCCGGCTCCACGTCAACTCACTTCAGCAAATAAAGCTTTCAACACAGAAAAATATACGTGCAAATAATATAATCTTACCAGTTTAAGGTAACACTTTCCTTTTTATTCTAATAATTTTACTCATTTTCAATGCATGTTTTTCCAGCATTGGAAATAAATGTCATGTTGGTGTGACGGAGTTGCGCAATCTTGCGGCTTGTGTTGCAGAGACGCTGCCCCAAAAGCTCCTTTCGAAACCTTCAAAATAAAGTGTTGCAAACTGACTTTCATACAACCCCAGGTAAAATAAATCAGTAGTATATCTCAAGAAATATGGAGTGCCGTTTGTAAAGTCACAAAGTAAAATAAAATAATTTAGTTTATTTAACCCAACACAAAGGAAAGAGGGTGTGTAAATATTTAGTTTGAAATTAAATGTTCAAGTCTGAACTAAATAGCTTGTAAACTAAATATTTTAACTATTTAGCTCCAAATTAAATATTTTGAAAATATTTAGATTCAAGTTAAATATTTTGCTATTTATCTCCACATTGAATGTTTATTTTGCCAAATATTTGGCTCCAAATTATTTTGCCATTTAAATATTTTCCAAACTATGCATTTAATTTTTCCAAACTTTTCTTGCTTGCCACATATTTATTTTTCAAAGTATGCATCTAATTTTCAAACAAATTATTAGCAAGCAGGCCTAATATTTTGTTTAGAAGATGAATATTTTATTTGAAAATTAAATATATAGTTTGGAAAATAAATAGTTTAGAACTAAATTTTCAGTGAGGAAAATGGATATTTAATTTGAAGCTAAATATTTAGTGATTACAAATATTTTAAAGTTCTGATCCTGCTCTCTGATGAAATGACGCCCTGGGTACAGAGCCATACGTAGATTTACAAAAAGAAAAACTCCATATTTACAAAGATGAAAAACAAAAAGTAGCTCACAGTAATTATTTGTAACCATCTTTATTGGTTAATTGAAATTAAATCAAGACATTTAGTTGTGTAATGTTTGCACTTTAAATCATAAATTACTTTGTGAAAACCAACCACTGATAAAACTGAGGAAAAAAAAGCATCAGATACTTCAACAAGTTTGTAATAAATGATAACAAGGATGTTAAATATTTAACTGGTTAAAAATAATTAACTCAGCCATTTTATGCGTTTCAAAAATAAATGTTTGAACTTTTTAAGCTGCAGGACGATGGAGTCAACCAGTAACAGGCGCCGCTGCATGCCTTACAGTTACACAAAAATATTTTCCACCATGTAAACAACAATTATCAGCTTAAATATGATGATTGGTGAAGCAGATTTACTGGATATGAACTGAGATCACAAGTTTAAAAAGATGAACTGAGAATAACTTTTCCTTTATCATGCACTAATCTGGAGTTCATTAAAACTCAAACTGTGTTCACTGCAGGGCTGTTTTAGCATAAATGTCACATTCTGCAAATTTTTCATTTAAACACTAAAACTGGTTTTATGCAATATTAGAAATAGATTAAAAAAATGCAAATAAACAACCCAATTCATTTTAGAATGAGAAAATAAACATTTTATTGCCTAAAATACAATGTTTTTAGGCAAACATTGGTCATTTGTAGCTCAGGATGCATCTGAAGCAAAAAGATATAAAAAGCCCTTTTTGCTTTAACAATACAGAGCAAGTTTAATCTGTTGCTTGTGTTTTTCAATTAACTGATTAATAACTGGATTGCAAAAGGTTGATAGATGTTTTCCCAGAATTTGAATTGGCTCAAGCTTAAACTATGCTACTTGACAGTAGAGCATGTTTTTTTTTCTTTTTACCATCTTACATGCAAAACATATCATTTTTTGTTCAGTTTTGTCTTAATTACTGCTGTGAATGTTCTTGCTTCAGCACATTACCTTTTTTACTTGAATGCGTAGACTCCACCGATTAATCATCTCACATGCAGCAATTCTTACCCAAAGCATCATCACAGACGTGAATATGTGAAAAAGGAAGGCATTTGATAGACTTGAGTCACAAGATGGTGGGACATGTTTCATAAAACACTAAAGCTACACTCACACAGCAGGTCTCGGAGTTAATTTTTTATTTTTACTTTGTGTGTTGTCCTTCAAACTACAGACTAAACCCGACCGTAATCAGACTTTTGGAGGATTGGTTGTTTTTTTATTTCAGTTTATAAAAAAGTTGCGTCATTCTACTGTGTTGAATCCATAGTTCTTTTGTGAAATCGTTGAAACCATTTCCCCAAAACGCCACAGACGAAGCCGCTCCCAAGTATACACTTCTTGTCACTCCAACGCCTGAATGAGACGCCATCGTTTCCTCTGATTGGATGAGTGCTGGAGCTATTGCTGAATTATGAATATATGCCATATTCCTGTTTTCATTTGTCGCTGCCATGATTTTTAACAATCGAATAACCAAATTAGTTCCACATGTGGAAATGGCACAGATAGAATATTTTTTTGGGTGAAAAGGTCCGAACTGGCCGTTCTGACTGCAGTGAAAAAACTGGATGTAGGTCGGCTGTGGATATAAGATAAAAAGAATCAAATTTGGGTCGCATTTGCCTGCTGTAGGAACGCAGCCAAACAAATCTTGGCTATGGTAAAACCTGTAAGATCAGATGCAGAAAGTGAGCCGAGTCCATTTACTGCAGCTCTGTCCACGCTCGCTGCAGCTGCAGAGTTTCTCCAATGTGAATTCGTTGGTGTCTCTTCAAGTTCTCTCCTCGGCTGAAGCTCTTCCCACATTGGCTGCAGTAGTAGGGTTTCTCCCCTGTGTGGACCCTCTTGTGTTTCTTCAGGTCTCCCGTCTGGCTGAAGCGCCTCCCACACTGTAAGCAGCCGTACGGTTTCTCCCCTGTGTGGCACCGCTGGTGGATCCTCAGGTTGGCCACCCGGCTGAACGTTTTTCCACACACGACACAGAGGTGGAGGCCGCTTCTGCCGACGTGATCCAAACTGATCTGTCTGCCGTTGACAAAGCCCTGTCTCACATCAGGGGCAAGATTTGAATCGACGAAGACAAGTCCGTTTCGTTCTGCGCCGGCTTGTGGACCGGGGTCTTTTGAAGAGCTGCAGCTCAAGTCGACACATCCAGCCGGCTGCTGCTGCTCCGTTTCCATTTTGATGGCAGGAAGCTGGATCCCGCCAGTGTAAGAGTTGCACATGTTGGACGACGCAGCGTCCAATTCCCCGGTCGCACAGCGCATCGCCTGGACTTCCTCACTTGTTGCTCTGCAGAGCTCAGCTCCTGATTCGTGATCGACGCGTTGCTCCTGCTTCACGCCGAGATCAGTGGCGTTGATCAGAGTTGGCTCTGTGGAAGTTACATCTGGATGATTCTGAAAGAAGCTCAAATCCTGTTTTGACTTGTCCACACGATCCGTTTTCTCAGGAAATGGCTTAGTCGAAGAAGGAACAGCTACAAAGGTAGAAGTAAAAATAAAAGACTTTTATCCATCATGAATGAGGAAACTTAAGACGCCTGGACAACCGTCCCTCCAAGAAGTTGCAAATTCACTCATTATTTGCTAATTTTATATGGACTTGCAAACTTTCCCACACTGTAAAAAAGATTTGACTCCACTTGACTCAGTCTAGTTTTATTGTTGCTTTTCTCAGTTATCAACTTTAACTGTCAAGTTCAAAACACTTAAAAACTATTGCTACAGCAATCTCTCTTTATCTGTCATATTGAATGAAAATGATTGAAAATTTTTTAATTTAATCCAATTTTACATGTCATTTTTTTCTCTTTTGCATTTTTATAACTTTTTAACTTATTTCTAAGTAAAGTCAACTCTGCAGTGTTTGTTTTTCTTTAAAATGTTTATTCAAACATTTATAAGTTATGTTATCCTGTCTAAATTAGTTTTATGGGCATTATTTGACTCAACTCAGAAAAAATTTCAAAATTCACATTCAAATTTTACAAATCTGCACTAAAAAACAAACTAAATTTCTAATTTCTGAAAATTTAGGCCTTCTAATTCTAAAAGAAAATAATTAGAAAACACAAGAAAATTTAAATAAATCATAAGTGGAAAGAAAACATCCTCCCTCTTTGTGGGAAGACAATTAAACTTGACACAATTAATTGCGAATGATGCTTATCTAATATTTTCTAAAGAATGCTAAACAGGTTAGAATCTGCAAGAATTTTTATCTGATTAATCAAATAATAGTCAGAATAACCAGTTACTAAATAAATTGTTAGTTGCAGCAGTTTACCAAAAATAAAACGTTTAAAAAAATGTCCAACCTTGACCACAACTTTTTGAAATAGGGGCTGAAAAATTAGTAATTTTAGGCCGAAACTATTGCATAAAACCTCTTGGAGGGACAGAACGACATCTAACCCACCTGTGTTTTCTTTGGTTAGTCTGACCTGCAGCTCCAGCAGTTGTCTTTTCAGACTTTCGTTTTCTCTCTGTGTTCTGAAGGTTCTTTGTTGGTACTCGCACACCGTCTCTTTCACCAGGTCCAGAACCTCCTGCACAGCTTCAGTCAGCAGTTTGGCCACACGGGCATTCAGACGTTCCAGTTTAGTCATCCTAAGAACATAAAACAAATTACAATTAGAGAAAGCAGGATCAAATGATTGAACTATTCAATTCTGGCTGTGTTAATCCAACTCCTTGAGTAAAAAATCTTTAGCGACAGGCGCTCAGTGATTGTTTATCATTCAGAAACTAGTTTTACAGCACTTTAAAATGCAACATGAAATAAAGTGATCAAATATTATTTATACTGCAACATAATTAAATTTGACAAAAATACCAGCATCAACTTTATAAATGTTGTGGTGATGATGACTTGCTGAAGTTTAAACAAAGCATCAGAATGGGGAAGAAAAGACATTGAAGTGACTTAAAATCACTCTTTCATATTACTGATCAAATATGTATCTAAATTTCCAACATCAAACAATAAAAACGCTGAACTCCACTTATAAAAATTCAATTATGTCCAAGCTTGATGTTCCCAATTTGACTTCTGAGCTTTATAGCTTATCAATTCGACATTAAATACACATTAGCAGTTAAATATCAACGTTTGACTGATACAGATCATATTTGCTGAATTATTAATTTAAACTAAGCTACAATTATAAATGCTTCTGTACTAAAACATGGCCCATTTCCATCAGCTGAGCGTCTGCTCCTGCTTCACGTCACTAACCTGTGCAGCTAGCATTAGCAGCTAGCATTAGCAACATTAGCTCCGCTCCGTCAGGATTCCCTTTAACATCCCGAAGACCAAAAGATGCAGAAACATGGCGACATATCAACTGGTTCGGGTCACACCACGCCTATATATCGAATATTACATTACAAAACATGACCATACTAACCTAGGAACACCGTTGATAGCCCAGAAAGCGCACCGGAAGTTACGTCAAATCTCCGTTCCCTTTCACAATAAAAGCTGCCGCCCCAGTAATAAATAAAAGAAACATGTCAGTAATGTCACCAAACCCACTGAAAAGGAGAAAGCAGGTTGGGGTAAATGCTTCAAATTTGGCCCCACACCTTAAGTTTGACACGCATACTTTAAGGTGAATGTTTAATGAAGATAACATCACTATATGGCTGCTGTCTAGTGGTAATGATGTGAACAGACTCATTAATTTAATTCTGTTGATTTCAGATTTTAACCACAAACAAAAACAAACCAGACAAGTCAAAGTTTATGTTTTCCAAAGCTTTATAGGCACAGCATGCAGCACAAATTAAGTGTATTGTCTTGCAGACCATAAGCAAATTTACTTTGGAGCCCATCATGCAACTTGTAACTTATTTCAGTGTAAATCAAGCCATTTGGGGAAATTATCCACGCAAACACAAAGAAGAAAGTGCTGTAAGGTCTGATTACACGTTCAAATCCTTTACCTGGATACCTTCCTTTTCAAATACGCTTTAAAAAATGGCAGGAAAAAACAGAAAAGTTCACAAAAACCCAACACTAAATAATACGGCGCCCCCTGGTGGACACAATATTGAAAACTGAAAGTATTTCTGCTGCAACAAAGTTTTTCCATGTATGTTAATATGTTGTTTGTGAAATGTCTTAAGTTTTATATTTTTCTCTATACAAATGCATCACAAACTTCAGTGAAATATGCAAAACAGATCAAATATGCGCTTCCCATCACTTCTAAGATAAAATCAGAAACTTTACATAAGAAGGAAAGAAAGTTAAAACTATTTGAAATATTTTTGTGTAATAAAATAATCTGACTGCATCTTTTTTGTGTTGCCGGTCTGAATTGCTAAAAAAGGCAGTTTTTTTCACGCCCAGCTCAACCTTACAGAAACAAACATTAACACTAATACAGGGGTGTCCAAAGTGTGGCCCAGGGGCCAATTGTGGCCCTTGAAATTATTTTATTCGGCCCCTACTAAAGAGTAAAGAATGGTAGAAACAATTGATGACCCCAAAAATGAGAAAATTCCCTGTTTTTCCAGCAATAAAGCATCAGTCTGATGCTCTATTTATGCTGTGGATCTCTAATGATAAACAGATTCGATGAAAATAAATGAAAAAAAAAGGAAATTAAGTTTTGCATTTTAATTTAATGAACTTTGTGGCCCGCCGTCAGTTCAAATTTGCAGTTTGGACTCGCCTGAACTACAGTTTGGATACATTTCCAATCAGTTAAGAATGCAGAAACAGTTTTCACTGAGCAACTCTAAAGGTATTTGCAGTTTTAAATGGACATTTGTCTTCACAGTGACTGTATGCAAAAGAGAAATTGCTAATTCATTGCAAGGGAACAAAAACCCCACTCTGTCCATTAGCGGGCGCCGTAAAATAAACTCTTTAGTTCCAAAGAAGCATTAAAAAAAAATGTCCTCAAGCCTGTCCCTCCAGAGTCGTTTCCTCAAACAAGCTGAGGAGGTTCTTTGGTTCAAAGTTGGGTCGCGGTGGCGGCGCCGCCGCCTCGTGTGCCCGGACCCGGCCAGCTTGGCGCCGCTCGGAGGACGCGGTGGACGGGGAGCCCAGCTGGCGCTCTGCGCGAATGGGGCTGACGTTGGGGGTGAGTTTGTGGCAGGAGCCATTCAGGTGGGAGCTGGTTGGAGTCAGAGGCAGGTTACAGGATGACCAGCTGCCCAGAACCGACTGAGTGGAGTGGACCGGGCCGCAGACCGGAGAACCCGGCAGAGGTGTGGATGTGCTTTCCACTGACAGTCGGGAGTTAATTCTGAGGGGAAAAAAGAAAACAAAAAAAAGAAGAGAGTTACCTCGATAATTTATATTAGTTAAAAAGAAACTACCTTAAATAATTTCATGAATGTTATCAAATTAATAAAAGACGCAATGATGAAAAGATTCAACAGACCACTTCAGTGGTTTCTACATGTCACTGCACTGCCATATGAATATATTTCAGTATTAACACAAGCATAAAATAATACATATTATTCTGGTAATTTTACAACTTTATTCTTGCGTCACTTTGGCTGTTCTCATATCATTCTGACTTTATTCTCGTATAATTACGACATTTTTCCCACACAATTCCGACTTTATCCTCATATAATTATTACTTTATTCTGGTAATATTCCGACTTTATTATCACATTATCATGATGATGATTATTATTGCGATTATTATGTGAAAAGCACAAGGATAGAAAAATTAAAGCAAATATTTTGAAACATCCTCGACCTGAAACCAATTTAAAAACATGAATTATACGTAAAAGTTATTGCTGTGTATAAACGTACAAACATGTCAACGTGATCCTGTACCTGTTGGAAAAGGTGGGGGAAAGTTCTGGGTCTGAGTGATGCAGAAAGACTCCGTCATCCTCTGGACTTCCCGGGTCGTTATGCAGGGAACTGAGGGACAGCGTCACGTCTCTGTCCCAGCTGTCCTTCGGCGGCGTACACGGCTCCGGCTTCGACCAACAAGGCAGAAACGGCAAGCGAACTGAGGAGAGGAGCTTGCAACCGAAGCACACCACAAACTGAAGAAAAAACAACCAAACGTTAAAAAGCTTTGCATTGATTCAATATATCTACGATGCAGAATGCAGACTGGAATCAGTACTTGGCAGAAAGAGACCAGTGTCAGCATGGTCTCAGTCACCATCAGGAAAATCCGCCTTTTCCATCGGCGCTTCCTGACGCACGGCAGAGCGAGAAGCTGAGAGACGGTTGGTCTTTCATTTGGTTCTGGGGCCAGCATCATCCTCAGGACTGACTGAAGCTCAACAGACAGGCCTGGAAACACAGGCAGAAAAAAAACTCCTTATTTTATCCGGACAGATTCGTTACTGGCAGACGGAGGGCGGATGTTACCGTTGGTGAACTCTGAGGGAAGGTGCCCCTGTCGAAGCTGCTGCCATCCTTCGCCGCCGTTTGGAACTTCCAGGTTACAGGCCAGCTCCAGAATAGAAACACCCAAACTAAGAAAAATAAAGAGTTTTTATTAAACTTAAACTATGAATTTTTAAGGGTGACCCATTGTGAAAAAGTTATGATAGGTTTAAGATCTATACAAAATGTGTGTATTAGTTTTTTTTCACAAAAGCATTAAGAAATGAGAATTTAGTCTGATCAGTTTTTCCTTCAGAATTTGGGTTCTGTCACTTTAAATCCTGAGAAGCTGCTGTTGGCCACGCCCCCCAGAAAATGGCTGCAAATTGCAACGCTCTATTAGGGCAACCGTAGATAGAAAAAAAGGGAAGTAAATTTCTGCTGAAAATCTCAAATTTTCTATAAAACAAAAAAAATTTAGAGTTTGAAAAGTCAAAAATTTGAAAAGTGGACATTTTGAAATTAATGTTAGAATTATTTGAGAAAAAAAAGAAAAAATTCTGGATTTGAAAAGTTTCAAATTTGCTAGAAAATAAAATCTGAAATTTCCTTAAAAAAAATTTATCTTCTGAGTTTCAAAAGTCAAATTTTCTGAGTTTCTAGCAATTTTTTGACTTTTCAAACTCTGAAATCTGCAAGTTTTTTCTAGAAAAATTAAGAGATTAATCTAACGATTTCTGAGTGTTATGGCAAAAGTTTACTCCTCTTTTTTCCCTCCCATCTACAATGGCCCTAATATGCTGTTAAACAGATGCGAAATACTGTATATAACCACACATTTTGACAAGCATTAGTAGATCCTCCTGCACAGCTAATGAGAATGCAGCAAGTGATAACTGGATGGTAAGTAAACAACAATAATAAAGAAGTGTGATTTTTTTTCACTAAATTGGACAGGGTAAATGTATTTTCAAATTACTGGCATCTATTGATGTTTTCATCGAACAAACAGAGAAAATATTAAAAGTATCTATCCTGATAATAAGGAGTTTCTAAGGGCTTTGACATCGTTAATTGGAATTTATCATGACAACAATAAATCAAAACTTAGAAATCTAGCACAAAAAATGATAAACAATATGATAATGAGTTTAGAATAAAATGGAAGCATAAAAAATAGCAAAATATGAGTTTTGCATAATAGGTCCCCTTTAATATGCCCTATGTCTTCCCTGCCGTACCTAAAAACATCCGCTGCAGGTCCGTACTCCCCGCGCAGCAGCTCCGGCGCCATGTATCGCGGGTCTCCCTCCTGGAAATCCTCCTTTGTCTTCCTATTTTTGGACTCAGCACCGGTCTGGTTGACCTCCAACAGAAGCCCGAAGTCCCCCAGCTTGAGTCGCCCAGAATCTGTGATCAGGACGTTGGCGGGTTTGAGGTCCAAATGCACAAAACCATGAGAGTGGAGGTGCTGCAGGGCAGAAAGGAGGTCACACAGGTAGCCCCACGCCGCCGGCTCGTCTGGATCAACCAGAAACAAAGGGGTGAAGAAACGATTCAGTTTCTGAATGAAGATGTTTTCAGGCTGACCTGGGCCAGGAGGCTTGTTCTCGGCGTGCAGCAGCAGGCTGGTGCTGCACAGCTCCGTCTGAATGTACAGACGGCCGCTCTCTTCCCACGCCGCCACAAAATCCAGAACGTGAGGGTGAGGACAAATTTGCTCGTGGTTCCTGGCTTCCTTAACGCTTCGCTGCCTCTCGCCGTTACCCCTGAAGCGCTGGGCGGAGCGCTTCACGGCGTACAGTCGCCCGTCTTTGTTGTTTTGTACCTGCAGAAATACAGAAAATGCTTAAAGTATTATGTGTTTTCCAGGCCTGTAGTATCATTTTACAGCACAATGTTACCTTCAGTTGTTATAAAAATGCTGTAAATTTCAAATATGACTTCTAACATCATAAAATTGGGCCTGTGTCTCTTTAAGAAGGTCCTGCTCTTTCCTTCAGCTCTTCCTTTTATTGTTGAGGATTTATACTCCAGTTAATTAGTCTATAATTAACTTAGCTGACAATTATTTAATTAATCATGATTAATTCTTTCAGTCCTAATTTTTGGATTGACAGATTCATAATTGATTAATAAAGATGCTTAATATGTAATTATTTCACAGAATTTGAAGGAGGTGAAGCTAAAATTGCCACTTGAGGGGATCTGGGTAGAAAATATTTTCTCTTAAATGCAAATATTTTTGTCCAGTTTTGGCTTAATTACTGCTCTAAGTGTGTTGTTCTATCAACTGATGACCCTTTTTTGGAGTCTGTTTACTCCAGATAACAATTAATCAATTACTAACTTAGTTATTTATTCATTTAATCACAATTAGTCATTTTAGTGTTAATGTTTACTGATCCTAACATTGCTCACCTTGTAGACCTCTCCAAAGGATCCTCTTCCAAGAAGACCCAAATTAGTGAAGCACTGACCAAAATAGGACGTATGCTTACTGGGATCGTACACAGAGCTGGGAGGGAGAGATTTACTGAGGGAATCGGACAGCGGCGTCCACGGTGACTGATGCGGAGGGAACATCCTGCTCAGAGGCGGGCATCCTTTGGAGGGCGGCAGCGGAGGGAGCGAGTAGGAACCTCGAGGAGGGGAGGAGCAGGAGGCGTTGGATGTGGACGAGGAAAACGGGAATCTGCGCTTTTTGAGGGAGAAGGACTGCTCTGCGTGGGAAAAGTGCGCCGGGATGGGGAGGGGAGCCCTGGACGTCGTAGTTTCCACTGCAACTGACATGGCGGGAGGATTTCTTCAGCTCCGTTCAATCAAGGTGGCGGCTGGAAAACAGAGCAACCAAAAGTTAAGAGTAGCACTACTTTGATATATTTTTACTCAAGTAAAAGTAAAAAGTATTCATCCAAGAAATTATTTGAGTAAAAAAGTATTTGGTGAAAAGTCTACTCAAGTACTTAGCAACTGATCAAATTATCAATATTTAAGAGCTACATAATCAGACGGAACAAAATATAAAGTTAAGTGGAAATGTTGGTATTTAATCTAGCGGCCAAAATGGGTTTCCTCCGTAGGGTGGCTGGGCTCTCCCTTAGAAATAGGGTGAGAAACTTGGTCATCCAGGAGGGACTCAGAGTAGAGCTGCTGCTCCTCCACATCGAGATGAGCTAGTTGAGGCCCGGGCATCTGGTCAGGATGCCTCCTGGACGCCTTCCTGGAGTGGTGTTCACCGGGAGGAGGCCCCGGGGAAGACCCTGGACACGCCAGAGGGACTATGTCTCCCGGCTGGGCTGGGAACGCCTTGGGATTCCCCCAGAGGAGCTGGAGGAAGTGGCCGGGGAGAGGGAAGTCTGGGCCTCCTTTCTTAGGCTGCTACCCCCGCGACCCAACCCTGGATAAGCGATGGATGTTTCTTGTTTACATTCAGAGAACAACACTGATCTCAGTGTTACGTCTTCAAAAACAACTTTTTCTTCTCAGTTAGAACCAGGACGAGGTTTTAACTTAAACTTATATCAGATAAAAAGCTGTGGTTTTGCTTTTAAATTGTGATGACATCTCTAACATGTTGTAAGTTACACAGAAAGCTGATATTTCAGCAAAACCTCTTTAAAAACAGGCATAATGTGATCTAAGATTCAGTAAGATAAATCAGTCTCTTGAGAAACCCAATGTGATATAAAAACGAAACAAACAGTCCAAAAATAAGACTAAAACTGAGATAAATCAACAAGTTTCTAATATAGAAACACTGCAAAACTGTAGCAATTACAACAAACTCACCGACTTCACTGAGAGTTAACAATATTCTCCATAAAAATGTTCTCAGTTGTCATAAACGTGGACAACTGTCAAATGTGTAAAACAAGTAGCTAACTATAACAACAGAGCAGCTGCAGACATAACGTCGCTCGCTAACTACCGCCCCGTCAAACCCGCTTTCCACCCTCTGGGTTTAGTCACAACATCAAATCAGTCCCATGACACCAACCATAATCCAGCTTTCATGTTTTCTTCCAGTGGAAAATAATCTGTTTGTTGGTATCTGCTTCCAGAGCTGAGCGTACGGTCCTCTTTCGGCTCATAATCACCTGCTCGCGCCAAATTCTGAACTGTTTACGCAGCGTTGCGTAGTGCCACGTAACTCTACGTACGTTGCGCAATATCCGCAAGCGTTGGTGCAGTACAGTCGGGGCTGGCGTAACTGGCTAGCTAGCTGATCCCTTGAAATGGTAACTTTGTTTAACGGTTATTTTACGTAATTTGTCCTGAACTACCTTAACGGAATTAACACCAATTGTCTTTCATGGCAGTGTTAATGTTACAGAATGCTAAATTAGCTTTGGTTTTGTTAGCCTGTTCAAGCTAAACTGGCTGTATTAGCTTGGTTATCTTTTCGCTAATCTGTGTAATGCTAACAAGTTAGCTGCAACATTAGGCTAACGGCGAGCACAATTCTTAATTGTCAAGTTTCCAACGTTGCCTTTTGCGACCTGGCTTCATTTTAACGGCTTGCTCAAAGTGGATACGTGCTAGCTTGCAGCTAAGTGTGCGTTGAAGGATCTAGGTATTATTCTTTGTCAATCAATGTTTTGTCCGCAGCCTTAACTGTATCCTTACAGCGATTTATTGGGAAGACTTCTGTGTTAATTTATTTATACTATGAGTTCATAACAAAACTAAATGTTAAATTGACAACACCTGAAATGAAAATCGAAAATAAAACCGCTATGCTATCCTGTGATACAGAAACTATAGTTGGAATGTCATCCAAGTAATTTAGAATTGCTTGTTCTAAGGAAGACACAGCAATCATTTGTCATTTGGTTTATTTTTGTGTCTGCTTTTACGTTGTTTTTGATTACTTGGATGATAACCACTTTAAATTTGTATCTAATACAAAAGAATGTTCCAATATTTGACTTATTGATCAGTGATCTACTTGTCAATCACTGAAAAATCTGTTTTGTTTCCTTCTCTATTTATGAATTGAGTCTAAAATAAGAAGTCCATCAAGTAATGATTGAATTTGAGTTTATTAAATATCAGATTAAGTTAAGGGATATATACCTTTTGTAAACATTTAAAAATGACAATCCTGTCACTCCAACCTGCACTAAATTTCTTCTCTTTTGTGAGTTATAAAACTGGAAATGGCAGTTTTTTACCATTTTGCTTCTTTATTTGAAATCCCTAACCATAATCAAAACTTTCTGTTTATTCACATATGTGAAAAATCTGTTTATAAGGTCATTTATAGGAAAAAATGTTCATAAAATGTTGAAAAAAGTATTAAATCCAGATTTTTCTCACTTTTTTAATCACAATAACCACATTGATTAGTTTTAATCATCATTTTTCTGACACTTTTCTTAAACATGTGTTTTACCAACTCGGCACACAATGATATTTTGATGATTTTTGATTCAGTACACTTTTATAGCGCTACTTTCCAAATTTGAAAAGGTTTAATGTGAAAACATGTTCGTTTCTAGTCTTGTTTTCCCCTTTTTTCAGTATCTACAACATAAAAATAAGACACTTTGTAAAACAAAAGGAAAAACTACCTACTTTTTATTTATTTAAAAAGAAATTGTAAATTTTAATAACCTTGAATAAACTAAACATGTTTAAACCAAAGTCTAAATCAAACTGATAATGCCATGTTTTTGGGTTATTCTATGAAACATTTGTTTTATAGAACAAGCAACAAAGATCAACAACAAACTTTTAAGAAACAACAACATATAACTGTGCCGATTATCTTCAAGGACGTGTTCCTAATGATCCGGCGTCACAAGACGACAATCTTCACAGACGCCAAGGAATGCACCACAGTGTATGAGCTGAAGCGGATTGTTGAAGGAATACTTAAAAGACCTCCTGAGGACCAGCGGCTCTACAAAGTGAGTTTAAACCTCAGAAGCATGCAGTTCTGAAGTCATGTTTATTGAAGCGCCTTCCTGCGCTGCTTCCTGTTTGTAATGGGTTTTGTTTTCTTTCTGCAGGATGATCAGTTGCTAGAGGACAGTAAAACTCTGGGAGACTGTGGATTCACCAACCAGACTGCCAGACCTCAAGCACCAGCTACAGTTGGTCTGGCCTTCCGTGTAAATGGTAAATCTGGTTTTATCTATGCATTTGCCTCAAAAGCTCAGGAATAGGTTTTTCTATTCTAGTTAGTATTTCTAAGGCTTTGTTTTTCTGAGCTAGGAAATCTAATGTCTCATCTAGTGCTCTCTTGGTTTATTAAATCACAAATACTTATTTGGATAGAATAACAAGAAGTGGAATCCAAACATACTTATTTGCTAGTTGATGTGTCTTTTTTGTACAGAAACCATCTAAAAAAATGTAAAAATCTTTTTGTCCAATTTCCATAGATAAGTTAGGAAAATAAACTGATTTCTTTAAAGAGTAAAACTACAGCAAAATATGATATGAAAGAAAACATTAAAATATAATCTGGTAATAAAAAGCAAGCATTTAAAAAGTTGAATTTATTGCCTCTATATAGTAGATCAAATTTTTCAAAGAAAACATTTTTTTTTATTAAATATTAAAGCCAAAAACATAAAAAGGAAAAAAAAAATCAAGCTCCTGTGCTTTCTCTCAGTGCTAATTAGAAACAACCAATCAGAGTCAGGAGGGGGTCTTAGCACTGCCAATCATCTCTGTGTGATGCTAAGCAGAGTCTCTCATGAATGCTAAGGCTAGTTAGCATGGCCATAGATGACGGTTGATAAATGGTTTTCCTGTAACCATTAGCTTACTTTCCAGCATATACATGAGGTTGATTGACAGTTTGAAGCCCCTCCTCCCGGCTCTGATTGGTTTTTTCAGATCATTTGTCTCATAAATTATTGTCATGACATGGTGACCGCTTCAACAAATTTATAGAAACTGTAGATTTACAGAGTAAATTCTGCCAGAGCTCTTTATTCACTCCCTCTGCAGTCGAAAGGTGTCGACATCTAATCAGTCACCGTGTTGTTAAGCAGCTAATTCCTCTTGTTCTGAGACCGATGTGTTTTCCTCCGGCTCTCTGACATGATTTAAGCTCCCCTGTCACTGTGAGGCTCATGTTTCTCTGCTTCCCCTGCAGATGAGATGTTTGAGCAGCTGCACGTCGAGGCCTTCTCCAGCCCCCCCGAACTCCCTGACGTGATGAAGCCTCAGGACTCCGGTAGCACTGCCAACGAGCAAGCGGTGCAGTGATGGCGGCGACGGCAAGGACGGGAACGGCTGTATGTGGATTAACTGGAGTGAAGAAGTAATTTAATTTAATGAATGCGGACATTATAGGGGTAACCAAGCCTGCCCACGTTACCTTCACGCCATCACATCAGCGTCCCGCCTCCGACCCCCTCAACTCCTCCTCACTTTCGCCAAATTACTTCACAATGTCTTTCTTTTTATCTCCGGTATCCACGCCATGTGCAGCCCTGCTCCTTGAATTTACCCGAAAGCACCAACCGTCACGAAATTTGGAGTGAGAATGTTGTTGGTTTGGAAAGTGTGAGTGTATGTAAGCGTGCGTGTTTGAGTTGACTATAATTATTATCATTAGCATTTTTGGAAAGGCGTAGTTGAGTGTCGTAGTGCGCTAGCTGTAAAATCCGCTCGGGTAAGAATCCAGTATTTGAATCTGCATGAACAACTTCGAAGCTAAGGTTGCAGACCGACCGCTGAGACGTTTACTTGGTGGGATGCTCACTGCTATTTACTCCACCTCACCAATTTGACACATCTAGAAATGACGGTTTGTTTAATCAGTATGTGTGAGTCGTCAGTCAGTTGTGTTTCATGCACTGAGACCAGAGGCGATGATGCGTTTGGTCAAAGCACATTTGGTCAGTGACATACGGCAAACACCGAATGAGAACTTTGTTCTTTCATTTTTATTTTTTATATATGCTTTCATCATGTCACCAACCTTATTATGGTATCTCCTAACCCCCGGCACACAAACAAAGCTTGTAACTGTAAACTCGCTTAATTAAAAAGTTTTTCCTGTTTTGTTTTTTTTTATTGCTCTGCCTAACAGATTTTTATTTACGTCACATGATGGTTGTGTTGTTTACAGGATGACAGTCGTTTGTGGAAAAAAAGTCTTGTTTTTTTTTTCTTTCTGATAATTACGACATTTCTCAAGTCAGTGGAACAAAAGGAAATTAGTGGATGCTCAAAGTGTGGTCCGGGGGCCATCAGGGGTCCTTGGATGATTTTGCATGGCCCTCAATCACGATTAAAGAAAAATTAATTCTCACTGATGGAAAAAGATGAACTAATCTAAATATTAGCTGAAACAATTGATCTTTATCAGCCTTTATTTTAATGGTAATAGGCATTTCCAGTAGCTTTTGAGCCACTGGAAAGCAGACACCCATTTATTTAACTTGGCTAAATCCTGTTTGTGTTGCTGAAAACAAACAAAAGGAAGGCATGCAAAAGGTGGATCGCTTGTTTTTTTGTTTTTAATTATTCAAACCTGAAAAAAACATTTTCTTTCAAATATAATTTCTTTACCCTTTTTTGACAAATCAAACTACTTTGTTTCATTAAATGTTATTTGTTTAGTTCATTTTGTACGACAGCATTTGTGCTAAACTAAGGGGAGAAAAACAAATTATGGGCATCATGAAATTACTAGAATAAAGTTGAAATTATACAAGAATAGTCTAAATATTTTAAATAATAGTCATAGTTTTATGAGAAGTCCTGTTACTAGAAAGTTCTACAAGAAAAAAGTCAAAATTTTTCACTTTATTCTTGTGCTTTTAAAAAGTTTTATTTTCTTGGCGTCTCCTTAATTCTCCGTTGTAATTATGGAGCAGGTGAAAATAATTTTTAAATGTTTGGCAGAAGGTTTGGATGCCTCTTTCATTTTTATCTGTTCTGCAAACAGTCCAGAATTTGGACTCGATGTTTCTCTGAAGTCATAAACATATTTTAGACAAAAACAATAAATTGTGCTGAAATTCATAGGATGCTTGTGTAAGCCGTTAAAATTACATAACATGTCCAAACCAAAGTGTAATGCAGCTGTGTTTAATACAGGTACAGCACATGCTATAAATTCATACACTTTTCTCATAAATATCCAGTTATGACAATATGGAAAGAATAGAAAACCAAGAAATCACATTTATGTAACTTCACAGTTATGAAGCTGAAGATTGAGATGTTCTACAACATAAATAAATGGAGTCCACTTGTGAATTCATTTGATTTGGGTTTGAATTAAAAGGCAGCACTGATGCCTTGCAGCAAGGAGGAGATGATGCAAAACATGTTTATTACTTTCCTTGCACAAAATCAATTTATATCATGAGATTTCAGTCTGTTCAGTTCTGCCTGTTTTGAGCCGTTTTAGGGCCTCTGTCACTTTAATAAGCTGCTGCTGGCCACGCCCCCTAATATATATTAGGGAATGCGGGCTATATATATATATCCTATATATATTTGTAGCATTTTGTCTACTTTTCAAGCTTCAAAATTTTCCCTTTTTTCTAGAAAGTTTCTGAGTTGTTTCTTTAAATTTTCTTTTTATTTATTTATTTTTTATAATGACAGGACAACAGTTTTCAGCCGGTTTCCATGGAAATCACTCCCTGCGCTCCCACACCAGGCAGAAAAACATGACTAATTTAATTTTTAAAACGTAAATAAATACATTTCGACATCAGTTTTCATGTATTTTCTCAGAACAGAAGGTTTCAACGTGGCTCGTTGCTGCAGGATGCTGCTGGTGCAGTTATAACGCTGGGTCGCAGCATTGGGCCGCTGTCTGTTCTCCTCTCGATCCGCGGTTTTCTATCCCAAATATGGACCGGGAATGTCCAGGATTACGTCTTTCTTGCGTGCGCCGGAGGGGGGAATGCGGGCTTGGAACCACATTTATTTAACTACGCCTCCTCGGGTCTGAAAGTCTGCTGGTAGGCATTGGACAGGAAGAGAGTTGGGAAAAGAAACGGGACGCCCTCCCTCTTCGTCCTCCTCCTCCTCCTCCTGCTGCCTCTCTGAGCGGATAACGGTGTCCAAGAACTTATCCAGGACCGAGGGAGACAAAAGCGCGGCCATCAGTCATAAATGTTCTGGTTTTAGAGCGGAAAGCAGCAGGCTGTGATCAGATCATGGAGGATTTGGGTGAGTACTGGAGCTGCAGGTCTTCGTTTTGCTGTAACTGGGATATCTTGGAGGGGATCTGTGGGAAGGGGCGGTCTGCCCAAACAGAGGAAATTTGGCCTCTGTTGATCCTGGCAGTTAGAGTGCAGACATGCAGGAGGCTCAAAAATAACCCATTTCAGTAGGAAGGCGTGCAAAATGTTCTCCATTAGCATTTCTTCCCCTTCAACTGCTTCACTGTTTGTTTAACTGTGACACTGGAGGAAAATTGTATGTTCAGCCCAACAAGTTAAAAATCTGTGCACTGACTTTCTGATTGAGTCTCAAGTTTTTGTAGATGAAGCTGAATGCAAATCCATGCCACATTTTTCAGACACCTTCCTAATTTATTTATTTAATTTGGAAATTAAGCCATTTTTCCCCCCAGTACTTATGTTGTAGTCACTTAGATCCATTTTATTCTCCACATCATGAAGCTGCCACCACCATGTTTGATGGTTTGTGTGGATTTTAAGTGTTTCCGCCACTTAGTATGGAGGTCAAAACGTTTTATTTTGGCGCATCTCACATTTTCACAGCAAATATGACTTGTTATGACTTTACTCCTCCGCCATAAAGTCCAGATTCATCATGTAGGACTGAAACGATTAATTGCGAATAATTATTAAAATAATCATCTATTGGTTTAGTAATCAATTAATCGTTAAAGTTGCTTTTCTTTTCTTTTTTTTTTTTTTTAGAATTTACACATTTATTATTTTTACAGAGCAATTATACAGCCATACATCAGTGGTACAAAACACAAATGTTGATGATATGAAGTTTTCCATAAAATAAACATCTTACAACCTCAGCATCACATTTATAAACTCATCACCATACGACCCGAAAATAAGGATTCACTTTGGGCAGGACGGCAAAACACCAAATACCAAAAATACAAAAAAAATTAAACAGATTATGAACACTTTTGTTGCATTTTGCTCTTTAGAGTTGCCTTATGGTAATTTCAACAAACTAAAATAACTCTGATCCAAATAGGGCTGAATCGATTAATTGAATTAATCGTGATTAATTGATAATTGAAATGATTGTCAACTAATTTAGTATTCAATTAAATTTTAAAGTTGTTTTAGGAGGAGAAATACAGTAAAATTAACAGATTCCGAACACTTCTGTTGCATTTTGCTCTTTAAATTTGTCTTATGTTAATTTTAATAAACTAAAATAACTAAGGCTGAAGACCCAGTGTGATTAATCACAATTAATCATGAATAGATTAGATTTAATTGGAGAATACAGTAAAAATAGTCTTTTCTGAGCAGCAATTGAGACAAATCTGAACAAAATATTTTATACATTTTACATTTAAGATGAAAGCAAAACCTTATTTGTCAGTAAATATTTTCCTGAACTCCTCAATTGGCAGGTTCAGCTTCATCTGGTTCAGGTTTTGTCCTATTAAACACTTTTTTCTATTTAATAATTTTGTCAGTTAATCAAAAAATTAATCAATAGATTATAGCCCCATGTTGTCTGAATGTCAATTCAAGCAAACAGGGTTGAACATGTTTTCCTTGAATTATCAAGCGAACACAAAAGAACATTTTTATTATATATTAGGCAAGAAAACATTTTTCTTATTTAAATTTTTTTTATAATTATTTATTTTCTTATTTTATTGTATTTCTATTCCAAAAAAAAATACAACTACGTGGTTAGCTGAATTTTTAAAATCAGATTAATTGTCAGAATAATTGATTAATTGTCAAAATATTTGATTAATCATCAGAATTAAGTATTTTTATTTCATTTCTATTGTATGAATGCAGTTAACTGAATTTTTTATCCAATAAATCATCAGAATATTTGATTAATTGTCAAAAATATTAGAGTATCATCAGAATATTTGATTAATCATCAAAATATTTGATTAATCATCAGAATAATTTCCTGAGGGAGTCTTCCCAAGGGATCAATAAAGTCAAGTCTAAGTCTAATAACTGATTAATCGGTTACTAAAATTATTATTACATGCATCCATGGAGTGCACAATTAAAAGTTGGTCTGTTGGCTTCCTGTACCCAAGCAGAGCTTCTCTGCAGCTCCTCCAGAGTTACCACTGGTGGTTGCTTCTCTGATATTTTCATGATCAGGTAATGAAATATTGTTTTTGGAACCGAAAACTGCTTTAAACTTCTGCCCAACTTTCTCTGCTGTGTTCCGGTTTGTTCTGTAAGATGCGACAATCCCGGCGAAATACATTTTAGTTCCTGGTTGCAACGTGACAACCTGTGGAAGAGTCAAAGCTCTGAAAGCCACACACAATGTGAGCCCAATAAATTACTCCACATCTGTCTGACCGCTACTGAGTTTTTCATGCACGGCCTGCTAATTCAATAAAGCCTTTATAAATTAGATTTTAAATGATCCACAACCGTCCTCTCCATGCATCACCCCGGATAAGCTGTGGATGGAGAGGAAAAACACAGACTTGTTCCGTTTAAAATCACAAAGGGATCTTTTATTTCTAGTTACTGATGTTTTTTTCCTTGCAAACATGTTTGGGGAGACAGCTTTCTGTGTTGGAAATAGCCCAGAGCAGCGCTTCCATTTCAGCAAGCCACATAGTTCGAGGGAAAAGGAGAAGGTTTTTCTCTCTGCCGCCCATTCGCCATTTGCTTTTTTCTTTTTTATGTGAAGTCATCGGGCACTTTTGCTTCTCCAGCAACAGGAGGGGGTGAATGGCAAGATGTAGCACATCTGGGCACATCTGGATCGGATTGCGCTCGCAGAGGCAGGGTTACTCGGGCGACCGGGTTGGTGTTTGTCTCAGTTTACGCCGCTTTTGTAAAACTTTCAGGGAGTGAGACCACTTGTTAGATGGTCTCCTAAGCCAAGACAAACAAGTCAGCAGGCAGAGCTAAATATGGTCATAATTCCCATTAAGAGAAGCTCAACTCCTTATATGTGCAGTCTGTGTGTGTGTGTGTGTGTGTGTGTGTGTGTGTGTGTGTGTGTGTGTGTGTGTGTGTGTGTGTGTGTGTGTGTGTGTGTGTGTGTGTGTGTGTGTGTGTGTGTTTGAGAAATGGCGAGAACCCAGGCATGTGGACTGTGCACTAGCTTCCCAACACATGGCCATACCACAAGTGTGAATCATCCGGGTGAGAAGGTGACCACAGGGCTCATCCAAGGCGGGATCCGTTCACGTCATCCGTGTCTCACATCTGATTCACGCAGAAAATGTCACAAGAGTTCAAGCCTGGTTCAAAACCAGCGGCGCAAAAGGTTGGAAATTGCTATGTAGTTGCGTTTCCATTGCAAATGTGAGGAAAACTCTGAGGAAGCTCAAATCGTGGTGGCTTTTCTGATGTCCACCAGACATGCCACTGCTGGCTGAAAACTTCGTAAATATTTCAGAAATATTTACGAATTTCGCAATTGCGGTGTTTCTATTAAATAAGAAACAATTTTAAAATCACATGTGAAAAAGCTTATTCGCCGGATGAGTAATTAAACACATGCTGCGCCGTCAGCCATAGACATGAGAAAGAGGAAGCAAATACCGCCGCCATCTTGGAGTGCTCCAAAACAGCAGGGGATATTTTTGTCCAAATTGACGGACTATTGACGTGACTATTAACTTTTCCAAGTAAGGCCAACACATTATTTAAATTCACCAGCGAAATGGCAGGTAACGTGATTTATGGTGTAAAACTGGGTTTCAGCTCTGGCTATGAAGGCCAATGGAGATTAAATCTTTAAAACAGTTTGTTATTTTTTGTTTACATCTGATTCTTTTTTTAAAAAAGTAAGATACAGTTAATGTCTTATATCCACCACAAAATACAGATAACAGAACATTTTACTGGAATAGTTTTCAAACAAGCTCATAATTTCAGCTGCTTTGGTTCATTATGAATAAATATGCATTAAATAGGAGTTTAGTTGAAGTAAAGTGCTAAGTGCCATGATCTTCCAGCTACTTCCTGTCGTTGTGTTTTTGTTGTTTTTGCCAGTAGTAATATCCGGCTGGTGATCACGTGACTTGTGTGTCTCCATTGCAGTTGCACAAAATACATCTATTTAGCACAAAAGCCTTCTATTGAAAAACTTACTCTATTTTTTAAATTGGCAATTTTCCATTAAGCGAATTTATTTCCATAATATCAAGTTACACAGTTACTTTGTAAATGGAAACGCAGATATTGTCACGAGTTCGCTGGTGGTTCAAAACCTGCAGCGCAAAAAGTGGGTAAGCAAAACTTTAAATATTGCAATAATACAAGTAAATACAATTTTACAGTGTGGCGTTGACTTTATGATTTAGAACATTTTTTGATTTGCATTTAATTTTAGAAGCCTGGAAAAGTGAAGATACGCTGAATTAAGTGATATTTCTTATTTAATGTTTAAATACAAGAGTTTCTGCCTCATGAAGAGGTGACATAATAGAGATCTGATTCATTTGCCCTCTAACTCATTTTCAATTAACCTGAAACATAAACTAAATCAAAATCAAATTCATCATCTGTACTTCTGGACGATGTTCCCTTGTTTCTGATCAATATTCAGTGACAACTTGCTGACATCTGTTTCCGTGCTGCAATTCGGGCCGGGATTTATAATCCTTGGCACCTTAATATGCAGGAATGCAGGAAAAATCGCATGTCCTGCGACCGCCGAAACTGCTGCTTGATGATTCAAACCCATTAAACAAAATTTTAATGGGTGCTTTGTTGTCTGGGTACAGATGTAAGTACAGCTCAGAAAATTAGAAAATTGAAAGTGAAAAGTTTAACCCCTTAACTGGCGGCTAAAGAGGCAGAGTATTAAAAAAAACTAGATTTTTTTACCACCAGTTTAGGCGTAACAAACAGTATTTTGTCAAAATTAATCAACAGAGTTGAATTATTGATTACTGTAGAGCCTCTTGTCTAAGCTCAGTTTTACAGCAGATGGTCTGCTTTACTAATTAAAAAACTGAATTATGTATAAATTGTTTCTTGGAAACAGATTTGTTTTCGTCATGCAAGTCTTATAACCAAAATTTGATATTTCTTCTTTTATTTTTTAAGTTGTTTTAAATCCAGTAATCTAATTTCTTTCAATGTTTGATATCTTATTTAGTGTGTGACCTAAATTATAGTCCAATTAATAAGCAAAGTAGAAAAAAAATATTTATATTATATAAAATATTTTGTTTTTTTGGCATTAGCGTCATAAATTACATTTTGAGGGTTTTGTAGCTTAAACCCAAATAAGGCTAAGAGTAAAAATAAGCAGAACATGAACGCTTCTGTTGCATTTTGCTCTTTACAGCTACTTCATTGTAATTTTATTAGACTAAAATAACTAAAATCAAACACGACTAAAGAATTGTGTTTTTCTGGTCAAATCAGGTGAGACCTATTATGCTAAATTCACATTCTGCTTCTAAAAACAGAACAAGCCCTACATACATATTTATTTATGTAATTTTGGCTGAAATGGCTCTCCATACAGGCGCTAAAGAAAATACTGAGTCGTTTTTTCTCCATGTTTTCTGTGTCTGGAAGACAAGCCGTTTCAAACAGTAACATTCAACAGACAATGCTACGTTACCTAGCAACCCCAGCTGAGTTCCAGAACATTTGGGCAGCTGGTTTTTATGAGCTGTACAATGGCTGCTGGAAAAGACATGTGTTTTGTTGTTGACTTTTCTTTTGTCTAGGAAATTTCTAAGATCTAACATTTTTTGATATTTTTCAAGCCAATTTTTAATTTCCAAACTCAGAAAATGTAATGAACAAGTTTTGTTTTGTCATAAACTTATCCCAATCTGTTGGAAGAAGCATATTAGGTCACCTTTCAGCTACAGAGGTGCTGTGCAGCTGCTAGCCAGCTAACTAGCTTTGTTTCTGGCAGTCAAACATGTGAGTGAGAGTGTGGGGGCGGCCTGCTGCTGTTTGGATATCAGCAGCCAGGCGCTCTTCCTCCCCTGCTTCCTCTGCAGCCTGGCATGCCTCAGATATGAATGTCTGTCCCAGTAATGTCAGCATGAAGACGGATTCCCGCCCTGAGCTGTGGCAGACTCTCCTGTCTGCGGCTGACTTATCGCTGAGGATTGAGCTGTGTGTTGCGTTTGCTCTGACTTTCTGCTGCTGTTTTGGTCACGCTGGCTGTCTGTCTCTCCTCAGGACTGTCTGAGCCGCCTTGCTACCCTCTCAGTCCTCGTATTGTTGTGTTTGGTACGTAACTGTCTGTGCATGTTTGTGTTGCACCAGGCTTTTGCATATTTTTATTCACATTTATGTTGCATGTCTTTTCTGAACTTTTTCCACTCTGAGCACCATCAAAACTGATCCAGAGTATAGAATCGTGATGTCAGACATTAAGTAAGAGCCATAAACTATGATGGCGTGTCAGGGCCTTTGTAGATTGAAAAAAAAGGAAATTTCCACCAAGATTTTTAGAATTAACTTCTGAGAAAAAACAAACAAACAGAGAAACAAAAAAAAACTTTTGCTAGAAAAGTTTTAGAATCAGAGAATTTTCTTTAGAAAAAATAAGAATTTTTTATTTTCTAAAAACAAAAATATACTAGAAAAAAATCTGAATATGTGAGATTAATTTCAGAATTTCTATGGAAAACTGTAAATTTCTGAGTTTGAAAAATTGAAGATTTCCGACAAGAAAATTAGAAATTTTGAGACTAAACCAGAAATTTTTAAGACAAATCTTGACTTTTTTCAAGTTTTCTTGAAGAAAAAAAAATATTTTTGACTTTTGAAACGCAGAAATTTAAAAATTTTGTCTTGGGGGGGGGGAGAGATTAATTTCAAAATTAGATTTATTTTTCTATAAATTAATGTTTGGATGTCCTCCTCCTTCCTTCCAGATGCCCTTCTTGCAGATTTGGAGAACACCAGCTCTCCTCTTCCTCGGTGTCCCGTCTTGCTGACCTCTGACCCTCCACAGAATGCCGATGCCAACTCCCACGACTCGGCGCAGGCTCGACCGCCGCCGCCCGCCTACACGCCGCAGCAGGTCGGCACTCAGATTTATTTTCATGCCATATTGTGTCATTTCCTCACCTTCACTAATCGTCTGTTTCTCAGACTGTTTCTGCAGCAATGAAGACTTCAACCAACTCCAACCCGGACAAACTATACAGGTCGGTCCGGTCTGCAGAGATCGTGATTCGATTATTTAAATATTTGTCAACTGGTTTAGCAATTGATCAATTGTTAACTGGAGCAGATAAACAGATAAACTGTCCGTTCACTGAACGCAGTAATGTCTCCTCTGCCCTGCAGCACCGTGTGCAAACTGCGCTCTCCGCGCTCCGCAGACCCGCCGCCTGCGTTCTCCTCCTCGCTGCTGGGCGGCGGTCTGAACGAGCTGGATCACCTGCTGCAGGAGCTCAACGCCACCCAGTTTAACATCACAGGTCTGTGAGTGCATTTCCATGGGTTTACCTCAAGTTCCAGCTGTTCAGATAGAGACCCTTGGCAAGTTATTGTTTAAGTCTGGAAATGTGTGCATTCACACAACGCCGGAGGGCAAAGAGACGACTCTTGCCATCCAAAGCGACGCTGCTGCGGTAAAACGATCCCATTAACAAAATTAAACCTGGAGAATTATTCGTTTAGTGGAGTCTGCTACAGTAAATACAAGAATAACGCAGAAAAACCATGAGAGAATAACTCAAAACCACTTCTTTCTTCACTTTCTGTGTCGGCTTTACACACAAACTTGTCATAGCAACTGACAAAACTATGTTTCAGGATTCAACGCCAAAAAACACTCAAACATTTTCCATACAAAGAGCAGAACATTCAGTTTGCGATAGTTTTATGTTTTTAGGCTCCATGTGGCTAATTTAAACGTCAGCTTTAGTGATGATCTGGTTGGTGTTTAAGTTGCCTTTTTTTATTTTGTAACTGAACCAAAGCACATCGAATTCCACAACACATCTACATGGTAAGATTGTCAAAGTCAAGCTAGCATAGCTGAGCTATTTCCCTGTTTTTTCTTACAGATACTTTATCCTGACCTTGTTATCTAGTTGTAGAGTTGGCAATTAGTAACAAAGCTCTGCGTTCCTTTTAGACGTTACCCTGCAGCGGGTCTATACTTTTATTTGATGATGTAATTTTGTTTGCAGATGAGATCTTGGCCCAGTTTCCTGCTTCTAAGAAAGACGAGAGGGACAAGATCAAGGATAAGACCTCAACCTCCTCCAGGTCTCATTTAATAAATATATATTAATTGTTTTTTTAACTTTGTACCATGAGCATCAAACCTACAAGTTTGCAACATTTTAAAACCTTTTCACATAGAAATGCACCAATCCTATTAGATCCGATATAGAAAGGCAATAACAAAATTACGTTGAAGGTTCCTTTTTAAAAAACACAAAGAAAAATGTGCTAATAATTTTGATAACTCTGCAGAAGCACCAATAGTTTCACAAACTTTAACTTTATTCTCACATTAAAATGTTGTTTTGATGTGATAAAATACATGCATGCATAAATATTTTAGAGGCCTGTAGTGATAAATGTGATCTTATGAAACTAAAATTTCAAATACTGAATTTAACTTAAATTCAAACTTTTTATAATTTGAGATTTAAACTAAGTTTTGAGTCCATTATGATAGAAAGACATTAAAATTTGTTCCCAACCTGTAGTTTTTTTCTCCAGCCAGATAAATTTCTGCATCAAAATTTGGAAGTTTTGATTTGGAGAAAAACATTCCAACAGTTTTGTTTACGTTGAGTTTTAACCAATCCAATTCATTCACCACAGACTGTGTAAGCTCATTGGCTTGAGTCATTCGTCTAAGAGTAGAAATGACAGTATCATCTGCGTACATTTGAATAAAAACATCAGGACGAACTGAATGGAGGTGATTTACGGATAGAGAAAATAACAGCGGTCCCTGAATGGAGCCTGGGGGAACACCGGGTGATAATGGAAGAGAAGGTGAAAGGTAATCTGGTAATAATATGTGTAATATTTCATTATTTAAAGTGTCAAAAACTTTTTTCAGATCAAGAAACACAGACGCAACTTATCCAATAAATGTTTTCTATGCAAAATTGGAGAGACAAGGAAACATGTAATCCATGTAAATCAGATGTTAATTTTCTTTGAAATGCACCGACACCCAGTAAGAACATTAATGAAATGTTTTATATTCCTGTGAAAATAACGCAGGAAGTTTTTAATACTCATTTCCTTTTGAGGTAATTTTGAGAAATATTCAAGGTGCTACTGACTGGGCCACCATGCGGGCCGGTTCTGGAGTACAAAAATGATTTTAGATCATAATCCTTGTTACAAATCACAAGCATCCAAACAGTTTCCATTAGGCCTGTTGCGGATTGAAAAACCACGAAAACATTTCTGCCAAAAAACTCAAATTTCAAAATTAATTTCAGAAAATTTCTGAGCTACAAAAATCAAACATTTGCTAGAAAAAAAAACCATTTGAGATTGATCTGTGAAATTTTCTAGAAAAACAAGAAAATTTCTGAGTCAAAATTTTTGTAGAGGAAAGAAAATCTTGAGTTCCAAAAGTCATAAATTTGCTAGAAAAAAACAGACATTTTGAGATTAATCTCAGAAATTCAATAGAAAAAAAGTGACCAAGTTGGAAATTTGCCAAACAAAAATCCAGAAGAATTTAGATTAACCTCAGAAATTTTCTAGGAAAAAATTTTAGAAAAAATCATGAAAATTTCTGGGTCCTCAAAAGTTTACATTTTGCTAGAAAAAAATATAAAAATGTTGAGTTTGTCAGAAATTTCATAGAAAAAAACTTTAAAATGTTTGACTTTCGGCATTACAAACTCAGAAATGTCCTGTTTTTTCTAGAACATTTCTGGAAGCTGATCTAAAACATGTAAAGCTTTTTTGGGGAAATTTACTGTTTTCATTTTTATCTCCTATGCTGAAGGCTTCACTTCTGATTTCTGTGGGATGTTTGAATTTTATGGAAAATCTGTAATCCTCTTCTTCTACATCCGACCTGATGTGTCGATTTGTCTTTTTGTTCCAGCTCCTCGAAACCTTCAGCGACTTCAGCCACCATGGAGTTGGACAAACTGATGGCTTCACTGTCTGACTTCAGAGTCCAAACGACGGTAAGTTACGGCCTTCAGAGAAAGTTAGGAAACTAAAACTGTTTTTGGCTGAAACACTCAATATGCAGCTGGTAGATGAGGTAGGAACTTATTTGCATCATTTTAAAACTGTTTTGGATCCAGATGTGGGGTATAAACAAAGCCCAGATGTTTACAGGAAGATTCCTGCACTTTTCCAAACATCCGTTGGTCTTCAGAGGATGAAGGCTTTAGAGTGTCTCCTTCAATCTGAGGTCAGAGTTCAGCTTCACAGACCAGACCTAAGGGTTTATTTAGTTTGCTTTAATCAAACTGTAGTTTGTTTGTCTAGAAGTCTGGTTTGTCTGAATGCTTAATCAAAGTAAACATCAACTCTGGTGCAGTTTGAATACATATGTGAACGCCATGTGGACTGGAACAGGAAATGGACTGTAGCACAGGGCATTCTGGGTAAATATAACTAAAACAAACATTGAGTCTAGCACTAACAAAAAAATTACTTGTTTACTTTTACCAAAGAGAAGAAGAAAATCATACAATCGCTAAAATCTGACGCTACTCCATTTTTGTTTACATTTCAGGAAGTTATGTTCAGTGTTTTGTTCTGAAGTTTTTGTGTCATTCCCTCCAGTCTTTTTTGGCACAGTGCCACCACAGGTGAGGAGGGGAATAGGTTTGGATTGTTTGACAGTGTGAAAGCGAACTGCAGCAGCTGAAAATGTAAGACTGTCAGCCTTAAAGTCTCCTAAAGACGACCGTTCTTTGTCTTCTACCAGCCGACTCCGTCTGTCAGCCAAGTGGTCCCCGCACCGCAGCGGCCCGCCGCTCCGGCCCAGCCCACACCTGGAGGCTCACTGGACAGCATGCTGGGACTCCTCCAGTCAGACCTGAGCCGACAAGGAGTTCAGACGTCCTCCAAGGGAAACTGCTCAGCTTGCCAAAAACCCGTCATAGGACAGGTGAGCGGCTTTTATGTTGCCATGTGAACCACCAGTAGGGATGCGAACAGTTAATCAGCTTATGATTAAATGTCCGCAGATGGTTTATTAGATTAAAATGAGTTCATGACATCAGTTAAAGTTTCGGTTAGTGTTGTAGCTTGGCGGCCATCCAGCAGAGGGCGCCGCTGGTCGTGTTTAAGCAGCCAGTTGATACAAGATGGCGGCTAAACCAGAACAGGAAAGCGAAAAGGTCCAGACAGTCTGGTGTCGGGTGAAAAACTCACTCTGTGGTTCTGTTTTAAAATAAAAACTCAACAAGGTCCTTAAGTTTCTCCTTAATAGCGATTTATTCCAGCTGCGCTGCACGACGGAGCAACAACAATGTCAAAAATGACTGATGTGCTTTGGAGCGAGGATGGGATGATAGGTGTACGGCGCATCAGGGCCATTTTAGATATAAAAAAGGAGTAATTTTCCACCCAAAAAAATCTGAATTTATTTTTTTAATATTTGTGTTTCGAAAGGGTTTTTGTTGAAAATTTCTGAGATTAATCTCTGCATTTCTGAGAGTTTTTGGCCCAAATAGTCACAAAACTCATGTTTTTAAGAAAATGTCCGCTTATCAGTTAATCAGCTTTGCTTTAAGCGCAACAGAGCTTAAAGCACCACATCTGCAGCAGTAAAGCTGACTGTCCGTGTGCAACAGGTGGTGACGGCGCTCGGGAAGGTGTGGCACCCGGAGCACTTCGTGTGCTCAGAGTGCGAGACGGAGCTGGGCAGTCGCAACTTCTTCGAGAAGGACGGGCGGCCATATTGCGAGTCGGACTACTTCACGCTCTTCTCCCCGCACTGCGCTAACTGCAGCAAACCGATACTGAACGTGAGACATAGAACCACTTTTTTTTTTTTTTACCGATCTATAACAGTTAGTTGCATCCGTTTCCCTCACCTTTGTTTCTCTGTGTTTAGAAAATGGTCACTGCTCTGGACAAGAACTGGCATCCAGAGTGTTTCTGCTGCGTCAAGTGCAGCCGCACATTTGGAGACGAAGGTAAGAAACTTATTAGAAAGAGTTTAAAAGAAAATCTTGAACATTTCTGGGGGGGGGAGGGGTTAGCAGAATTTCAGGTTCTGTGGACTAAAAGAATAAAAAATAAACCGCCTGTTAATGTGGATTTTACATTACACACCGGACTCTGTCTGGATCGTTTCTCCTTCCTCCTTTGGAATGGCCGCCATCTTTAATTCTGAAATGGCTTTGGTTAATGAGGACCGGTGGCGCCCTCTGCTGGACGGTGGCCAAAGTACAACATTGAAAGAAGGTGTAAGCGGATAATATTAATCTATTTGAATGTGTGTTAGTTAGTTTAGGTTTCCCCCAGAAAGCTAGCTAATCTCTACGGTGCCAATGGGCAGCTATTCATCCCATCGTGTTTTTGAGTTAAAAAATGGTTAAAGTTGACAGGAAATTTGAAAATATCACCTGATAATTATGTGTTATTGACAGATTGGAAGGTTAACACCTGAACACCAACTATAAAGTCTCAAAAAATGCAAACATTTTAAACAGACTTCAATAAAGAAGCAATGCTTTGCCTGGTGGGGGCCCAAGTAAAGCCTGGTTGCCCGCCAGGCTTATAATACACAGGAGGAAACACATGATATTTAATCAAGTCTAACCATGTAACAAAAACTGAAAGCGAGAAAACAGTTTTAACTGAAATAAATAAAAATAGTAATTAATGGGGAAAACCTGGGACTTTATTGTGCATTTATAAAATGAAATATACTGAAATTATAACAGCATTTGTTTTTGTGTTTATGAAGCTATTAAATCAAACTTGAACTGGTTTTAGATCCATGTAGGGTTTATAATATTCCTGAAGGTTCCTTTTGCAAACAGACAAACACAAAACATGTAAATAAATAAAAACATTTAGAATGTTTATGTCACTTTCATTCGCTATTCTTTTAGCATAAATGCTACTTCATACCTTCTGATTTTAGTTAGCTGCGCTATGCTAGCTTGAGGAGCAAAGTAAATTTGATTGGTATCCAAATGATATTTCAATAAATTTTCAACTTATATTTTGTAGTTATTATTTTATATTATTAATAAAATATAGTTTAGATTTTATGATAAAAGATCTTGCGCCCCCTAGTGGCCTTCAGTGGGCTACAGCATACGCTTAGCTTTAATAAGAAATAAATAAGTATATTTTGTTGCAATCCAAGGTGATTTAAAAAGGGTGCACTGTTTTTCTCTGCTGTATTTAACCTGTTTTTGGTTGGTGTTGTTGTAAATCTGTGGTTTCCTCCTGCAGGTTTCCATGACCGTGACGGCCAGCAGTACTGTCAGCAGTGCTTCCTGACCCTGTTTGCCTCCCGCTGTCAGGGCTGCAGCGAGCCGATTCTGGAAAACTACATCTCAGCTCTGAACTCTCTCTGGCATCCTCAGTGCTTCGTGTGTCGGGTGAGTTTTCATCATTTACTCATCCAATCAGCAGTGGACTACCGATAAAAATATCACCTGAGATAATAAAAGAAACAGTCTAAAACAACAAGCTTTTAGTTTGGACTGATCCAATTTATTTTCTTATTTAAACCCTTTTAATGGTCAATAACAATGAAGTTATTGATTTGTGTTTTTTTGCTCAATTCACCAAATCAGTCGATTGATTTTCAAAGAATTTATTTGGAGTTTGCACTAAAAACCTGCAAAATGTTCTGAAAATTGTTCAATAATTCACTTCAAAAAAATATAAAAAATATTTGAAATATTCTTTTTTAAATCTAATCCGAAATACTAACTCTAAGAATTATTTTTTTAAATTTCACTTATAACATAGTAATAATGTCTTGTTGTAGGTAAAATTTTCATCAATATGAAGAAATTTTTATTTTGTTTACTAAGTTACTTTCCATGGGAACTTCGCCGTCACCTAGCAACCAAACCGACTGTATTTTTTGCAGCTTTTGCTTGGATGCTAGTCTTTTTTTGAGTGTGCATACACAAGTTAGTTTTATTTTTTGTGACTTTTTGTTTGTCTAATTCAATTAGTTTTAATTAATTTTTAACAGTGTGTTTGCTGGTTTTTATTTTTTTGTGTATTTAATTTTTATTTGTTATTAGTACTTTTAGTTCTTTCAGACTTTGGTTAATTTTTGGGCGCAGAACTCAAAAACATGAAAGTATTGTGATTATATTTACATCGATTGGTTAATCAATACTCAACAGAAGATTACATTTTCAAAAAATTCATTAAATTATTGTTGAACTGTTCTCTCCCAGTTTGTTTGAGGAAAAAAAATCAACTTCACATTAGCGCAAAAGGCTGATAAAATACATTCATAAACACAAAAACAAAGGACATTATATCTGTAATTTCAGTAAGTTTTAGTCAATGTTGTAAATGTACAATATTGCTACAGTTAGTTATAGTTTCCGCCCATAATAATTATTTCATTTAACGAAAATGTTTTCTCAATTTCAGTTTTTGTTATTTCTGTAGTTTTAGTTATCTATCATGACTATTCTCCAGTTATCGATTATTCGATCGCTAAGTTAGATCAATCACGATTAATCGTCTGCGCTCTGCCTGCTTGCAGGAGTGCTACAGCCCCTTCGTCAACGGCAGCTTCTTCGAGCACGAGGGAAAGCCGCTGTGCGAGGCTCACTACCACCAGTCCCGCGGCAGCATGTGCCAGGCCTGCCAGCAGCCCATCCTGGGCCGCTGCGTCACCGCCATGGGCGCCAAGTTCCACCCGCACCACCTGGTGTGCCAGTTCTGCATGAAGCCGCTGAGCAAGGGCTGCTTCAAGGAGCAGGAGAACAAGCCCTACTGCCACCCCTGCTTCATCAAGCTCTTCGGTTAGACACCCACCGCTCCACGGACCGGCGCTACGGGAGACAGTTAGGGCCACCAGGAAAGAAAGGATGAAATTATGTCTTAAAACTGACTTTTTTTTCTTTTCAGAATTCTGACTTAAATCTCAGAATTCTCCCTTTAATAGAATTCTGAGATTTAAGTCAGAATTCTGATGCTACTTTAAGAATTCCGACTAATTTTTAGAATTCTGGCTTTGATTTCAGAATTCTAATGTTTTCTCAGAATTCTGACTTTAATCTTTTTCTCTCAAAATTTTCGTTTCGAGAGAAGTGTATGGAAAAAAGAGGGGAAAAAACTGAAGAAAAAGTCAGAATTTATTTTTTTCTTTCCTGGTGGCCCTAATCCTCTTCCGTACTTCTCTCATCCTCTGAATCCCTGAATAAAAGCAGATGCTTCATCATGTCTCGGTCATTTAGTGAAGCAGTGAGGATGGAGTAGAATCAACCAACACATCATTTGTTTTTTAGAAAATGAGATTGAAGTAAATCGACGCCAAAAGTTTATCTCAGCCATAAAATTGTATCTTTTTTTTGCCAAAGGAAGGAAAGAAGCAGATTAAATGTATTGTTTCAATTCACGAGGTTAAATGTTATGAAAGAAAATTCCTTATAATATATTTGCTTTTTATTGCCTCAAATACACACTTCACTGCATTTGCATTTATGTATTGTTTGCTGATTGCTAAATATGTTTACGTAAACTACCTTATTTTTAAAGTCAGGTATCGTTCACTTATTCCTCTATGCAAAATGTCAGACGCGTTTCTAGAAATAAAAAGTTTTTATGATGTTTTGTGTTTATACTTAATTATTATTTTATATTGGATGAATTGTCAATTTACTCCATGTGGTGATTTATGTATTTAGAAAAAAAGTTTCATTATGGTTCTCTGCAGTCAACAAAGGAATATTTATATATATATATATATATATATATATATATATATATATATATATATATATATATATATATATATATATATATATATATATATAGTTTATTTTGAATATAAAACCAGATTTAAAATCCTGGACCATGAATCTTTGCATTTCGTTAGGCAGTTATGCTATTAAATAAAATATAAATAGAGCTGCAGACACTTATGAGCCTTGAATAAACACAAGATTTATTAATATATATATTTTTTTAAAACACAGCATAAGGGTTAAAAATACAGTTGTGCAGTTGTCACATTTTTAAATAAAAAGACTTCATTTACATTTGAAATGTAAAAATCGAGCTATAATTTGTTCCAAGTTAAAATAAATACACACAAAGCATCAGTATAAATATATGCAGCAAAGTTACTAAAATATTTCTGCAGCAGCTTCGCAGTAAACAGTTCGGCAAATGCTGATTTTGACCACCAGAGGTCACTGTTTCCTCTCTTTGTAAAAATGAGCACCTAATTACTCATTAATTTTATTTATCAAAGTTTAAGAAGAAAAACATAAAGCCCCTGAATATTATTTACAGTTTCTGATATGAAGCACTTTGCCAGCCGTTCAGGTGAGGCGACAGCTGCGTGATGACGTGTCCACGCCTCTGCGCCTCACAGGTGTGTTTAATTGAAAGGTTAATCAGCGTCTCCTGGCGCCCGAGCAGAAAAATACCAGGTGATGTTGGACGGAAAAGCGCCTTGAACTTTTCGGATTCAACCATTTCTACCAACACAATGAGCGATTCGGAGCAACAACAGGTGAGTCATTTGGCTGTTTAAACGTGCAAACATCGCTGAGTGAACCGGAACCACCTGGACCTGTTTTCTCCAAGGAATCTGATAAAGTGGCTGAAGCTCAGTGGCCTGAGAATGGAGATGCGTGGAGCGACGCGGAGGATGATGCGCGGATGGACTGCGAGCTGCTGCAGGCGATGGCCGAGGAGGACGAGGACATAAATGTCTTCAATGAGGAGACATTTGGGATGGGTGAGTCCACCAGAAACTCCTGCGTTTCCCCAGGAAAAGGTGAATATGAAACTTCTCAGAATTTCAACTTTATTTACTGCGTTCAAAAATAAAAAGTTGACAGAATATGTAGTAATTTCAGTAAATCTTAATATGCTTTACTCCTTACTAAGTGTTACTTTTACTCGACTAATATAAAGTATCATTATCTGGATACTATGATGGAGCATCAGAGGAACTACATTAAAAACATAATAAAAGTAAATTTCTCCCCGAAAACAAGATTAAATTGTAATATTTTCTAAGAACCTTTCTGACTTTGCAAAGTTGAACTTTTTTTTTTTGTCTCTTGGAAATTTTCTGAGTTTTAAAACTTTACAGTATATTTTTATTTAAATCTACAATGGCTCTGATTTGCTGTAATTGGATCCTCCACCAACACCGAGTGAAGAACAATGTTGTTTTAAATAAAACTTTGTCATCACAGACACACATCTGTGCCTCTGTGGAAGAGTTTTTTTTTTCAACCATTTATAAATTTCCTTTTGGGATATTTTTAATGCCCACATTTCCTCTTAACTTTTCATATTTTGGTCGACCTGACATGTATATTTGTTAAAATACTGAATCACATTTTAATCAGTTACTCAGTACATAAGTAACTTTTTATTTTTTATTTTTTACTCGAGTTAAAAATGGCATTACTCTTACTCTAGGCACCTCTGAATATTTGGGATATTAACTTTTTAACTAATTAGCATATTTGATTAAATAATCTCCATCTAAAGTGCAACTAGCTCCATTTCGTCCACATTGAGTAAATATTATTTTAAAGCTAAAACTAAGATATTTGCACTAGAAATTAGAGTAAAATATTAAGTTTTGTTTTTTGTGGTGCAGGCTAATGTAAAAAATATTAATACTTCAGGATCTGCAGGATAAATGTGAATTGTTTTCATTTAGATCTCGACCCACATGAGGCGACGGAGCCGTTGGCTGATGGCGGCGTTTCCCTCGAGGAGCTGCCGTCGCCTCCGTCGCCTCCGCTGCGGCCGAACCCCAAACCTCCGTCGCCTCCCAGGCAGAAGCCGCTGTATCCGGCCCGGGTCGCCCCGTGGCAGCGGGGTCAGGGGTCGAGTTGGAGGGGGGGCCTGGGCAGAGGGCAGATGTTTGAAGACCCGGCCGTGATCAGGATAGTGGAGGGACGACCGAGCCTCATGGTGACCAAGATGGCAGCTCTGAGATCAGATTGGTTTGTTTTCCAATAATGTATTGATCTGATTATCGGCTTGTTTTTAACGTTGCAGAGTCTGGACAGCGCCATCGTGGACTGCGGCCACGCCGTGTTCAGGAATACCTCTCTGGATGACGTAAGGAAGCGCTGGGATTTTAATCTTCTTCTTCTGCACACGGCAAAAACATAATTTTACCAAGTATTTTTGGTCTTGTTTCTACTGAAAATATCTTGGTAACGTGTTTTTTCAAAGAGGAGCCACCAGATGGCGCTAGGTGGGCTTCAGAAAACCTGAGGGGGAAAAAAGCAAAAGCTTTTAAAATCAGAAAATCTAGTCCATCTCAATCATTGTAAAATGTTAAAATTATTTTTTTAAATGTCTTTTGACATGCACAATGGCCATTGTAAATTGAAAAGAGTACATTTCTGCCATGAATTTATGGGATCTTGATCAATCTCAGAAGTTTCTAGAAAGAAAACTTAAATTACTTAAAATTTTTTCACTTTGGAAATTTCTGAGATCTCAAGATTACAGTTTTTTTGTCTAGTTTTGAGGGAGTTTTTTGTTAGACAATTTTACTTTCAAAACTCAAATTTCCACTTTTTTTCCCCTGAAAATTCTGAGACAAATTTGCTGAAAAATCTCAAATTTTAAGATTAATCTGGGAAATTTTAAAGAAAATTTGGTAGTTTGATATTTGAAAATAGGAAATGTAGTCAAATTTTTGACTTGAAGCTCAAATAATGTTTCCACAAAGAGATTAATTACAAACATTACTTTTTTCTTTTCTAGCAGATTTTTTTCATTTGTTTTCATTTGTGGAATGTGGAAAAATGTTTTGTTCAAAAGGAAATTATCTTAAATCAAGCCCCTATATTTTGCGGAAAGTTAATTATAAGTCTGTTTTGTCTTATTCCAAGTGTGCTAAGATATTTGAGCTAGAAACCAGACCAAAAATGTTTTGGATTTTTTTTCCAGTGCAGCTGATGCAGTTTTAAATGTCACTTTTCTAGAGGATGACGCCTCCTTACTGGAAAAACCGTAGAGTTTCTGGATCAATACTGCAGGTTAGGAGGAAAAACAATCCTTCGATATAACGGATAATTGTAGACGGCTTAAATCCTTCTGATTTGGGGTTTAAATCTGCAGGACAGCGCCATAGTGTGTGTGATCGGTCACAGAGGGCGGGGTCAGCATGAGAACTCTGACTTCCTGGATCTACCGTATCCCGTCTCTTCCTACGGAGTCCAGAGAGGAGAACCCAGAAGACCGTACACCAGGAGGGTGTTTGGCCAGAGAGGGCCCTCTCAGGTAGGTTATTCTGATTTAACTGGAATATTTTCATGTTATAAGTAGGTAAAGCTGCAGTATGTAACCTTTATAAATGTTTTTATATATATATATTTAACCATCACTATGTTGACAGTATAACATAAGGTAATCTGTGAAAAGATCTCCCTCCTCCCTTACCACATGCAACCAATCAGAGCTGGGAGGTGGGGCTTAGCGCTGTCAATCACTTTCATGTACTCGCTGCTAAATGTGTTTATGGTGGAGAATCAAATTGTTTAATTGCTACCATCAGTGGCTATGCTAGCTAGCCATAACATTTGTAACAAGCTTTTAATTACTTCTTAATCCAACTGTATGCCAAGAAAAATGTATTTAACATGAGGTAAAACTTTTTTTTTTGGACCAATCTCAGTTCAATTTTCTTACATGTTGCCAATTCACAACTGCAGGAGGTCGGAGAAAAAAATGTCAGGAATAAGCTCTTAATATGTGAAATCCATGTAAAAAGTATTAAATTGTAATGTATTCAGCTTTAAAGTCAAGTTTTTTTTCTTTCCCTTTATGAACTTTATTTTGCAGATTCATGCACCAGTGATGCCAGGATCACCCATCTTCTCACGGCAACCTTTGACCCCACGGCAACACCTGAATCAGGTTTTATTAAACCCTCATCGCTTTAGAGCAGAGGTCTGCAATGCTGCAAAAACACAATCTTACCAAGTATTATCTGGTGCATATCAATTAGTAAGTCTTAGATAAGACAAAACTAAAATAACTTTTCACCGACATACAGGAGCTTGTTTTAAGTGAATTCCCCTCCTCGCCTGTGGGGACGCTGCAACAAAAACCACTGAAGGAAACAACATAAAAACTTCTGAAGACTCTGAGCTCAACCTTCTTCTTCACAAAATCTAAAAAATGGAGTAGATATAGATTTTAGCAGTTGTAGGATTTCTCTCACTAGTGCCAGGCGAGCGCGATTGTTTTGGTTGTATTTACCCAGAATGCTCTGCGCTGCAGTCCACTTCCTGCTTTAGGAGCTGTCTCTAGACTGTTTGTTGTTCACACACGCATCAGAAGCGCACCAGAGTTCACTTCAGCCAAGCAGAGAGCGAGGTTTTGGTTTTTTATGAGTTCTATGAAACTGGATGAAATGAGGCTGAATGGTTCAACCTTACAACTTCCTGTCAACAGGAAACTTGTTGCTAAAATTAAAATATTTAAGTCCAGCTCTTCCATGGACAATGAATGATTTCAGACTTGGCTGCATTTGTTTGACTTTGTAAGGGTTTTTTTGTTTTGTTTTTTTAATAATATAATTTCGACCCAGACGGGAGGCTTCATGTTCCCTCC